CCAACCAGCATCTTCCAAGCAAACCGGTTCCAGGAAGAAGGTTCAGCGACCGGGTTGAGCGGTCAGGGATCAAGCGAGGCCCGAGTATCCGGACCCAGAAGGCCGCGGAGGGCCCTTTTTCGGCGCGGATTGCGGGCCGGGCGATGGCGCGCGTGGGATGTTGCGGCGCCGCCGCCGCGGGCGACCTGCTTGCGGGCGACGATGTTGGCCAGCGGGGTGGTGAAGAGCTTGGCGAAGGCGCCGGCCAGGACGCCGACGGCGAGCTCGTCGAGCACGGGCAGGACGAGGTGTTTGGGGGTGCGGCGGGCGGCGCCGAAGCGGGCGCGCAGGCGGCGGGTGCGGAAGAACTCGTAGGCGAGGAAGAAGAGGAAGGAGTCGGCGACGGTTTTGGCGGTGTCTTGGGCGAGGCCGGTGTAGAAGCCGGCGAGGCCGTGGGTGGCGTAGATCTTGCGGGCGGCGTCGAGGACGCCGTTGTAGGTTTCTGGGTCGTCTTCGGTGGAGGCCTCCTTGTCGGTCGTGGCGTTGGATTCCTTTCGGTTTGTTTGCTGCTGGGTTTGCAGTCGCGCGATGATCAGGCTCAGTGGGTATGTAGCTAGGTTGGAGACCGCGGCTCCCACGGCGCCGGCGGCTGCATTGCCCAGGGCGGGGAGGGCTGGGCCGCGGAGGGCGGCGGTCTTCCAGTCTTCCCTGGGCGGGGATTCTTCATAGCGGTGGTAGAGGGAGTAGGAGTCCTGTGAGGTGAGAATGGTCCAGTCAAGTGGTGGAAGTAGACGTACCAGCTCCGAGTTATAGAGGACTTTGTATTCGGGCATGTTGCTTTGACAGCCTGATAGAGTATCTTGGGATATCAAGACTGATGACTACAGATCCATTCTGTCTCTTGATTAAGAAGAGAAGAAAGAAAGCAGGGAATGAGGTTATTGATGACCGAGGTAGAAGCAGGTCTGGACTGATAACGTCATCGTGGTGATGTGGCCCGTGCACGCTGCATGTGATGGACTTGGAGCATCACCTACAGTATTTTCTACAGTACCTGTATACTCTAGTTCTCCAGTCAAGACAGTTCTACAGCAAGACAGTCATGTACAATATTCATTGCCATTCAGACGCAGTTCTACCATAAAGCACCACCCATCCTTGAAAGATAAACCATCCGAACCCCATTACCCATTAAGCAAAAGAAAACATGAGTTCATATCCCAGCAAACCAGCAACCAACAATCGAGCCGTTTAACCACCGAAACCATACAGAGTACGGCCCTGGCGCTTGAGGGCGTACACCACATCCAGCGAGGTGACGGTCTTGCGCTTGGCGTGTTCGGTGTAGGTGACGGCGTCGCGGATGACCGACTCGAGGAAGGACTTGAGCACGCCGCGGGTCTCTTCGTAGATCATGGCGGAGATACGCTTGACACCGCCACGGCGGGCGAGACGACGGATGGCGGGCTTGGTGATACCCTGGATGTTGTCACGCAAGATCTTGCGGTGACGCTTGGCGCCGCCCTTGCCGAGACCCTTGCCTCCTTTGCCGCCTGTTGACATTAGTATATATATTCGGATAGCATATACTATAGAGATAGGGGAGGGTGAAGGGGGAGGGTGAAGGGGAAGAGACGCGTGGTCGGACGCGGAGTCACGTGGACAGGAACGCTCATCCGGTCCGTCATCCGCCACCAGGACGGTCAGGGGAAACAACAGCAAATCAACAAGTAGAGAATAATACTTACGTCCAGTCATAGTGTCAGAAGGAACGAAATGTTAATCGATGGCGATGGGATGGAATTCGCGTAGATGGTGGGGGAAAAGACGCGACACGTTGCGGGCCAGATCGATGGAGAGATGCAGAAAGAGGAGAAAAGCGTAGACGGGAGAGGGGCGCGGGTTTAAATAGATTTGGTCACTGGGGAGTGACTAAGCCGGGGGATGGAAGGGAGAAAAGAATGGCAGGCGATGATTGGCGGGAGGCGGGCGAGAAAAAGGACGTTATGAACAGCCGCTTTCCAGCGTGTATTTTGGCGGCGGCAGTTTGGCCCGTTTGCCCCAGAGAACTGCCCCGGTCACGTGCGGCGGATATCGATGACATAATCAGCCCTCTAACCCCACTAACTAGCTACTCCTTACAGTGTACTACAGTGTACAATATACAGGTAGTAGATAAAGCTCCCTCAGCTCAATGGATTAATACAGAATCATATAAACAGCCAACCCATACGCCAGACAACTCAGCCGCCAGTAAGCATCAATGCAACCAATGCCCGGATCAATCGACTTTTCAGGCAAATCAAACAGCTAAAAACACGCAACATGTCATCATTGTCGTAAGCAATCCTAACTCTTGAAGACCTGGCCAGAAGACCACGCAACAAACAAATATCACAAATTTCATCATCATCATCAGCACAAGTCCTTCCAACAGCCTGATTCTCTGTCTCCGCGGTTTATGTTACGTCGCAAGAGGAGATACATCAAAGCTCCGGATGGAAAATGCAAGTGCAAAGGGAAAGACAATGCCATGCAACCACCTCTCAATATCCACTCCATGTACCAGCCTAAAAAGGCCCAAACAACTAGTATAAGACCGTTGGTTTTCATCCTTGAATCACCGTTGGCGGGTGTGCGTCTTGGAGAAAACGATGCTGCATGTGCTGCAGAAAGGGATACCCAAACTGATTGGGAGACGACGCATTGCGCGAGCCGCCGTCCCGACTGCCATCCGACCGGGGCGACATGACGGGCGACGAGCAGGGCGACACGGAGCTGGAACTGCTGGTCGAGTCGCGGCGTGCAGACGATGGCTCCGACCCAGAGGCAGGGATCCGGCCGCCGTCGCTCACGAGACTCGGAGCCCCGAAAAAACAGTACTTGTCCACCAGCTCCTTGTACACGGACGACTCGCGGTGCGGCTTGCTCGACACCAGGGTCGACGGCCGTGCATTATCGAGAGGGGAGAGTGACGGGTTGACCTCGGTAGCGGGGGCGCACTTTCCCACAGTTAAATCAGTCTCACCCGAAGGAGCCTGTTTCTTACTATCAGGGCCATTTCCCGACTTGGCTCGAGCCGTCAACGTCGTCCGGTCATGAGGGGCCTTATTCCGCATGGCCGCCGTCAGAGACGTCTCAAAGTCATACCGACTCCCAAAGACCTGGTGGGACTGCTTGTCACGACGGATCGGGGCCACACTCTCCTCATCGTGAGAGGCATCCTCACACAAGGATCGCTCCTTGGCAGCCTTCGGGGGATGGCCGAAAGACAAGTAATCGTCCATGCTGGAAAAATCATCGAAAGAAGGCGGCATCGAGTGAGGGCGCGCGCCAAAATTAGCAAATGTCCTGCTGCGAGGGAGAGGAACGCGAGCGGTCGGAGCGGGTTTCGCCCCCAGGCGCAAGGGTTCCCCTCTCACCACGGGGACCTTGAGAAACTTGACTTGGTAGTTCATGGAGCTGTTGTTATCCCAAAACTCCTCGCCGTTGACGGTGTAGCGAATGCAGATGAGCATCGTCTTCCGCTCCAGATTGGCCTGCTCATCCAGCTTGATGCTGAAGCTGAATCGGTCGTAGCCATCATAGTTCTGCTTGGGGCGCCCATCATCGTGGTACTCCGCAGACACCTCGGAAATGGTTTTCCAGTAGTCAAAAGTGAAACGAGCGGCCACGAGCTTGTGGAAGGCGAGGTTGGCCACGGCTACCATACCAACCAGGGTAGTCTTGTCGGATGACAAGTACAGGCGTTCCAGTCGGACTCGCTGATGCGCTCTCCTCGAAGGGTCGTGAGGGAAGTTCGGCAGACGGATGTCCCACTCGTAAGAACGGGCCTCGGATCCATGCTCGGCGAAAGGAAACTCGCCCTCGGCATCGTAGTCATCTACGGGAGATGTCCCCGCACTCACAGCCTGGGGCTTATCCACCTGGAGAAAGTGACGGATATGCTCCAGCTGGGAGTCGAAGTGGACCGCTTTGGAGTAGGTGGGCGTGCCCGGCATGCTTGAGGGCCGTCTTCTCGCCGAGGGCGGTCGTAGGGCGGGCCGCACCAGTTCGCCGGACTTTTTGCGGACCATTGGGTGTCTCTTGGTGGGCTCATCCTCTCGCTCACTGTCCTCGGGGGAGCTCGTCAGGGCCTGTTCCTGTTTCTGGGAGATGGAAGTCTCTGTGGCGGATCTCGAATGTGATATCTTGCGGGCTTCCTTGGAGAGAGGGGGATGGGGAGACTTCTTTCCATTGACGGGAGCTGTGGTGTGGCTAGAGGAGGGCTTCATGTCGGACGGCTGTCTCTCGGGAGACGAGACGCGGCGCTGCTCGATGGATCGGACGGCCTCTTCGAGCTCCTCTAGTTGAAGACCATCCCGCTGTCGATAGGAGGCAGCCTCGTCATCACTGGAGTTGGGGGCGGACTCGGGAGGAGAGATGACCGCCCCCGGGGGAATGCGAGCCTCACTTATCGGCGGAGGGGATTGCCTGATGGGACCATTGAGGTCGACGGCATGCTTCAACTTGGAGGGATTAGTGGGGCCAGGAGCCACAAAGGACTTGCTCGTGGAGGGGCTTCTCCGATGCTTGCGAGTGTAGGACGTTGTCGAATAGGGACGAGAACCTTTCCGGGTCTCGGGGGAACAGGACCGCGGGGTGAAGTCAGAGTGTTCTATGTGCTGCGCGGAAGGCGACTGCTTCGACGGCGCAGTGTATGGCATCCGGCCGGACTTGTGCAGTGTAACACAAGAAGCGGATGATGAAGAACCGGGCAGAGTGAAAGGCACTGTGGCGATATGTGCGTAGCCGGTGCAGATTAGGAAGATTAAATGATGAGGAGTCGACAAATGGGACCCTTCAGAAGACGGTCTTGGATCGAGTTAGCTGATGTCAGAGGGACGTCTGGTAGGTTCCGGGATGCGCGGATGGCTGCGGAAGGAGGTCTAAGATGGTGTATGGAGAGGCAGACGGTGGCCCATGATGATAGAAGAGATAGATGATGGAGAGGAAGAGGGAGCGGTGGGAAACGGGGGATTAATATCAGAAGGAGCGACGGAGGCGTTCCGTGGTCGGAGGCAACAATGGAGGTGATACAGAAAACTTCACTCTATCGTAACACTGGGCGAATGGACCGGGAAGCGCAGGGATGGACGGGGGACAGAGAGTGGTACGTACCGTGATAGCTCGACATCTAGTATAAGTAGTAGTACTGGGGGGGAGTAAAACGGGGGAGCGGAATCGGGAGGAACGAGAGAAAAGTTCTCTGATAAGAGAGATATGCCAGGCGGAAGGACGAGGAAGAAGAATCGTATGAGTAGAGTATTAAAGTTTGAGAAGCCCGGGGGTAAAGCGGCAGCTCCAGTTGCCAGCAAACTAGAGAATGGAACCAGAAGATGGAGAAGAGAAGATGGAGGGGGAAGCGATTATATGAGAGGTCTGGGAGAGAAGAGGAGCCGCAGTATAAAACAAGTATTGACGGGGGGGGAGAGCACGAAAAAGAATAATAAAAATAATAATCATCATGAAAGAAAAAGAGGTGATAAGGAATGCTGGATGCGGGGGGGCAAATTGATATCCATCTGGATCCAGAAAACTTTTTTCATTTTTTTACTTTCTTATCCTGGTCTAGGTGCTCAATGAATATACTTCATCTATCTCTGGATATTAAATTTTCATACTATTAATACGATTTTAATATTCGAAATTCTCCGTCACCCCTGTCAGATAATCAAAAACAAACAGAGAAAAAAAAGAAAAACCCTGACTAGCACGATGAGGGCTGTCACCGATGGCGATGGCGTGGGCTAGGCATAAAATCTAGCGTTGCCGCCGTACCCGGAAGAGGACAAGCCCGAGTAATTAGCGGTAAATACGGGCGCTGGGACGTTATCCCCAACTTAAAAATAGGCGATCGAACGGTCTGGGACCGTGGGACGATCCCCTCTGTTGGCCAGTGTGTCTGGAGGGTTGAATGACTGTACGACTGTTCGTTCCGTTTTTCTGGACGGTTTGACTTTTCCTTCCCCCTTATTTTTGCCTTCGCGACCGCATCTATCGATTCTCGGATGACAGTGGTGGTCTGGATGGAGGGGGTTGATAATGCTTAAGTAACAGTATCACCCCATCTTATCAGACATTTGCCACACTGTCGATTCTTACCCTATGTTCGATACTACCATATATACCTTGGTAGTCTTTCGGATCTACGTCTGTACTCCGTCCGGAAAATGTTAATATCATTAGAATTTGATTATTATTATTATCCATTATATATATTATCATATTATCATACTATCTGACTATCATACTTCATACTACCTCCGACATATACTCTCCATGAGCAGGTGATCTTCAGGCTGCATTTCGGAGGATTCCAACCTGAGTGGTCCGCATCGGAGTAGGACGCTGCATGAGCCCGAGCTAGTCGGTTAGGCGGTATGTCAGAACCAAGGAAGTCCTGCAGCCGGGGTCTTAGAAACTTGGTTCAAGGGATGTGTGATGGATCGCGAGGGGGGAATAAGACAGAACGCAGTCTTTATCAAGACCCGAGATCGGTTCCCTGGGTCAAGCCCTAATCTCGTACGGACAGAGGCAGGAGATAAGAGGGTGTAGAGGAACCGTGGATGGGACTGCGGTATGCATGTCAGGTTACAGAGAACAAAAAAGGACTCCATGCGCTGCATACCACTCTACCTACCTTACCCATAGTTACCCACTGATCGAGGAGAGATGTACTCCGTGGCTAGTACCTAGTTGACTAGTAGTAGTAATACCAGACCCAGACTCATATATGCGGATCCACCCCCGGTCGGCGCTCGAGACCCGCATTAGCGCCAGTCTAGCCCCAACCACACGCCATTCTGGCTGGATCGAGGGTCTAGAAAGAGTCCATGGTCAAATCGGTCCTGCAAACTGTTGGGACCACCTTTTTTTTCCTTGCTGACATTCATCCGACTAAGACCTCATGCAGATAAGATGTGCGCACGTTCATCATCGGAGTATTGGTCTGGTTGTCAATGTCGCAATGGATTGAGTGCATGGTGATTCAGTGTTCTTTTTATGAAAAGAATGTGGTTATACTATATATACTGCCAGATGGATGACATGCTGATGACGAGATGACATATCGTGATTTTGAGAGATACCACGCCTTTTCCTCTACATATCTCCAGACGATGACCTCATTCGATCGCCTGTTCATTTCCGACACAAATTAAGGAGAATTCATCCTTTTCCCTGTTCTCGGCCACGGCAGGGCACTAGCGTGGAGTGTGCCAACAAAATCCTTGGAATGGCCTGAGGATGACATCAGGCAGAGACCGTCTTCCAGCACAGACCCGGTGGCATTGAGAATCCACAGCAGCACAACATTTCCTCGCGTACGAGTCCCCCCAGTCTTGGCTTGCCCTCCAGATCCCCAGTTACTAGTTAGTTATCTCCATCGCCGGTCCTCTCCGTTTCACACTGCATGTCGAACAAGGAACAAGGAACCGCCGACTATCAGTGATCCTCGGGGTGAATACCCACAGAGATCTCCATATCCATATCCATCACCTCATGACTCGGTGCGACAGAGATCTACCTCCATGAAAATAGGGGTCGATATGGGCGCCATCTAGATCTCCTTCTACCGAGTCTGAGACGCATTCGGTTGCATAACAGAAATTGCTCCAATGAATCCCCCCCATCCCGCTGTATATTACATCCAATCCACCGGCGCAATATCAATTTGCCCAGACATGGGCTCGCGTTTCACGATTCGACAGCCTCGACGGGCGCTTGTCTCACTTGCCATCCAGTCCGATCAGGTACATCCAATATGACCGCACCGTGATGCTTCATCCAACGGAACTCACTTGCCACTAGACTCGAACGTCCTCCGGTGAAGGCGTCAAGCCTCCCAATGACACCTCCAGGGAGATGATTCCTCCCCGACCGGCGAGTCGCGACCATCGCCCCCTTCCGATCGGCTCTCCGCCATGACCCCTCCGGCTTCGGGAGGGCCCATCCCATTAACAACCCTGTTATTGCAGAGACCGACGTGCGTTGTGATTACGACCACGGCGTTGGAGGCTTCGGAAGCAAACCTAGTCGCGCGCACCGACGCTCCGTCTATCGCGCGAGCGAGAAAAAAATTTCCCTCCGTTCATTTCCTGCTCAAACAAACAAATCAAGTATCCCTCCCGGTCGGTGTCCAGAGGCCGAAATGTCCCGATCGCGACGGCATCCGTAGTCTGCGCAGGGCGGGTCGAGTTTGGCGATAGCCGATGTCCAAGATCCAAGGGACTCGGGCCCTGCGGGCGCGTTGGCCTCGACAATATCTCCGTAAATTATCTAGTCAGGTCGGCCCTCCTCCGACCCCTTGAAACCCCATGAGTCTGAGAGCACACTATCCCCCCCTGTCGGCGCTGTCGTCGTCGACAGCAAGAGGGACTGTCTACAACTGAGCGCCCGAGCGAATACCAAGCCCGTGCTCTCGCTTTTCCCTGATCGACACCTCTGGCCACGTTCGAGCCCCTTTCCCGTGACGCTGACTGGCGGAGACTACATCTATATCGCCCAGGAAACTTTGCACCGTCCTCTAGGTGGAAACTCTGCGTTGGGGCGGTCAGTCCCTCGCCCGGGGTCTGGGCACCCACCATTCGGAGAGGAGTATCCCGGCGCTTGTGCAAAGTCTGATGGCAGCGCGATGGTCTGGTCTGTTCTTTCAAGAGGGTCCGAAGGTCTTGTTCTTTGTGCTGCGCACGCCATATCATTTGATATCTCAGCGCGTAGGCCATACATAGGTCTGGATGCATGGTTTGCCGTAGAGTCGAGCCCTGCATGGCATCCACCTTGTGGGCGCCTCTGCACTGCAACGAGGGGAAGAACCCACAACTCCAATTGCGACTCCAGAATCTATCCCCGCGGGGAACGCTGGACGATGGCAACGGATGGTACGGAGTAGGTTTTCCCAGGCTTTCTGCACCGTGGAATGTAAGCGACCAGACAATTCGTGTCCGGATGCGTATACGGGAATCCCTCGACGTCGTCGCCCAGGGACGCCTACGTCTGTAACAGGGGTGCGACATGCCAGATGACCATGAGCTTGCGGATCGCCATGGTGTTCTGCGGCATGCATCGACGCTGCATCGCTGCATTGGCGGGATGACGGGCAGTCGCCAACACCACCTGACTTGATCCCATACCTAGGCCCGAGCAGATAGCACGGGCGGGTAACCAGCAGATTGCGGATCGACCATCTCTCAACCGACGGGAGGCAGATTCGCCGTGAGAACTCCTCATCTATCTCCAACCTGATGCCTTTCGCCCCACTGCGATTGCCAGATGTGCCAGGGCCAGACCTGGCGGGCAGTGGAGTGGCGGGGCTGGGGCTTATGTGCTAGTGCACCCACCGCCCCTTGACATGCAACTCATGCAGTAGGATGAGGCCAAAGCTCCCAGCATGGACGAGCAGGATGGCCGAGCGACGGCGTCCAGGGCGATGCTTTGGGGAAGCATCGCGGGGAGAGGCACCGAGGCACCGCCATGGCCGCGGGGAACCTCGCGTTGGCACGTCGCTTTCGGCGGATTAATCTATTAAACGTGCTGCAGGCGCGCCTGTCATATCGAGGTACACGACGGACGAGACACAGACCGACAGGGCTTGCGGATCCACCGGATTGCCCAGCAAGCACTATACTCGACGCCACGACCACCCCCCCAGAAACGGCCGTATCACCCTGCGGCGCCAATCAGTGACATCCTCGATACCGTTGCGCAGATGTATATGTCGATAGTGCTATCAGCTCTGCGCCTCCCGTCTCACCATCCAATTTATTTTGCATGATCCAATCCGCCAATCCATGCGACATGCACCATCTGAGCTCCCTATCCATACCCAGACCCATGCCTCATTGAAGCCACCGACCCCGCTCCAGCTCCTAAAACTCGGCCTCCGCCTCTTCGCCCGGATGAGACCATTCCCGCCGGGGAAAGTATCTACTAATGATCACTGGGACGAGGTCGTCAGCACGGACGTCTTCCGTAGCTGTTGTCTGTCAGCTGGGGCGCCAACGCTAGGTACAGACTTCGGACATCGGACGACGGCCAACCGACAACGTAGCTCTGGTCCCGTCGATCCGAGCGCGATAAGCCCCGCGGCCTCGTACACGTCGTCTCCCCGCATCATGGCTTTGCGGAGTCTGTCGGATGGGTAGTCTACTTTTCGCGGGAGGCCCGGAGAGGCCAGGATAGCAATTAGGTTAGGGATGGAGAGCGTTGCGTGAGCATTGCGGGGTGCATGCTTCCTTGTCTGATGGGAGGTAGGGAAGGATTCCTTCAGAAGGCTGTCGTGTTGATGACTCCTCGGCTATGGAAGCCTTCACTGAGACTCAACTTGAGTATACTTTCTGCATTCACGACTTGACGAATCCCGCTGGGACTGGATCTGTCTGAACGGGTTGTGTCGTGGACGATGCATAGTAGGACCAGCGTGCACTGACAGACCTCCTCTTCCTGCACATCCACGCGATCGATAAGAAAGTCGAGACCAAGATATCGTCGCTCCTCATACTGTACTGTTGAGATGTCACGTGAAACATCGCTCGCGTGTGTAGAATCGAGCTCAATGCTCCAACTCTTGTCATGCATGTACAATGGCCGGAAGACAGGTCTGTCTCAAACCAGGGTACAATTCGCTGTGGCCTGCTCCAAGATTACCAATAAAGTTGAACAGCACCTCCACTCGTGGGCTGACGAGCATACACCCACCCCCGAAACCACGCGTCTTCCCCAACTCCGGATGGGACGCCATCAGTCCATCGACCCCAATCGAAGAAGAGACAATCCCCACGTACAGACCCGAAAGATTCTACCCCGTCCACATCGGCGAGGTCTTCAACTGCCGCTATCAAGTCGTCGGCAAACTGGGCTACGCGTCCAGCGCGACAGCATGGCTGTGCCGTGATCTGATGTAGGCCAGCGAACCCTGACTCCTCTGTGTATAACATCTAACATGACAGGGGAAACCGCTACACAACACTCAAAGTCTACACCATGTCGGCCGCCGACCCGGAGGTCCAGGTGTACCAGCACCTCGACACCATCCAATCCAGCCACGCCGATCTGTCGTGTCTGCGCCCGCTGCTCGACGTCTTCCACGTACACAGCCCAGACGCACGCAGCGTCCACGCTTGTCTGGTGCACCCCCCGCTAGGCCTCAGTCTGGACCAGCTGACTCCGCTGCTCCCGGACGGAGTCATGAGCAGCGGGATGGTGAGGACGGCCATGCGGAACGTCCTTGCAGCGCTGGACTTTCTCCACGCCGAGGCATTCATACCGGTTCGTACTGCCTGCATCGGGAGAGCATTGCGATAACGGGTTCTGGGGGTAGATATCCAGCCGAATAATATCCTCCTCGGGATCAAGGACGAGTCCATCCTGTCTGGATTTGAAGAATGGGAGATGGAGACGCCCGTCCCGCGAAAGGTTCTGCAAGACCGTCCGATCTATCTCTCGCGACCGCTGCCGATCTCCTACGGGACGCCGGTTCTCTGCGATCTGGGGGAGGCTCGTGTTGGCATTGAGGTCAGCACGGCGATATCATGCCCGATCTGTATCGCGCGCCGGAGGTCATTTTGAACATGGAATGGGATTACAAGGTTGATATCTGGAGTGTCGGGATGGTGGTAAGACTCTATTGTATTTCCGCTTGTCGAATGAGCTGACAGTGGAGATCTGGGATCTGTCGAACGTCGACATCTTTTCAAAGCTCGGAATCCGGAAGGCAAGCTGGACGATTGGTGCCATCTGGCCCAGATGCATGCTGTCCTAGGGAGTCCTCCAGTTGAGTTCCTCGCTCGGAGCGAGCGAAGTCTTGAGTTTTGGGACCAGGATGGTCTGTCCCACCCTGGATGTTATGTCGGCTATCAGTACTGACACTCCTACCAGGTACCTGGAAAGGTGCAGTCCCTCTCCCGGAATACACCCTCGAAACCCTCGAGGAAAGATTGCAAGGCGACGACAAGACCGACTTTCTACGCTTCCTCCGACGCATGCTGGCCTGGGCACCAGAAGACAGGGCCACTGCAAAAGAGCTCTTGTTCGATCCATGGTTAATGCGTGGACTGTTCAAATAACCACATCCAACCTATAGATCATATGTACAGTACCAGCCGTAGAACAGAGAACAGCATCCCTAAACACACTCCGCCCCCCTACACTCCTACTTCCTCTTCTCCCCCTCGGCACGCACAAACGCAGCGCGCAGCTCACTCCCGGCCTCCCACAAAACCCAAACCGGCACAAACACCCACAGCGTATTGAAAAAGAACAAATAAAACCACAAATACACCGGATTCGACGTATCCAGCTGCGCACTCGCAGTCAGCCACTCCGGCGCAAACGTCATAAACCCACCATACAGCTCGGCGGTCGCCAGCGCCGGCGCAACAAGCCACAGCCTCGCCTTGGCCGCCGCACGCTCGCCCGGCGGCGTGGCGGGCCGCGACGCCCTCCACAGCAGATAGCAGACGTACAGCGCGGCGGGGCCGCCCAGACACACGGTGAGGATCTCGAGCGAGACGACGGTCGGGTCGGCGACGGCCCAGCGCGCGTCGGCCTTGGCGTATTCCTGCCAGAGCCGGGCGCTGGGGCCGGAGCCGTAGGCGGCGCCGTAGACGCGGTCGGTGTGGCCGAGGAAGTAGGGGGCGCGGGCGAAGCCGGCGGGCAGGGTGGCGAAGCTGGTGAAGCACTCGTAGAGGAAGGAGCCTTCGATGAAGAAGTGGGTGAGGGCGTCGTAGGCGTGCCAGTAGAAGAGGAGGCGGTTACGCGTGTGGGTGGAGGGGATCAGGGCGCGGCCGAGGAGGTATGCGGCTGGCATGAAGGAGAGGGCGAAGGCGATGCAGAGGCATGTTGGGAGGTCGAGGGTGAATGTCGTGGGTGACATTTTTGGTATGAGGGAGTTTGAAGGTGGATGGAGGAAGAAGGAAGATGATGATGATGATGAGGTTGTTGGTGGAGTAAGGAGCCGGAACCCCTGAAATTGCCGAATCGGGCGGATCCACCGTGCTTATTCTGACTTACTCATACTTCTATACATCCATTATCCAGCATAATGATATTGAATGTATTCACATCGATGAGGTCTCCATGTGGTGGCAATGACACTGTAGTCGAAGCTGTTTCAAGGAGTCGTCTGCATTTGAGACCAGCCACAAGACTCATATCAACTATCTACAGAGCATCTAAATGTTGACACCCGCGTTAAATACGGATGAGTTTATGCATACACCTCGGCAATTGCAATAGGCACAGTCTACGTAAGTTGTAGTTACTGCTGAGTAGCATCTGACATTGCGACGTTGTATACCCATCTAAGGATGTTACTGTTCAGCCATTCCCATTGTCTATGCGGAATAGGATATAAGGTCGACACCATCCTCAAATGAATACGGCTGAAACGGACCGTGTTGATTTGAGCATGCCCTTTTTGGACGATGTAGTATGCCTCGGCGTCTAGATCTGGGACCGATATAGTGCACTTTGTTTCATCTACAACACCCAAGGTATGTGCATCACAGATCAGACATACTCGGGATCTCCTCCTTCACATGTTCAAGTCCTCTAGATAGCGACGCCGATGTAACCTCATCTTCAAGGAGGACAGATGTGTATCCTCTCAGGCCAACGTATAAAGCCGCCTCATCCACGGTCAAGGGCTATAAACGCCAGACCACTGTCAGTCTAATCCTTCTATCCAAGCAATATGAAGTTCATATCATACTTTCTTTCAATTGCTATCCCAGCGACTACCGCAGCCAGCGTCTTTGCCGGCTCCAACCTCTACTATGCTGCAGGCTTGACCTCCACGCAGCAGGATACCCTGTTCACCGGTCTCCAAAGTGCAGGCGTAAAGGTCCTCCGCGTCTGGCTTGATGGTATACCCCCTCACCTTAAATGACACATGAGCTAAGACCATACAGGGCAGTCCAACGCCCAGAAAGGAACCCAGCTGAACCCATTCCCCAGTCTCGAGGGCGACGCCCCCGGGACCTGGGATGACACCGTCCTCAACCGCCTCGACGACGTCATGTACAAGGCGCACCAGTACGGCATCAAGCTGCTGATCTCGATCCATAGCTACAATGCGTTGTCTACCAACTCGGACTTTTACGGCAAGTGGTACGGCACCGGAGACTTCTACACCGATACCCATGCTATCGCCTACTTCAAGAACCGCATTGCCCATGTGCTGGCCCATGTCAACCCGCATAATGGGAAGACCTGGGCGCAGAGCTCGGAGTATATCTTTGCGTTTGAGGCGCAGAATGAGGCGATGCACGATCAGGTATCACCCCAACGTATCAAACTGCTTATCGTCTGTATAGAAACTGACGAGAGTAGGAAAACCCCTCTGCCCTGACAACCTGGCAATGCACAATGGCGCAAGCTCTGAAAAGCGGTCTCAACGGCAACACCGGCATCCTAGTGACAACAGGCGGCGGCGCCTATCTGGCCAACTCCCTGCTCGATCCGTACTTCTCCTGCTTCGCACTGGACGTCCTCGCAATCCACGCATATGGTACCAGCGACTTCACAACCAGCACGCTGAAGCCCTACGTCTCGAAAGCACTCGCCAGCGGGAAGAAGCTCATCATGCAGGAATGGGGCGCGTGCTACTACGGCTCCGTGAACAACCGCTGCAACCCGAGCGCCCCACTATCCCAGAGCAGTCGTGATGGTAATATCAAGTCCTGGGCGAGCAGTATTGCGGCGGCGGGTATCCCGTGGTTTTACTGGCAGATTTTGCCGAATGAGGACCCGCATCATGATTGGGATTATGAGGTCGGTATTGATGGGGTGAACTGGGCGGCGCTGCAGAGTGCTGGGAATGCGGCGGCGAATTATACGGCTGCTTTTGAATTTTTCCCCCTGGTTGTTGTAATCGATTTGGAGCAGTATGCTGTTTGTATGGAAGACCATCGCGTGAATGAATAAGCAAAGTATAGTTATAACAAGAATGCTTTTAATGAGACTACATTGTTGTCTAATATTAACGAACTAACAACTAGATGCACTAGGCAACATTGGGACCCCGACACCAACACCAAACTACATAGAACTGTCCCCCTCGCAAGATTCTTCCCTGATAACACATTTCATCTCGGTCACTTTATTGTATTCCTTGCCCAAAGCCCCCATCACATACAATTCACGCAAATGGCCAGCCTAGTTTCCGTCCCCGTGACTCTCCCGGACGACAAAATCCCGACTAAAACCAACATCAGAGACATTATCGGCACATTCCTAACAAACGAATGGCCCTCTGCGGACCCAGAAACCCTTCGCATGTCATATCGTGCATCATTTGCCAACGCGCACTGTCCCGTGGAGCGACCGAAGGCCGCACCCGATACACCCACTGAACCGTTGAAAGTGTTTATCAAATTCCACCGCGACACCGCGGGGGATCTCGAGATCTTCAAGCACCTGGTCCCGACGAAACAGGAGGAGGCACTGTTCTGCTATGAGTATGGTCGCACGGGACTCGGAGCGAAGGTCTATGGGTTTTTCAAGACACAGGATGGCACGCTTGGGAGGGTCGATGAGTTCCTCGATGCACGCAACATGCGGCCGGAGGATGTCGAGAACGCGGAGATCCGGGCGGATGTTGCTAAGGCACTGGCGATGTTTCATACCCTGGAGTGTTCGTTGAAGAAAAGGCCAGTGGGATCATACTATGAAACCATCGTTGGTGGACTTGGGTGCTACCATAAGGCGGACAAGTTGAAGGCGCTGGGAAAGGAGGGAGGGGTCAGGATCGATGATCTAGTGGACTACGACTTTGGGACGAAGCTGCGGAATGTCGTGGAGAAGCTGGAATCCATAGGAGGGAAGAAAGGATGGTGCATACATGACGTGCAGTTCATGAACGTGATGGTCAGAAACGAGCCCAAGGACAGGGAGAGTCGAGTCGTCCTGATTGACTTCGAGTTTGTGACGCAGAACTACCGAGCGTTTGACATCGGTGGGCACTTTATGCAAAAGATGTTCCAATGGTTTGACGAGGACAGCAGGATGTCGGCTTGCAGGAAATATACAGAGGAAGAAAAGAGACACTTCTGTGATGAGTACGCCAAACAATGGAACAAGCAGACAGGTGATTCAGATACCGGGGCCCAGGTGTTCTTGGAAGCCGAGTACGGATTTCTGCTGGCCATTACTTTCGACATCCACAACATGCTGTGCTTCATGGCGAAGCAAAACGACCGCAATCCCCTGGATTTGTTTGCGCTCAACAAGCTATTCGACGAGTTTGTGGAGCAGTATGCCAAGCTCGGCATAGAAGAATCGTGATAAACGGGATTAATTTGCTCCCTTTCACTCCTGCTTCAGGGGCAAGTACCATAAGAAACAAGAAACTAAGATATGACACCCGAGTTTTTATATGTATACATGCATGTGTATTAACTTTGTTGTAGTTTCTATAGCCAATACCGGCTCCTCATCCAATCACGCCTGCTCTATCCACTTCTTCAGAACAGCTGCAACCTGCAAACTATTCTTCTCCATGAACACCATATGCCCGTTCCCGTGGATGCCAATATCGGCCAGCTTCAGATGCTTCGTCGGCACGCCCGCCTGCTGCAAGAACCGGACGGTGCACCAGTCATACGGCGCATGGTACGACGACTCGGTCGTCACGACCAGGACCGGCACATGGGCGAGATTGACGAGCTGTCTCGGGGCGGGCGAATCGGCCTGGATCACGCAATCGGAGTACAGAGACGAATTCGACGGAATCACCTGCTTGACGAGATCCGTGTCCGGGTCGGTCACGGCGGGCTGGAAGGTGAGCGGAATATCGGTCAGCCCGTAGGGGCGCGCAGAGGAGTTGCTGAACACGGCCTCCTGGAAAGGCGGGCCAGTGGGTTCGATCGAGACGATGGAGTGGACGAGGTGCGGGCGCACATCGGCTATGAGCCAGGGCATGAGGCCGCCCTGGGAGTGCGAGAGGAGGATGGCGGGGGATCCGATGCGGTCGAGCAGGGCGGCGCCGGCGGCCTGGACGGTCGACTGCTGGTAGGTTCCGGAACTGAGAAACTCGACGGTCGACGCATAGTAGGCGTCGAAGATGGGGTCGCCCATGACGCCGGTTCCGCTCCATTGGGTGTGCAGGGAGGCCTGCGGCCAGAGGTTGTATCGCTGTGGTGCGGTGAAGCGCTGCTGCAACAGCTCGGCGCTGTAGGTGCTCAGGGTCCCATTACCCGGGAACCAGGCACTGCGGCCGCGGAAAGTCTGGTCGATGATGTAGCACGCATATCCTTGCGAGAGGAAGTACGAGGCCCAGCCTTCGCCTCCATCGGGCTTGTTGAGCCAATTCTGCGGCCGGTTAACTTGCGCTCTAGGGGGAGGAAGACCATGGCCATCGTTTGATACGTACTGTGCCTGTTTGAGCCTGTCCATGAATGAAGACAATCGGATGTGGTTTGGTCGCCCCGGCGGCAGGGGTCAGCTTTTCGACGTACATCTGGTTCGCAAAGACATGCTGGCCTACGCTGTTGAGGGTATATTGCCCTCCCACATACATGTACTCACGCTGGGCAGGCACCTCGGCGCACAAGGCCGGCGCAGTGGCAGCAATTGCGCCGGCGATCAGAGAGAAAGCCGTTTTGACATGCATGGTGTTTGTTGCAGAGGAAGAGATGGCGAAGGCGACCAGGGGAAGGTAATTTGTGCACGAGGGCGCCATTCCTACTTGGGTAAGTACGGAGTCGTAACAAACTACTAAACAGATCTTGGCGGCGGAGCCTCCGCAGCCTCCGGGGGCTGCTGATTGGGTGTGGAGCGTGGGAGACTTTCCCGAACGATCTTAGCCAAAGTCTGTGCTGAAACCGCCAACTTAACCGCGAGTCATCGACGTCAGAGTTGCCGTTTTGGTCGGGAACACGAACTACTCGCTCTGTAAGTGAAACTCAACCCTAGACTGGGTAACCCTAGAGGTTGATTTTGCTTGGGCGGTTGGAATCCCTGCAATCTTCCAGAAGGAAGGCTAATCCTTCGCTCCCCTTAATATAATGCCTCCACCTGCTGAGAAGCCCGTACGTGTTTTCTCTATAGTCCGTTCGGAGGCACAGCAATGACTTCCACCCTCGTCATCCTCTGGGTGTTCACCTGGGTGGCGATCGGCCTGATCGCCCTTCGGCTGCTAATGCGCAAGGTGAAGAAAGCGCCCTTTGTCCTTGGCGATTACTTCTCCATGGGGGCCATCTTCTGCGCCCTCGTGCGCCTCGCTTTAGTGCATGTTATTCTCCTCTGGGGCACCAACAACATGTCCGCCGCCTTCCGACAGACGCACCATTTCACCCCGGAAGAGATCCGTCACAGAGAGATCGCCAGCAAGTTCATCCTCGTAAATCGAGTGTTCTACAATTCCTAGTACGTCAGATCGGATGGAGTGCTGGATTGGCAGGCTGTTTCTCATCTTTACCTGTTTCTAGTCTCTGGTTGCAAAAGCTGGTGCTACTTGACACCTACCGCAGACTGCACACGCATCTTCGCTGGGAGAAGCTCATCATGATCGCCTATATCGGCATCTTCGCCGCGACGTATGTCACGGTCCAGATCGTGACTTTTACCGAGTGCGATCCATTCAACCACTACTGGCAGGTGCTACCGGATCCTGGTATGCCTTCTCTCTTTAGTCTCGTGTCCATTCACCCTAACAAACTCAGGCACATGCTGCCAGGCACAGCTCCAACTAATCGTCCTCGGTATGCCGTTCAAATCTCGTTCAACAATACCCCACTTCTAATATTTGGTTAGGCGTCCTCAATGTCATCACCGACGTGATGCTGATCGCCATGCCGATCCCGATCCTGGTTATGGTGAAACGTTCCTTTCTTGAGTACGCCCCGCCCCAACCTCCACCACCCATGTACAGAGCATGTCGTTGACTCGTTCTCAGAAAACTCCAGCTAGCCGCCCTCTTCACCGTTGGCCTCTTCATTGTCGCCATCACCATCGCTAGACTACCTCAAAACGCCGAAAATCCCACCGTACAGGTGAACAGAACGACCTGGGCGTCAATCGAGTTACTTGCCGCCGCCGTGGTTGCCAATGCGCCCGTTCTGTACGGGCTTTTGAAGGGAAGGAGCCAAAGATCCTACGCCTCCGGGGCCGGTTCAGCGGGGCCATCGTGGCCGGGACAAAAGAGATCCGCACAGGCATCCGAGTTCGAGCTGCAAAGGGCCCGTCACAGTCATCGGGGGTCGTCGGGTCTGGGCTCGAGGATATCCTCTAGGAATTATCTGGAGATTGACGGCGAGAGCTGTCAGTCGTTGAATCGAACTGTGGGAGAGTATAATACTCCAATATGATTTCACTAAGAAGATATCAATACTTCTGAACTGTACTGCATCCCTGGTCAAGCTAATGCGGTATGGAGCAACTTGGTCTGGCATTGGTTGCAGAACCCACCTACCTGGCTCCTCCAACCTTCTCCGATCGCATACAGCTTGAGCGCCGCCTCCTGCGAACTCTTCGGTTCTCCAAGTCTCCAACCGTCAGCTTAGCACTCAATCACAATCATAAAGGGGGCCTACGCAATCCCGCGGAGCACATCACCACCCGCCACTGTCAACGACGCCAGCGTCGGATCCATCCTCACCCCAAGCACCTCGACACAAGCCCGCTTTCCATCTGCCTCTCCATACCTCCGCATCCACCTCATCAAGCGTCATAAGCAGATTTCCCACACCCCTCCGCGGACAAGCATCCCGCACAGCAACAATCCTCGCCCCAGGCAACCGATTAGTCGCAAATACCGGCACCACTTTAGCTTAAACCCTAAGTGGGTATGGGATGGGGGTGGATGGACTTGCGGAGGCTGAGGTAGCAGGGTTTGAAGCCCGCGTTGAGTAAGGCCGGCACGTATCCCAGTCCTTGTTGCCGTGGGCGAAAGGGACACGGTTTTCGGTGGCCGCTGGGATGCCGTGCAGACAGATGAGAGCTTGTTGCATGTCTTGCAAAGAGACGTCGAAGGGGGGTTCGCCGGGTATGAAGACTGGGATTGCTCTGGGGGCTGCGAAGGATTGCGAGAGTATGTATAGTATGTTTATATACAATGCAGGTGGCATGTTGGTCGCTGTCAGTACAGACAGGATGTATGAAAAGCTGGAGCTGAGCAGTCTTGTATCGTTTCTCTACGGTCTGTTCCCTACTTCTGTCCTTCTTCGTAAACCCCAACAGCCTCTCCTTACAACTTTAGTACATGTGATGCATTCTGGCCTCAAAATATACATGAATCGAGCTGTTTAGTACTTGCATATGTAGGTAGTCCAACTCTATGGCAAGTGGGGTCATGGGACGACGATCCGGGGAGTAGAAGTGGACGGAATGTGACCGGGCTAATGCTGTCATACAGTGAATTTATGGGAGTCTCTATCAGACGTAATCAATCCAGGAGTCATGGTGTCCATTCAACAAGAGTAAACATGTGTGTAAAGCAATTAGTGAGGGTTAATAGCGACCTCATCTCACCTCTTGCTTCTCCCTTCTAAGCCCATGGTAACATCGCTTGGTGACATCCAGATGTACTGGTTCAACAAACATTCCCACAGATCATCTCTCAGGTATTTTCCTCTTCGTCCTATCGTAGTTCACCCCCTGAGTCTCCTCTCCAGTAGTAGATCCGGGATTTCCCTAATCTCTCTCTCGCAGCCCTGACCGAAACCACCGATGTTATGAACGAAGAAGTCTCGAATGTCTTGCATCGGACAATCAGATAAGTAACGCCTTGGTACGAATGAATCTTGTCATTTAGGGACCGTGCGTCCAATCCTGCTCCCAGTACAAGGCGTCCGTAAAATCGACTGCGAGGCTCAGCCCCGCCAGGGTGAGTCGCCACGACAGAATACTCCCCCTGACCAAGAGTAGCGCAGCAACAAGCTCATCCTTCTGCCCAGCCAGACTCCGAGAGATGATCCGAATGTAGGTCGTCTGCCATGAAGGCCCAGTGGACATAGCGCAGATTCTGGAGGGAGGTGCCAGCGCGAGAAACGGGAATAATCGGCTACGTGAAAGGTAATTACATAGTATCCGAATGTTTTCATATATTTTGCAGTTTCTGATTCAGGGGAGCCTGCCGAATCGCTTCGTTAGCTCAGTATATACGTTAATATAACTGAGTTATATTTCATAAACGAATACAGTTGCTGCTCTGAGCACATCGAGGCTGAGGCAATCGCTCATGCCGTATTGATAGACGAACTGCCTATCATTGACCGAAACACACCATATCTCAGGCGATAGTTCTCCCACATGTTCTCCATGATAAACTTCGGTTGTAGACAGTGTAGTCAATATCGTTTGTCAGTTTCGACTGTTTCTTGACAGGGTAGTATACATAGTAGAGAAATGATTGGTTGGTAGCACGGGACCGGCCCGGACTTTTATAGTATTTTTGCTAACCTGTTTAGGCCACGGGGGCAAAAATTCATGGTAAAGGAAGGGGTGAAATGGTGAAAAAGGAAAACGTGAAATTTTTTTTCTCTCCTTTCCTCGCCATATAAAACTGACAGTTCCCCCATACTGAGTCCTGTTCTCCATATAAACCCGATCTCTACCATTCACTCTTTCATCGCCGTATTCAAAATGGGAAACGTAAGCTACTATATATTTGTCTTTTGTTCTTCTTCTTCCTCTTGCCTTTTTTTACGCCCGCTTGAAATGACAAGCATTTACCAACGAGACTATCTAGGGAGCCAAGGCTCAGATGAAGCGGGATCGCAATGCCAAAGATGCAAAAGGCGTAGGAAAGTCCCAACTCAAGGCTGTATGCATATTCATCTCCTTTCTCTTTCGTCTCCTCCGTGGGCGTAAGGTCATGCTCACTGTGATATAGAATGAAGCGGCAAAGGATATCCAATGTGTTGTGTGCAAAGCAACCTTTCTCAAAACGACTCGGGCGCCGGCGTTGACTGAACATGCCAGCAATAAGCATAGCAAGACTCTTCAAGACTGTTTTCCTAATTTTGTGGAGGCGCCAAAGAAATAGATAGGGGTCAAAGAATTCAAACCAGCCTCGACTTAACTGGAGTGTCGTATATTAACAACTAGAGAGCCAGCGGGGTACAAGTCTGAGCAATGCATTGTATTGATACTGTTGCAGGTCCTAGTCTATGCAGATAGTCTCTCTGCGCTAGGAAAGCTCATCCTATCCTCTCGCCTGGTGGAATGTGTAGTACCAAACAGGTCCATCTAGCCCTGCAATATCACACAGCCCAAGGAGAAGGATGCCACAAGTACAAGAATAACTACCATCATGAGTTCATATCCATACATTATCCCGAGGCCTCAGCTATCAGATGCGAGTACAGCAATGCAATATAATATCATACGGTCATAATGATGCAAAGAAGACCTTAAACGACCTCACCCACCACAAAAACATGCCCTCCAGGAAACAGCCCCGTCGACCCAGCATAACATCCCCAATACCAATCGTCGTTGATATTCTCCGCCTCGGTGATTTCGGCTCCACGTGGGAACATCAGTTCGTCCGTGACCTCGTTCTCTGGATACCACGACCACAAGGCGTGCACAATCAGGCCAACACCGCCGTCTGGGGGATATCGCCGGCCTGAGGATGGAGTAGCAGAAGAAACCGGAGTCGACGGCTCGGAATGGTTACCACTTCGGTCCCGGTCGTTCAGAGCCGGGTTACGCACACGCGAGGCCTTCTTTCTACGCTCTGAACCCTCCTTCCAGCTCCAAGCACCCAGACCCAGTTCCGGGGAGGTGGTATCACCGCGCCCGGTGCCGAAGGTGCGGGTTGCGGACGGGGTTGCGGGAGAGGAAGAGGTCGATGTTGAAGGCTGAAGATGCTCATCCTTCAAGGCACGTCCGCCTACCAGGTCACGGACGATAACTCGCCTTTGGCCATCTTCGTGAGCTTCAAAGCCAATGACCACCATCCGGTGACCTTTTCAAGCAACGACGCCACCCATTATGTCCGTTTTCCTTGCGAATCTTGGATGTTGCCACCAGCTTCAGGTAGCAGTTTGCACAGATATCGTAATCCCCATCGTTGCATTGGAGGCAGTGAAAGCGAAGGGTTGATGAGGGAATTGGCTGGATGCATATGTCGCATTTCGTTGAGAAGGAAAGAATCTTCGTTTCGCCTGCCGGTTCGACTGATGCATTCTCAGTTTGTGCGGCCGTGGGTCCATTCGAGCTGACAGCAGGACCCAGCCGACAGACCGGTAGAAGGGGATGGGTGCAGCATTTCCCTTGATTGACGCATCGGTTGCAGAAGCCCCAGTCTCCCTCGTTACACTGGTTGCATTTCCAGGAACAGTCATTGGCAACAGACTGACAGATGTCGCAAAACAGTCCCATCTGCAGTCTCTTGGCCGGGTTATCATTCGTCATGTCTCTTCCTTCCCTTCGCGCCTTGTAAGATCCTTCTGATGGGCGAGAATATCTGACAGATTGTAGTACATGCTGTTGTTCTTGTGGCGCAGAAGGTTGTCCGCTCGTGACAGCTGTGTGGCCATACGTAGCCTTTGCAGATGGACCAAACCCAATCCAATTGAGACAGCCCCGTCCCAGACGGTAGCATCGTAGGCAAAGATGATAGTTCCCATTGTTGCAGGATGGACATTTCTTGTGTAGATCGTACTGAATATTCTGCTTGCCACATCTCTCACACGAGATGGAGGGTTCGGGGTAGCCAGGTGAGCGAGAAGCGTGTGATCTTGACGAGGACGGTCTGGAGTTCCTGCCAACTTCCGCTGTCAGGGAACTGGTTGTCGACGGACTGCCAACAATCTGCTCTGGTCCTGAGAGAGGCCCGTTTTGTAAGCTCTGCACTGGCGATCCAGCCATGGTCGGCGAATCCACCAATGGTCTACTGGGCCGGATTTGTGGACTCTCCCCCGATAGCGATATGTTTGGTACTCGCTGCTCAGACTCCGTGGCCCGACGTGATCTTGGGGTTCGCGAGCCCGATGTCTGCACTCGTGGAATGTGAGAATTACGAGGGCGATCGGCGACCATATCACTCGAAGACCTCGTCGCTTGTCGCAGACCGATGTCGGAGGTAGATGCTGGGTTGACTGGGACAGGCGATGTCCTCCTCCGACTACTTCCCTGGTCCGACAAGCGCCTATGATGACCGGGATGACCTCCGCGCGGCAACAGAGGGTCAAGCAAGTACGGCCTAGACACAGGAGGATTCCGCGATGTCTCGTTGGAGACGGGGGCCGGCTGCTGCCTCTGTGTAGATTGTGATCTGGAACGCGGACGAGATGGAGCTTGCGATGGTGGCTCTTGGACCTCCCGTCTCTGCTGGGACCGTGACCGTAGCCGATGCCGTCGACGGTACGCATCCGCGATGCGCTCACTGAGTTCCTCTTCCTGTGCCGGGCCGAGATTGTCGAGATCAATATCGTCCAATAGACCTTCTTCCAGGATTTGTCGCAAGATTTCCTCCTCCATAGTCTCGGTGTCCGATAAACTTAACAACGATCGGAGACTGGACTGGTGCTCTATTCGTCGTGTACGTCCCGATGGTTCTTCCACCCGCGCATCTTGTTGAGCCTGTCGGCGCGATGCACGCTCTTCTTCTCTTCGTCGACGGGAGCGGCCATCTACACTCTCAGCTCGGCGCGATCTTGACGAGCGACGTGTGCGGTGGCGATCTGTGTCGCTGGGCCGTGCCCCGCTTTCCTGAAGACTCAGGTGCCGCACCCCCTCGCCTAAGCCGTGATCTCTGGCGTCCGACCTTCGAGGACTAGAGTCTGGAGATTCCAATGTTGGAAAAACCGACTCACCATGTTTATACCTCTGCGCTATCTCTTCTTTCTCCGCGGTTGACTTGTTGCGCTCGGGGTTTGCCGCCAGGACCATATCCAGGAGAGTTGTCACTGTAGCGTTGGGCCGCGTCTCACGCACGACCGCACGACATGATGGACAGGTGTATTGAACGGATGACGAGCGCCGGTGGGAGGCCTGAGTCGAGAACCATTCTTTGAGACAGGAGCCACAGTATGTATGCAGGCAGTCGAGGAGAGTGAGGGGTTGGTATAGGAGTTCTGTACAGATCTTGAATGTACTCGTGTCAGTAAATGTCGGAATATATATGATTTGTGGTACACTTTGTAATTGTACCGAGTTTCGTTATCGAGGTGAGTATGATCGCACCAGCGGGCTGATTCCCCGCACTACTTTCGCCGGAGAAAAAAACCTCAAATGGGCTTTAACATACGTACCGAGCAGGTGAGTTCCTTTTCAAGGTCCCCTAAACCGGGGCCTTTATGCGCTGTCGCCATGGAGAGTGGATGTGGAAGAGAGAGGTGGAGGAATCAACACGCAGCGGCGGAGTTGGGGAGAAATCGAGCGAATCCACGGATCTGTCCCGTCATCTCGGCTCGATCAGCTCCACCCTTCTTCAGATCGTCATCTCGACTGCTTTTGTCAGAATGCTACAGAGACTCCATGGGCTCTTCTGCCTTCATCACCAGTCATTCTGTTCATCTAACCAAGAACGTGCTCTTTCTAATCTCCGCCCCAACACTGCACCCGAATGTCATGCTGGCTTGGCTATCTTCCGCTCAAACTGCGCGCGGATAACCACTCCGTCAACCGACTCTGGCTCTTCCTACCTTGACCCCCCACGATACGGAATGTCTGTCGGTGGCTACTGAGATCCCCACCAAACTTCAGCTGCAGACCGACGCAGCTCCAGCACGCTGGAGTCGAGGCTGCGCTGCAGTGACTTGGCGGAACCCTGCATGCGGTGGAGCATGCCCCTAGGGTGAGTGCATATACGGTGTGTATATGAACAGGTTCTAGGGATCTGGTTGAGAAGTGACTCGGGGAGATCCGTGCCATTGATCGACTCGCTCTGGAGAGCAACTGGCCGATCAAGCAGGGTGAGATGTGATAATCTGATCTCTCTAACCTCCAGTGTAGGTGACAGAAGTGATTGCAGTCAGAGGGCCGGTCTCAAGCCGATATAATACTTGATTAGATTCAACGCGGTTCGTTAACCTGCTGAGAATAAAAGAAAGGCATATACCTACGCAAGGTAGAAGGGACCAGGGTGGTTTCGATCCAGATGAGAGAATCATTCACGATAATTCAGACGCAAGTTAGGTAGACAATCAAATGCAGACAATCTGGCGTCTCAGGGACTCCACAACTTATACTAGAGTAGTGATTTCGAGAGATCATGAGATTTAGCCAGGATATTCCTTTCCTTATGTCGTAACTAGATATATTATGGTACACATTGTAAGATTTAATATAGTCCATGTGTTCAGCCCAGAGTATCAAGGCACCTTTCTACTTATTACGAGACCACCTATCCTAATTCTAACGAGCAATCGGCCTTGGATAAAAATGGAAGTGGGACATGATAATTGCTGCTTCAGTGAAAAACCAGCGGACGGGAAATGCACAGCCACAAATTCTGTTATGCAGTCAGTGGAGCATGCATGCCAAAATGGGTGTGCCTTGGCGGGTGCCTGCCTGATCCAGCCTTATGGAGATACGAGGAGCACCTGCCACTTGCCGCTGCGCCACTTTGATCATCCAAGTCTGCGATCACCATGAACACCATCCAACGTCAGTCGCCCAGTCTGCCTGTGTAGGGACGGCCATCTTATATATCCTTGGTATCCTCTCGGTCCCGCACTTCTCACTTTTGTTTCATTCATCTTTCACCCAGTCCACTCCTGCACCATGTCATACAATCAATATCCCCCAAATCGTACGTCCCCACCCCCGCGCTCCATACAAATCGCCTGTTCTTCTATTTCGGAATATTCTGACAATTCTGCTCTCCAGAACCCCCCTACCCCAACTACGGCCCTCCCCAGGGATATTCACCTTCACCATATCCCCAACAACCAGGTCCTGGATACGGGCCTCCTCCAGGACCATATCAGCAACCTCCGCCCGGACCCTATCCCCCTCACTCCCCGCCGCCGCTCGGATACCCTCCTGCAGGTCCCCCGGGCCCCGGATACCACCAAACACCTCCGCCTCAACCTGTGCATTCTCCCTATGGTGGTCCACAACAAACTCAGTATCCACCTCATGGAGGGCAGGGCTATCCGCCGGGTCCCCCGCCTCCTGGGCCATACGGTGGTCCCGCTGCGCCGTACCCCCCGCAAAACTTCCAAGGCGGTCCGTCCGCATCTCCTCCCTCGCGCGGCTACATCCCAGGCCAGGTGGCCCCAGGCGATTTCCGACGCGAAGCCGATGCCCTGCGGAAAGCGATGAAAGGATTCGGTACCGACGAAAAGGCTTTGATCCAGGTGCTTGCTCCGCTCGACCCGCTGCAGATGGCCGCAGTCCGCTCTACCTACGCCAACCACATCAACCGCGATCTCTACAAAGATGTCAAGTCCGAGACGAGTGGATACTTCCGGCAGGGGTTGTTGGCTATTATCGATGGACCGCTCATGCACGACGTGGCGTCGGTGCGGGATGCGGTCGAGGGGGTCGGGACAAAAGAGTGGCTCCTCAATGACGTGCTCCTCGGTCGGTCCAACGCCGACCTGTCTGCCATCATGGCAGCCTACGAGGCTACGTACCGCCGTTCGCTCAAGAAGGACGTGGAGGGGGATCTATCTTTCAAGACGCGCAGTCTGTTCGGCCTGGTCCTCCGCGCCGACCGTCAAGAGGACACCCTCATGGTCGATCAGCGCAGGATCGAACTCGAAGCCCGAAACATTCAAAGTGCGACTTCTGGTCTTATGAAAAATGCTGAGGAAGTCTGTGCCATCTTCGCGCGATCCTCCGATAATGAGCTCCGCGCGATCAACAACGAGTTTAATAGGCGTTACCACCTTCCTCTAGAGAAACACATCGAGAAAGAATTCTCCGGCCATATGAAGGATGCGCTGTTGCATATGCTGCGCACAGCCCTGTGTCCGGCCATGCGCGACGCGGAACTGCTGGAAGAATGCATGAAGGGCATGGGCACGAAGGACGAGAAGCTGGTGGTGCGCGTTGTGCGTGTCCACTGGAACCGGGGGCACAAGGACCAGGTCAAGGCCGCCTATCTTCAGAAGTACGATAAGGACTTGATCCAGCGGGTGCGCGGCGAGACGAGTGGGGATTATCAGCGGTTGATGGTCGCATTATTAGAGTAATGGGTTTTATGATTATTGGGTCATGGTTCGGTGGGTGGCGGTCATTTGCTGGTTCTGTACTATCAACGACGCTTGTATTCTTAATACGTGATATGAAGGATGACTCTGGTCGCTAGGTAATGCACTCATGTTACTCCAAGCAAGTTTGTACTGACATCAGTCTTCTTTCTAGTAGTTGAGTAAATAGCTAAAAGGCAGTGACCTCATCGAGCAGCAGACAAGGCTTGTGATGGTTGGGCGGATGACCGGCATCTTCCGTCCGGGGGCGCATTAGCTTCATTCTTTGTCTTCGGCATTAACCAGAAATCCATGACTGCTCTCATAGCATATTTGCAACAGCTTGAGCTAGTCAGTATAGGTAAGATCAGGGCACCTGTTCCTGACACGTATACTTGCATGATTCGCCACTAGTCAGCAACGTTCCTTCAACACAGCCCTCCGCGATGATTCAGTCTGGGCACGGGCGTACGTAATAGGTGTCATAGGGCTGCATAAACCATCATGACTGCGAATGACTGCAATCGCCCTGCATCGCTTCTCGGGCGGCCAGTCAGCCGGGCGTCTTCTCCACGAGTCTTGCGCATCGCCCGCACGCGCGCCCAGCACGTGCTGTTCTCATGACCGTGGAGGCCGAGCTTATAATCTGGCAATCTTTCTACTTACTCCAGAGGATGTTCAGAAATCTGTCCTTCTCGCACTATGACAGCGAGTTGCGCGGTGACGTGAGGCTTGGCTGGAGGGCATAGACGGCGTTGGCTTATCGTTCTGCCTGGTCATACTTTTCCTTATAAACCACCTGTCCCTCATTCTCATCTATGTCCTCATCATAGATATTATTATCCTTGTTAGAATGCCTCACCTCCACCACAGAAGACGCCACTCCTGGCCCTACTCCGGACCCAGGAAACAGCCCCTTCCGATTATCAAAGTCTCCGCCCCGGACGACGAGCTCGCGCCGCCCTTCCTCACGCCTCTCGCACCGGAGGATCTATTCGATGACCCCGACGCCGCTTCTGCCGGCATAGTCCGTTCTCCGAACCACCACCATCATCATCACCTCTGGTCACATTTCCGAACCGCTCCTACAGACAAGACGCCCCATCTTAGCGGCAGCACCAGTCCTCCAGGCACGTTCAGACGGATGATAAGACCGCCGCTGGATAAGGCGCGGTCGCTGTTTACTGTGCCGACGACCACGGCGACGGGGGAGAGTGTCTGGGTGGCGTATTGGGTGCAGCAGGGGAAGGGAGGTTTGTCGCGCGGGACGGAGCGGACGACGGGCACGGGTATGGGCACGGAGAGAGTGGAGCGGTATCATCGGCGGTGTCATTCGGAGCAGCCGCGGTCGTGGAGAGAGCCGAGTGCGAGTTTGTGGACGTTGTTGGAGGAGTGATGTTGCGGGGTGTTGGCGTTTTGGTGTTTCTAGAGTGCATTGATGGCGTATGGTTGGTGTGGTTTGTATAGATTTGCATGTGATGGTATTTTGTTCTTGGGGCTATTTACAGGTGCAGGCAGTATATTGGATGGCTAAAATTATTAGTCGACAGAGATATTGTGTGTTATGAAATTTGCATTGAGCTATGGGGAAGTCAAGACACTGCAGAGTAGAGAAAGCCAGCGGGCTGGCCCCAACATTTTGTTCTCAGACTCCATTTTAGCAAACTCGCACCCGATATATCCGATCTTAAGCATAGCAACAACACAGACCGGAAAACGTGCCGATAACGATTTGTGCCCGTGTCTCTTGGCAAACAGACATGATGTCACTGGGCGCGCTGAGCCGCAACTGTGGGGTGTCAAACAATATGGAGTGATTCATTTGATGTTCGCTACTTCATATCCTGCAAGGTCACTGTCCTGCTCCAGACTCGACTTGAGTGATTTGAATATGATTACACTTAATCCACTATCTCTTATCTTGAAGCTGGTGACTGCCTGGTCAGCTGAACATCCAGTGTGACTCAATCAGCCCTAGACAAGAGTCAGCATTCCGTCTCACCTGCAGCACGCCAATCATGGGCGGCCGCGACAGGTGGGGGCCAAATTGCTTGGTAGGTTGGTCGCGAACCGAGGAATGTTTCCTTCTCGAAGCACGCTAGAAGAGTCGGGCGTCTTGGTTCAGTTGCCCGGTGGAATTGGACAAGACTGGATGAAAGACCCTATGTTCTCTTAAGTCCTAGATGGATGATCTCGATTGACTGTGCCGCTATAGAACGGCCTCCAGAACACCTTATCTGTTCGGTGTTCCATTCCAGTCCGCGCATGGAGAATGTATTGTGCTGCCTGAGGGGAATCTATCTTTCCGCCCCAGGCAGAAGCGGTGAATTTGGAGCCTCTTCCAGGCGATCCTGCACGATTCAGCATCCTGATTGGCGCGAGGACCCCTGATAGGGCAGAGAGTGGGGTCGGTCTGGGGTTCCTCACCGACTGGCCTGTTGGCAGCCTCCCATTCGTGTGTGTCAACCGGGGGCCCCCATGCCCTACAGACAGCCGAGTCGCTCATAGGCTGGTGAGGGTCCACGCAGTCTCCTAGGGCTGGCACTTGTGGAGGGGTCGATGGGGATGTCGAGGGCAGGCAATTGGAACATAAATAGAACTGATGTCCCCGGGGTAGGATCATTACCATTGCATCCTTTCCCAGAAATCTCCTGGACTATCAATCCTCCAATCTACCACTTAACAATTCAATCCATACTACCATTCTACATCTACCTACAATGTCCTCCTACGCCCGTCGCTCCGCAAGCCCCCAGGCTTCGCGGGACTCCCAGAACGAAAAGCACATCTCACACGCCCGCAGTCGCAGCGACGACCGCCGTCGCCGTCAAGGCACCATCACCGACTGCGGCCGTCATTCGAACGAATGGCTCTTCGGCGGGTTCAGTTTCCGCGACACCGTCCGCGACGGCGTCGACCGCCTGCGTCACCAGCGCCAAAAGAGCTGAGCGGTTCTGTCTGGTTTCTATACGAGACTGCTGCATCGGAACATTTGATACTATCGTTTCCCCCTCCCTATATTGATGGGTCGACTTGACGGTTTTGATCTACCCCGACTGGGCTTTGAGTCCCTTTTTTACACACACGACGCCGCCGCTGTCCTCTGAACAGTGTCCCAAGTTTTGTAACCTCGGTGATATGAGGATGGGCGCTGCGGTTTATTCCCCGAGACGTCTGATTGGGATGGGAACGATTGCGATGGATTGTTGATTTCAACCACGCTTGGTTCGAGGACCCGTTGGGTCGGGACGTGGGGCTAGCCTGCGAGATGGCTATGAGGAAAGCCCTGGCCACTCTGGAGGATGCGTGGCCACAGGGGGTCAAAGAGTTGTGCTGTGTTCAGACGACAATGGTGATCTATGAGTGCTACCAAGAATTGCATATTGAATCAAATTTCTGTTTTCTATAGTCCACTTTATGGGGTTGTTACCGTCAATGTAGACTAAGTACCTGGTAGATTGTGTTAAGGTGTCCAAGGCATCAATTAAACCTAGACACAATCGTGAGCTTTCTAAATTAAGAAACGTGGACATGTGACCATCCTCAACCCACACAAGCGTATTAGTCTCCTGCAGCAGTTCCTCTCAACAGCAACCAACCACCAAAGTCAAAGTAAGGACAGATGAGAGAAAACAAGAATGGACCGCCAACAAAATGAGAGACAAAACGCTAGCTGTCGCCGCAACACCTGCTATAAATGTCCATCGTGACGGACCCGGACTCCACGGCTGCGCGCCAGATCCTACTCCGTATATCGTGCAATCATGACCAACGCCCAAGACAAATGCAAGATGTGATGCAGCATTCCCAGAGGGAAGCACATAACCAAAACAAGACAACACAGGGTAAATCCACGGATATGCCCTCACGCTCGCTGCCACGCTGCAATGTCCCCCGCCGTAACGTCTATATTCTCGGGAATCAGACTCTGGAGCGTCACGACCTGTGCGGGAGCTGGAAGGCATTAGCACTGCAACAACCCCGACGGAAGCATAGACATAACGTACTCGGACGCTGCGACGGCGCAGCCGCAGCATGCACTTGAATAATCCCTGAATCGACATACGCTCTCGTGGTCACCCCGCCAGCCGAAGCTGCCCCCAGCATCACGCGCAACCGGTACCGTCCCGGGGCGGCGATGACCAGGGGACTGAACCGCGCATACCCGCTGGTCGTGTTCCCAATGCGACTACGCACGCTCGATGTCAGCGTCCCTGTCAACCCGGGCGCCGGCCCAGCGTCGTTACGCAGAGAGGCGTGCATCACTAGTTGCTGGACCGAGCCCGCGCCGGCGGCGCTGCCGACGGGTCGCACCCCAACCACCACCGGCAGGGTAAACGGGACGCCGGGGCGGACGGCTGCCGGTGGCCCAATCTCAAAAGTGAGGCCGTACTCTCGACTGGAGCTGGCCGAGTCTGTTCCTGCGGCGCCGATGACCATCTTGAGCTGTTGGTGCGGGGGAATGAGGAGCGATGAAGAAGAATATTCCATTCGCAGGGGGCCTGGAGGAGAGTCCGACGAGACGAGTCTGACTGGATGAATGGTGCCGAGAAGATTGAGTTGGACGATCGACCACGATTAGATCCTCCAACGACTTCATATACCTTTCCAGCCAGGGGGCCTACCATGTTGCTGGGTGCATGATGAAGGCAGACCCAAAACAACGACGTAGTGAGCACGCGGATCAGGACGGTGGATGGTTTGCCACCGCGAAATAAATATCAATAGATCTAAACGGCCCAGTACCGCAGATCCGCATCGCAGTGGTCCCCAGACGTTGGGTGGTGATAACCATGCACTAGCCTGCAGAAAAAGGGACTGACATGAAATCTACCCGTACAGGGTATTACCGGGCAGGAATTGAACGATTGGGTCCTTCAGCGGTCAGTGCGTTTTCGGTATTCTTTGCTTTTGTCGGTCTTTTTGTCGCTTTCTGAGAGCCATTGGCTTGCTTTTCCGCCTTTCTCCCGGTGCCATCTGAAGACGCGTCAACATAAAAGGCCTCCCTAGGGCCTGCGGTGGGGACCACGCTAGCACTGACACTCGGCCAGATTGCGTTTGCAATACCGGAACCTAAAGTGAGACGTCAGATCCTTGCAGGGGACGAACTGCATACCGGAAGAAGATCTCATCTCGAAGCTTAATCCCGCGAGAACGTGTTGAACGCGAAGGAATTGTTTGCGGTTCACTCGCCCTACACTCCGGACAGCAGTGGGAAATGTGCGGAAATGACTCTATCTGGCCCCGCAGGGTTTAATTATCTTCTATCCGGCTTCTTCTGGCTCATTTGCAATGGCCCCTCTTGCCCAGTGGGGAAGTGGAGAGGACATCCGCATTCGAGGTAAGCACTTGGGCAAGACACACGAGGGAGATGATCCGTTCCCTTTGGAAATGATAAGCGAGATCCCAATCCGTCTCCTTGCATTGACGGACAGATCTTGATAGTCTGGTCTCGAGAGCAGGGACCCCTTTCAGCCCTTAGTACCGGCTAGTACCCGGGCGCGGGGGGGTGGTTAACCAAACCATTCATCATGGCAGTGGGATCCCGTTTGGTGTCGTCGGGGGAAAGGAAGTAGTCGGTGAGGGTGGACTGAGATGGACATTGCCACTGTGAACTCAACCTGTAGTCCATTGCATACATCACGTTGGTACATGAGGAGGGCCACAGGGTCTTCTGTTACAGGGGTGTATTCGGTTAGGCGGTCAAAGCGCGCGGAAAAGCAGAAGTGCAGTGGAGCTCAAGCCATAGGCAAAACCAAAATTGACCGATTACGACTAGAACAAGGATGAGAAAATTACCACTATGGATGCGTATGCGTATCAACCATCCCACTAACTGAATGAGGTCGACAACGCACCCCAAAGAGGAAGTCGATACGGTGGAGTGTGGGCGCACTAGTGGACGACTTCGCCACACAATTGACCTAATCGGGACAGAAAGCATCACACAAGCCACAGTCAAGGGGGCTGGACCCACCTCAGCCTCATGACAGAACAGGGAAGTTGAAGCTGCAAACCAGGAAACCGGGATGAAACCTTAAAATCGTCAATCGATCGGCTCGAGGGAGTTCAAGATCCATCAATCAACCGCTGTTGCCTGCCATCACAAAGTCGCAACGATGTAAGGATTAGACGAACCTCTACAGTTGAATAAGTCAGCATTGCTTGGGCGGGTCCCAGATTCTGCTATACCCTCGGGATCCTTCGACTCCGAAATTATCCCGACTACTAGTTACACTACCTAGGTAGATGGAATCAGAAAACAATCTTCAACAGGATTAGGAGTAGAGTGTTTACAGAGTAGGATTCCGTATCTTCTCTACCCATTCAGCAGGGCGTGGACCCGTTCACCAGGAAATACCTAATCAGGCAATGCCCCAGTGGTTCCCCACGAGGCACACGGGCCCAATTCGGTTAGTGCTGAGATCCTTCCGACACATGGCTAATAATTTCCTCCAATCAGGGCCCATCTTATCGATGTCCGGATCCCGGTCTAGATCCCGCTGTGTTGGGTCGGGCTCTTCTTTTTTTTCTCTTTTTTTCTTCAGCTTGACAGCCAAGGATAGTCCCCGAGTCGGTAAAATATGTCTGTCTATCTAGTACTATTCAGGCTATACGTAATGACTAGACTGAAGATTGTCATTGAGACAGGGCTTCGGCATACACCTTCCGCACAGAGCTCGTGTGAAGAAGCGTGGATCTCGATAGCCTCAGCTCTTCCTTCCTGTCACCTCTCACCGAATTTCCCGCTACGTGACAGCTGTTAAGCTACCTAGTATCTATGCAGCTCAGCTGGAGCTCCTCCAGGCTCCAGAGTCCAATCTTCGTGGGCTACGTGCGGATAACCTGTACGCGGATATCCGCCGTCTCTCTTGCCAATCGACAGCACACGTCTATTCGGATCTCCGCGGGGTGCTCACCGGACAACGCCAAACGTGTCTGCCTGCAAGCGGATGCAAGATTGATCGGATCCACCGACGTTGAATGTGCGACATCAGCTATCGATGACGATCCCCTGCCGCCTTACCGACAAGCCACAGGTGGCTGAGACGCACGATCGACGGCCAGGATGTGGCGGTGAACCATAGTCGTGGAGGAAGGAACCCTCTTGCAGGAGTCCTTGCGTTCGTGAAGCCACTTCATGCGGTCGCCCTGGTTGCCGTTTTCTGAATCTCCCTAATTGAAGTACGTCACCGCGCTCGCAATCCTGCCCAGATCGATCAATCTTGCTTGTTTGTTGTCTCAATGCGGTCATGATGTTCAGTCAAAATGCCAGTGCGTTGCTATAGCACACTGCATTATGGTCCACACCCTCGATCTTCCTCTTCCAACTCGAGCACTGGTTCTGTCCTGTATCCCGGATCCATCTTTCGAACCAGTTATCGAGGGTTTTCCTAGGTGCGGCTGAAGTCAGGCAGAAAAACCGGATTATTCCTTGTGCGCTCCACCGATCAAACTCTCGCACTGAACTGACTTACGCTTGAATACTCCGTGGTACTCCGTATTATCCCCAGAGTCGAACTTACTCGGTTGTACTTGATGGTACTTCTTTCATGCAGCCTCCCGTTGCGGATCCACAACGAGAACGCCCTAGCGTACATCACGCTGACAACTAACATGTGGCAAAACCTGAGAGCTCAACATCCGAATGACCTCTAACAAAGGAGAATGGACGTGGCCAGACTCGCTACAGCCATGATATGGCGTAATGTTCGCCAAATCACCTCCAGAATCCCGACAACATTGAGCTCCAGAGGGATCTAGGTCGTAATATGGCCTTCTCCCCCTATTATTATTGCTTCGTGGGTCGGGTCGTACAATATCACAGGTGGCATGAGTGACTTATCGGAAGTGCTTCGTCTGATTCGTCCATGACCTTGCCGTCTCATCGGTATGACTGTACCCACCCCTGAGTGCTACATTAGGGGGGCATGATGAGATTTGGGCATTGGGTTCTTCAAACCTATCCGAACCTGCTTTCTATCGAACAAAGGAGGTATTGCATTAGAGACACGGCCGAGATCATCCGACAACAGACAACCCAATGCGAAGCCTAAGCAGCAGAGCCAAGATGTGTGCCCAGAGGTGATGGCGCGTGGCTTTGTTTGATGATGTCCAATGGGGAACCCTATATAACCATCCGTACCCCCGGGTGTTCGGGCTTATGTCGGCCCCGCCACTGTACGGAGTACTCCGTACTCCGTATATGCTCGCATCTCGATGGTCCCGCACTTTACGAAAAGATTCCCCCTGCGGATAAGATACATGAAAACGTTTTTCCGCCAATGGATGATTTACTTGTATAGGTCGATCCCGTCCGTTTCCAAACGGTGTATTACAACGTCCGGATGCTCATCGTTGATCGAGTGAAATACTTACGGAGTAGGTAATACACCTGCTGCGGCAGCGGGATTTGCGTACTCTCGGTGTTGTGACCACACATACGGGCCGAGACTCCGAGAGAAAGATCATCCATAGCGAGCCCCGGAACTTCCGGCCGAAGCACGGAGTATCTAGTCTACATACAAAGCCAGGTACTTTATCCAGATTGCCGATCCATCGGACAGGTCCCGAACTGCCACTGGGTCCTCTCGACCGTTGGCTTCACTTAGTCTCGCACTTGACACATTCGTGACAGGTTCGGAAGTCGTTGCGATGGCTAAAAAGAAAATTCTCGCCGCTAATGTGTTTGCCTGGTGACAGTCCCAGGCTAGTCCAGATCACCAGCACTATGTATTTTAGGATGGTGCATCTCGACCAAAAGGGCAATATAAAAATACACGGAGGAATCACGCGGGTGAATTTTCCATCATGATGACTGTACCTGTTCGACATTGATCCATAATGTTAGATCCCGACAGGACACCTGGATAGTCGCGCTGTACTAGAGCCCGCGGTGATGGGAGTGATTATTGAAGGTACTCTCTGCCTACGGAAGGTTTCGTGCGCCAGAACTGTTGTAGCGCCACATTCACTGCTGTAACAGTGGCAGATACCATTCAAGCCTGATTTTGTCTACTCCGTACAATGCGTCACCTATGCCTGTGTCCTTGGGTTATCATGAAGCGTGCCTCTATATGGGCCTAGTACGTTAGACCAGGTTTTGGTTAGCAATTCGGGGGAGAGGTGACAATATCAGGTAACTCAAAATAGAGAAATGCTCTGAGAATGAACTGCATCATATTGAGACATTACAGAACCACCTCTAAACATTTCACAGCACTGCATGCACTGACATATAGCTTACAATCCAGTTGTGCTGTACAACAAACCAGGCGGGAATAAGAACAGAACGTCCTTACTGGGGGAATGGGGCCAAGAGGCGAGACTGTTCAGGCGGGAAAATGAATATATTCGACTTCCCGGAGATGCAATTCTCCCTACATCAGCCATCCTTCCTTCCTGAATCAATTGAGGAGACGGAAATATCGTTCCTTCCTGACCTGCTGCTCGTGGTTTTCCCTCGTCCTCGTTCCGTTGACTCCAACATGGCATTATCTCACCCCCAAGTCATCCCCAACCAGCCATATCCTTATCAAATCACTGGCTGTACCCGTGACTCCAGTAAGAATGCCCCCGATCCCCATCCGCCAGTCTCCATCCATTCCCGGCGTCCCACGGCCGTCGACAGACTCCGCCAAGGAGCCCATACCGGGGACCAAATACATCAGCCTGCGCGTCATGCTCGAGCTCCTGGCGGGCACGCTAGCAATATTCATCATCGGGGTGCTAGCCTGGAAACTCGGCCGCTTCATTCGCTCCTTTACGAGAAAACGAGTTCTGCAGAGCAACGCTCCCACCGCGCGCTACGCCAGAACCTGGTACGGGTGGGTACCGCTGCAGCGCCACGAACGTAATCAGGACCTGGCGCAAAGGTGTCTGCAACGTCTTTGTGGCTGGACGACATGGTCGTCCAAAGCGGATTATCGCTGGGTCTGGTGGGACCCGGGCTCGAAGGAGCTGCAGAGACACAACGAGAAGCGGAAGTTGCGCCGATGGTTGCCTAGGTCTTTACGGAGTCGCAGCTTTGTGACGGCGGATGACATTTGGAATCCTGTTCTGCGGGGTCCGGCCTCTAAAGCGGGAACGTATGTGTGCTCTGCTGGTGTGCTCGAGGGGCTTGTTCCGTCCAGTGACATTATTTTCAGTCGTGAGGCCGCGACTACGTCCGCCAGCTAAGGGACGCGATAGTACTGTCGACGAGTCTCGCGACTCAGAGACAGAGTTCCGCGGTCACCTGCGGAGAGGCCTTGGCCGCATGTGGTATGGGGGCTTTTCCAGAGGCAGATATTCCGCGGACGATGCTCACTTCAGGCGCTGGAGGACTGCGTGGACGAGCCAGCTTGATTATATTTCCAAAAAGAATAAACGACGCTCTTCCGCTACTAACGCTTATCTGATATCCAAGAAAAGTCGTTCCCTTCCATGTTTGCTGGCCGCGAACGTCTTCCAGCAACAGCATCAACGTCCCAATCGGACCAGTTGCGCTGGGACGCCAGCGAGGCGGTCCGCCTCTCACTCTCCTTTGCAGGTCCTGAGACACTCACGGAAGTATCAAGTATGGTCTGCTCGTATGCAATTGAGAACGCCTTATTGCGTCAAGAATGGCTCTCTTGGGCCCCTGGTCCCTCCGGGAAGTCCTATCTCGGATATTTTAGCGAGCATCTCGTCACACCAAGCTTCGCTACTTGACTTGGCCAAGCTGGATAAGAAACGTTCCTCAGTCTCTAGTGACATGGTCATTTATAGACATGCGCGGCGCCACCGCAGAACAAGTTCAATACTGACAAGGAAACCCGCGATGACAGACGGCGCGGGGAAACGGTATCTTGCGCCAGGACAGAATTCACTGGCAGGTGTATCCCCTCATAACCGCCAGACACTATCTTGTATAGACGATGACCCTTGGACATCCTCGCGATCGGTCGAATGCGCGCCGACATGTGAACACAAGCGCTTCGACAAGAAGTCAAATGGCAGCAGCGCAAAAGACATACCGGAAATCAAGATTCCAATCCGGATCTTGAGCGACTGGGAAATACGCTCCATATATGCTCTAAGCTGCCGACTTGAATGGCTCGCTAACCAACTCAACCCTGGAAGACGACCGTTTCATTTTGCCATGCTCCCGAACCACTGGATGAACAAGCGGACCTGGATTGTTTATGACCCCCCCTGTCGGGTCTCCATTGATGCAAGGAGGAGGCTAGGTGACACGCGCTTCTTCACAGCCTATCCGATGCCAGATTGGACGCCCAAACTAAAGTATCCACAGCCTCATCGCAAAGTGGTCCACAGACCTAGGATAGATTCATGGCGGAATGCGGTCAACCGTCGCAGGAAGTCTCTGGGCCTAACATCATTCGTGAAGACGATTGAGCTGTACGAAAGTTCCGGCGAATACCCCCCAGATGGCAAGGTCGACCCAGCGAGCTGGATGCTTCGAAGGCCGCCTCAAGGTGTTGGTCCCCCGCGAAACCAAGAAAACGTTTATTATGAAGGTGGTACTGGGTGGCAAGAAACTTACCGTGACTGGCAGCGAGTTCCGCATGGTTATCGAGTCCGGAAGATGATCCACGAGGGCAGAATCAACCGGAACAGAGTGAAAGAAGTTGCGCTGAGTGTATCCAGGCGTTGTACGACAAGGGGTGCACGTAGCCGACAGAACCGAAGAATACCAGGCGGTCCGATTCAAGAACTCACACATCGTTAAGCAGGTCGACGTTGATGCCATCCTCTCTTTTCAGCGTGCGAAAGCAGTCTGTGGTGGGAACACGGTTTATGTATCTCTGGTATAAAATGTCCCTTAATATCCTTATTATAGACTCATTCGTTCCCTTTTTACAGCATTGACGGAGTCAATCATTCAGTTTCATAGGCTCTGCAGCCTTGACATTGCTGGCTGTGAATAATAAAACATTGAATACAGGTATGCTGATTCTTCCAGTTTCCGAAACTCCGTAAGCCTTTATGTATCCTTTTCTGGTTTCAGACACTCTCCAACAGAATATGACCAAGATGCGCAGTGGTGTATCGTACAATAAGAGCCCCAATATATATCCGGGTAGCGTGGAGCGGCGGGGACCGCTCGAAGGAATTCGATAAGACGGGGTGTTTAGAAACCGGGGGGGTTCACGCGCTGGCTGACTCGTGTCCACTTGGGGAGTTCTTTGTGGAGAGTTAGCCATCCGCGTACCAGACAAACCATGCGAGTGCAACAAGCAGAGAACACCGCGGCCTGGATGCGCTGCGTTCCAACTGGAGGGCGATAACAGGGCACTCACTGTGAATTCCCTTGCGATATGTCTTTTCCTTCTTGTCAAAAAGCGTGTACTTGTCTTTCGGAAGCATCTCCTCTTCGCGGGGCATTTCGCGGTACCACCGTTCGACGGCTTTGGAGGACTGTCCGGTTCGGTAAAGGGCGGCGCTGACGGTATCGACGACGCGGTCAACGGACCGCAGACGCTTTCTCTGACGGGCCTTTTGTGGCTGGGAGATGCGCCATGGGATCTTCCTGTATGGAGAGAGGGAATGGTCAGTGAGGGCGTCTCTGGGTGACTGGGGGATCTTGTATTGGCATGCGCGGGATATCGGGGTTTGGCGAGAATGCCCAGCGGGGATTGACAGGAGACCTACCAGAGAAGACCGCTGAAGAGCGGCGACGATGGCTTGAACATGGTCGGGGAGGAGTGAGGGGAGGAGATGTGGAGGGAGAAGCAGAGAAAGAAGGAGAGGTGATGTTGGAGGAAAATCCGGCGGTGGCGTGGTCCGTGCGCCCGACCTCCGCGGTCCAACAAAAACGCCCCAATGAAGACTCCCTCTGCTCTCACGCCGCTCATCTGGTCCATCTGGGATCTTTTCTCTCTCTCTCTCTCTCTCTCTCTCTCTCTCTCTCTCTTACTTTTACGTCTCTCCGTTCATGGATTATCTATAGTCGCCCAATATGTTTGCCTCCGTCGATTCTGGCGCAACGGCAGATTCGCCCTCGTTGGCGTGGAGGGCCATGTCCTCGACGACCATCTTCGGCGTCGCTGCGCTGTGTCGCTCGTTTCTCTTCCTGTGCAGTCGGCCTGAAGTGCATGGACTGGACTCCTTTCTCGAGCTTCTGGACTCGCGACGGGATCCCGCTACTAGGACAAGAGGTTTGCTTACAGGTACGTGCGATTACATGCTTTGTATACTCCTGCGCAAAGGCTAATCTTCCCCCGCGACGCCGCAGTCTCCAACCATACCAGCGTGTACGTACGTACGATGCGCCTCGGGCCCGACTGAGGCGACCCCGTTCAGTTCGACAACACCAACGTACTGACCAGAGCAGTATGGATGATCCGATCATGTGGGGATTCCTTCCGATGCGATACAACTCCGGCCTTGCGTCGTGGAACAAGAGATGGGGATTCGGAAGCCACGATATCTGCTTTCAGAACCGGTATAGCACCGCCTTCGCTGGACACCCACAACTAGCATGCGGCTGACTGACTGTTCTCTTCGCGCCTCAGTCCACTGTCCCTGTTCTTCACCATGGGCCAAGTCCTCCCCACCCATCGATTGGCCCATTCGCCTCACGGTGGCCTCGCCCAGCCTGCTGTCACGCAGGCGATCCGTCTGCTGTCGAAAGGACCCTTCCCCGTCGACCCGCATCAACAACCCCGCTCCGAACGTCAGCACTGGAGTCTGCAGAACGTCTGCGTGGACCCCTTCTCCGACGTGCCGACCGCCTTTACAACCGACGGAGAGGACTCCCATCTCGCCCCGTCGGCATACGCCTGCAACTCCTACGCCTGGATGCATATCTTCCCGGAGGGGAAGATCCACCAGGCGCCCAATAAGACCATGCGCTATTTCAAGTGGGGCGTGGCACGCCTGATCCTCGAGGCAAGCGAGTGCCCGGATGTCGTGCCGATCTGGCTGGAAGGCTTCGATCAGGTCATGCACGAGAGCCGCGAGTTCCCCCGCTTCCTCCCGCGACCGGGCAAGGAGGTGAGTGTGACTTTCGGGAAGAAGGTGGACTCGGAAGCGGTTTTTGGCGACATGAGGAGGCGGTGGCAGGAGATTAAGGCCAAGGCAGAATTAACGGCCCCCGACACTCGAGATTTGCCGCTGGGAGTCCTGAATGACGAGCTCTTGTACGGACGAGAGGCAGTTGAGCTCCGGAAGGAAGTCACGAAGAAGGTCCGGGAGCTGGTGCTGGAGGTGCGACGGTCTCGTGGGTTGCCTGATGAGGATCCCAAGGAAGGCCTGGTCGAGACGTGGATCCGAGAAGGCCCGAAGCGAGAGGGCAAGATGGAGGACGATTCCTGGGTCAGGGATATCTGATCCGGCCGGATACCCTGTGCGAATATTATTGTAAAATATAGAATAGACGATTGTACAGTACTACCTAGGTGCCTTCCTGCCCTGGGACGATGATGTAGTTGTCAGCGGCGGGCTAATGATAGACCGATAAGACGGACCCGCGGGGTTTCCCCCAACTTGCTCCAACCACCTGCATCCCACCACACTCCATCATTATCGCCGCCGATTCTCGATGCCCAAGAAGCATCAGAAACCCCGTTTTACCAAACCAGCCACCACTGCACACCATACGCTCGCCTCCAGCTCGCGACGGGACCAACATGATCCTTTTCGCTCGCCCGCTGCGGCCGCGAGCCCCGCGCAGCCGTCCGTCAACGACTTAATCACTCATCTCCGTCGTACCCAGGTATCGCAGTCGGCTGCGGATAACCAGAGAAGCCCGTCGAGCGTTCTACCCCGGCGTTCCGTGCACCCATCGCTGCGCAATGTCCTAGAGTTACCCGAGACACCGCCTCCGCGTCCGCGTCCCGGCAGTCGCCGGGTTGGAGTCAGAGGACGAAGGCGGTTTGCGGGGCCCCCGCCGCCTGAAAGTTGGCTGTTGGGGAACACAGAGAATGAGGAGTATGAGGAGTGTGAATCGGATACGGATGCGCAGAGCGAGAGGGTAATCTACCGTGTGGACCGTCTGCCTGGGACGACGTTCCCGGGGAGAGATACTCTGTTACATACGGCGCTGAAGTCGATGGCGTCGCATTGGCTGTGGCATGTTGAATATGACGGACAATTTCTGGGAACCCTGCCCACTCGTGTACGGGAGCTGTTGCTCAGCTATATAGCTGTCCATGCAAGAGACCTGCCCCTCGCCAAGTTAAAACAGGGTCTACGGCCGCTGTTCAATCGAAGTCGGGAGGATGAGCTCGCCGAAGACTGGTCCACTGCACCTCAGAATGCCGATTCTGATGTTTCCCGTTTGGACCTGAGCTGTGCGATAGGCCGCTGGATGAGTTTCAAACAACTGACAGCGGACCTCTTCGTTTCTATGCACCAGGCGAGCGTGCGACAAGAGGGTAGCGAAAAGCATGTCCCCGAATCCTGGGAGGATGTGTACGACGAGGACATCAAGTCTACTGCAAGTATGTCGTTGCCCAAAACGCTCGGCCAGGGCCCTCGGTTCCAGAAATTGCGCTTTCTATCGCTCGCACACCCGAAGCCAGGGGCTGCGAATTGGAACTCACTTATCACGCTCCTTTCGCGGCTTTCAACCATAACACATCTTTCTCTCGCGCACTGGCCGGTCCCCACTGTGACTCCAAATGCTACCCACGCGCGGATCCGCCACCCCAATCATAGGTCGCTAACGTTCTCCTACAGCGGGACCGACAGCTACGCGTCCAGCGAGAACAACTGGGCCGAAGCGGCTGGTATCCTGCGCAGACTGTCCCGAGTGACGTACTGCCTTAAGTGGCTTGATCTCGAAGGCTGCAGTAGCTGGATCCCCGCTCTAAACTGGGAAGGTGTTGGACCAGATGGCGAGCCCTACGCCACCGGTCCTGAATGGAACGGGTCGTGGCGTGATATCGACTTTGTTCGTCTGGGGCCGGGATGGCTTCCTCATATCGACGATAGTGAGCTGCCGCTTGTGTCTGGTAATGTGGCGGGGCATGCTCATGGGACGGGCTCTTCCGTCGCTGTGGCGTCGTCGTCTTCCCCAGCGCGTGGTCTCTCTGCATCCATCCATGCTCCATCCATCCAGGGTGATCCGGGGCGTCGTACGCCGTCGGGTAGTGAAGACCTCGCATGGGATGTGGAGGTGGAGCGGATCCAGTATAGACGACGCAAGGAAGTAGAACTCTTCAAGAACGCGGTTCAAGGTGCAAAAGAAGTTCAGCAACGGGTCTTCCGTGTACGGAGAGACGGCCAGGGGAAATGGGCGCGTTTCTCCTTCGGCTTGGAGGGTCTAGACGAGGATGTTCTTAAACAGTTGCTGGGGCCGGAATATTGGCGACTTCTCCCGTGATGGAGTGAAGTGGTTGGTGGCTATCGGATTGAATGTTGACATCACTACGGGTGTATATACTAAGTATCCTTGACTATATATACAGAGCTGACGGATGCATGGCCTGCCCATGTTAGACCTCGATTATGCTCATTGTCCAAGGGAGACTAATATTTTGACATGCCTGGCTATGGGAGCATGTCACACAATTTTTGACTCTCTTTCATGAATGTACAGCTAGGAATTCCGAAGGAAGGGGACTGGCCATACGTACATGCTCGTGTTGCGGGTAGACGAATATAGTGCCGATGGACCCTCATGCATGATTGAGCTCAAAGCATCGAACAAACAATACAATGAACCTCCCACGCTTGACTGTAGGTGGGCAAAATGTTGCTGTACACAAAAGGGCTGTATTATTCTGCAATGTACACAAAATACCTCGGAAATTCTGATCCGTCCAGTTTTGTACAAGGGATGAGACTGGGTTTCTGGGGTACGCGAAAGCATGCGTCTGTTTTGGCATGTAAGTTTTGAAAACATTGATATCTCCGTAGCAGTGCCCGAGCAGTACACCATCCATCATGCATGTATACGGGCCTCCCAGGAGGCTTCAAGACTCGTCAAAACGCTAAACATATAGCTCATCCTACCTCTCGAATTATCCCCGCAAGATTGTCGCATGCTTTAAGTTTACTTCCATAGTCAAGGCTTGCCTCAAGGAATGGACTTGTCACAATGGCATGCCACGCTCTCCCTGGTTACATGCAATACGCACTACAAAAGGAAGCGCATGGTGCGAAAATCAGCCATGGTAACAGTATACGCTCCTGGGGCTATTTCCTGCCTTGCCTTTCAAGATGCGCCTGGCTCCCCTCCGACTCCTGGGCCTCACCGTTGCCCTCCTTGCTCCAACACAAGCCTGGAATCTCTGTCGCTGCCGGATTGGCGAGCCCTGCTGGCCTTCACAGGCGGAATGGAGGGCGCTCAACGCCTCCGTCAATGGGAACCTGATAGCCGTTCGGCCCGTAGGAGAAGTCTGCCATGGAAGCGCATATGACGCTGCAAAATGCGAGGAAGTGCGATCTCGCACCAACGACGCCGCCTGGCGCGTCGCACAACCAGGTATTCATCCAACCCATCCACCGGTCATCTGCGTGATGAAGCTCCGGACGTTGACAGACCACTCTAGGCGCCCTGTCCTGGACAAACTGGGAAGCCCTCGCCGAACTCGACGAGGACTGCTACATCGACCGTCCCAGGAATCACACCTGCAAGCAGGGCCGCATCCCGCCCTACGCAGTCATGGCGCGCACACCGCGCGACATCCAAGAAGCCCTGCGTTTCGCCAGGCGCCGCAACATCCACGTCGTCGTCCGCAATACTGGCCATGATATGTTCGGGAAGTCCGGCGGTCCCAGCGCGCTCCAGATCAACCTGAGCAAGCTGAAGGGCGTGCAATACCAGGAACACTTCGTCCCGCGCGGTGGATCCCAGTCGCTCGGTAAGGCGGCGACCCTCGCTGCTGGGACGATGGGAGCTGACTTTGCGGAGGACGCGCGCAAGCATGGGTATGTCCCGTTGATTGGCTTGGCCCCCACGGTAGGTGTCGCCGGGGGGTTTCTGCAGGGAGGGGGGATATCGACGCTCACGGCGGTGTTTGGGCTTGCGGCGGATCACGCGTTGGAGTTTGAGGTCATCACGGCACAGGTAGGTCTGCTTCGGGTGCTGCGTATGAAGATTGCAGATGGGCTAATGGGTATGTTCCCGCAGGGTGACCTCGTGGTAGCCAACGAGTTCCAGAATCAGGACCTCTTCTGGGCCTTGAAGGGCGGCGGTGGTGGCACGTTTGGCATTGCGATCCGGAGCACCGTTCAAGTCTTTGATGATTTCCCGGCGCTGACCCATGTCGCGGCAATGTCGGTGCCGAACGCCTTCCACAACGGCTCCGCGGCCGGCTGTCGAGCGTTGTGGGATGTTGTCGAGCAGTTGATACGGCTGATCCCACGGCTGCACGACAAGAACGTCGCAGCCAATTTCGGCATGACACACATGCCAGACGACAGCGCCATGGTGACCATGCAGATGGTATTCGCAAACCGCACCACCGCGCAGGCCAAAGACGATGCGCTGGCAGATCTGTATGCTGTTCTGCGTGAGCACGAGATCCCATACAACGCCACCTCGAACGTTCTCACGGGGTACTCCCAAGGCCTGCAGCGCCCCACAGACCGAACCGGCTGGGCAGACTATGACGGCTCCGTCCTGCTGTCTCGCCGATTCCTGTCCAAGCCAGACGCGCCCTCGCGGATGGTGGAGGTGATGTCCCAGGTGAAACTCGGCGTGGGGCATGCGTTTGAGATCGACATGCTTGGTGGACGCGTTCTGGACAAAAACCAGCGAGGCAGCGCCCTCCATCCGTCCTGGAGGGAATCACTGGCCTTGCTAATTATCCATATGAACCTGTCGCCGAGCCCGACGCCGGAGATGCAACGACAGGGCCAGGCACAGCTGACTAATGTGAATATGCCTCTTTTTCGATCTATAGAGGGCGATCCCCGGATGGGGTCATACTCTAACGCTGCGGATCCCAACGAGCCTCACTTCCAACAGGCGTTCTGGGGTGCGAACTACCCCCGGTTGGCGCAGGTGAAGCGTGTCTGGGATAGGGATGAGGTGTTTGTCTCGCGAAAGACAGTGGGTAGCGAAGATTGGGATGTTGAAGGACTGTGTCGGGCTCGAGTAGGGTAGGTTGCAGCTTGACGGTGTGGTGATATGGAGGATTGGACTCGAGGGTAGTGAGTGTACTATTGAATATCTTGTACCTGTATTCTTGCAGTGCACGAATGTAAATCGTATTATGCCGCGCTGGGATCGCAGAGAGGCGGGGTGTCTCCTATGCTTGATGCGTTCGCGGCTGGTCTCCCAGAGGAATATAGTTGGGGTCCGCTGCTGACGCAGGACGATGTTTCTGCGATGGATGAAAATCCTTGGTCAACGTCGCTTTTGAAGAAATGGTATTTCCCGGTCATCCTTTCTAATTGAAGGTTAGACTGTGCTAATGGATTTAGATGGCGGAATTCGATGCAGAGCAGTACGGCGCATACCCGAGCTTACTCTGACGAGCATCTCATAATAATAAATCTATTCCTTAAGTATCATAGCTACCAGAATATGTACATACTTGGGTGAAACAGAGCAAATCGAGCTAGCTCTATTTCCGCCCCCGATTAAATGTCTTCAGAGGATCGACTTTTTTGACACCGGCATAATTCCGGCCTTTACCCTTGCCGCGGTTCTTCTCTCTGGCCTTCCGGATCCTGTTCTCGCTGGTTTTTCTGAACCCGACGTATCCCACGTTCTCGCTGGAGATACCCTTCTTCCCCTTCGACGGCATCAGGTAGTCCGGGATATGTTTCAGGTGAGGTTGGATGCGGGCCGAACGCAGCTCGTCGTCGTGCCGCAGCTGGCGGAGCTCCTCGGGGTTCTCCTCGAAATGGCGCTTGAGCTTCTCGCTCTTGATCAGCTCCTGACGGATCTCGCGCGCACGCGCCTCCTGCACCGCGAGCCGGGTGATCGAGCGCAGCGCATCGGTCATTCGGTATCGGAACGCGTCAACCTGCTTCATCTCAAAGTGGTACGGTTTCACCTCGTGGCCGAGCTTCGCCTGCCGCTTGGTGATCTTGGCCAGCACGGTCTCGTCGTGCTTGGCGGTCGGGAACGACGTAGGCTTGTGTTTGCCGAATTGGTCGGCAGGCACGACAAACGACAACGCCATGCCGGTCTTGCCTGCGCGGCCGGTACGGCCGATGCGATGCGTGTAGGATTTCGAGGTGGTGGGAAGGTCGAAGTTGAGAACGCATGCGACGTTTTGGAAGTCAATGCCTCGGGAGATTCCGTAATCTTTGTCCTTTCCGGCTGTTTTGCGGCGCTTCTCGCTGGGTTTGTCGCTGCGGGTGGTGCTTGGCTTTTGCGCTTCGCCTTCGTCCTCGTCGCTGGAGCCGGCGGCTTCGCCGGCATCGTTTTCCTCCGCTTCCTTGGATTTCTTCGACTTGCGTGCCCCCATGACCTCCTGCTCGTCGGCTGCGATGATGATGTCGTAGACGCCCTTGTTGAATTCCTGTACAACGTGGAGACGGGAATTGACCGGGAGTTCGGAGTTGAGCACGCAGCTCTTGATACCGAACTGCTCGAGGAACAGCTTTACACGGTAGCAGCGATCTACGTCGCCGACGAAGATGATGACCTTTCCTTTGATCAGCTGCAGTTTGAAGATGACGTATGTCAAGAGGAACTTTTCGTCCTCGGCACATCTGTGGGATAGGTTAGCAATCTCAACATCATGAAATCATGCATCTGCCACGTACTTGACAACAAACTGACTGACGCCCGAACCCTGATCATCCTTGTCCTCCAGCTTCAGGATAACGGGGCTGCGACAGAAGAGACCCTTCAGCGTGTCCACTTCCGCCGTCAGGGTCGCGCTCATGAGGAAGGTCTGGACTCCACGGGGGATGGCCTTGGCTAGGGCGTTGATATCTTCATCGTATCCGTACGACAACACCAGGTCGGCTTCGTCGATGACGAGGTGGGTCAGGTTTTCGAGCGACAGGGCAGAACTACCCAGATTGGCGATCACCCGGGAGGGAGTCGACACAATGAGGTCGGGGTAATCGGCGAGCATCGTACGCTGGACTGCATCGGACACCTTCTGCGTCAGGTTCACCGACCGCACGTCTTTTCCGCAAAAGGCAGCAAACGTCGTGATGACATTCTGGACCTGTTCGGCGAGCTCTCGGGTGGGGACAAGGATGAGGCCGGTCGTCGCTTTCAGGGAAGGGTCATTCTGGAATGGAACAGTCAGGAAATATATAGCAATCGAAGAGGTTACGGTACGAACCGCTTTCTTCTGAAGAATCGTTTGGAGAATGGGAAGGACATAGGCGGCAGTCTTGCCGGAGCCGGTCTTTGCACGGGCTGATTGAGTCAGTATAACACGTTCAATGCACATGAACAATAGAAGCTTCCTACCGAGGATATCCTTGCCCTCCAGCGCCAGCGGAATCGCTTTCGCTTGAACAAGAGTAGGCTTGGTAAATTTCTCTTTGACCAGGGCTTGGCGCAGGCGCGGATCGAGATTGAGGCTTTCAAAGTCAAGATTGTCGACATCATTCTTCACAGAGTCATCGGCCGCCTCCGGAGAGGGGACATCATTGGCATCCAGCTTGCGTTTCATGGTCACGGGCTGCTTGTTGGGTTGTTGATGGTGTCGACGTTGGAGAGTTTTCTTTTATCTCGAGCCGCTGGGAAAATCTGTCGGGCGGTGAGAGATTCCGGGGCAGTATTTTTTTGTATGTCACGTGTTGTTATCGATAGCTTATCGATAAGCCCATATATGGGATGGACTGAAGCACAGGGATATAGGATTCGAACAATGGGAACAATTATACGAGGCTATTATATACAGCATAAATCACTATATAGTGAAGCGGTACAATAATGCAGAACGGTGTCTTCAATCCAAAATCATTTCAATTAAAGCAAACAGGCAGGACATGGTCACAACTAAATACAACAGTACTTCATAAGCGTTCGTTTCGTCATGTTGGAGATATAACACCAAAAGATACAGCGAATAACACATAAGGAAATAATCAATTTGGCAAGGGAAAGATCAATCTGGCACATCATAGCAAGCTGCAGACAAGACTAATACGGGAATGGTTCGTTAACATAGACAATGTTTCATGATATAGCTACGTGAAAAAAGGCCGCTCGCCCTCTGGAATCTGTCGTCATTCTCAAGATATCCCAAACATCCTGTGTCGGGAACTGCTGTCGTATGGTTGATATAATTGGATAACGTATTGCACATTGCGTGAAGGCCCGGGTAGTAGATTGCAAACGATCCATAAGCTGGAGCCGTGTTGGAGAAGCACAAACCAGTTGAAGTGGTTCGCGCGTGGTTTGAAAACTCGAATGGTCATTTGGTCCAGGTGCTGTCAAGACAGACCTCCCCATGGGAATGAACGAGCACGGGGCATCAGACCCAGATCTCGCGGCGCGCATAGGCCAAGAAATCTGGCATTGAGCGTTCTGTGATTCTTCCCACGGGGGCCACCTTGACATTATGTTCCACGGTGAATAATTTGCCAAAGTTCAGCCGTGACATAGGGCTGAGCTTATGATCATCGGAGATCGGTTGGATCTCTAACGCTTTACTCAACATCCGGGGCTCCAAGGAACTTGCAGTGGGTCTGCTGCCTTCCATGTATACGATGGCGTGCTTGGATGCGTCTGCGGCACTCTTGGACACACCTCGGTTCTTGTAAGTATAAATAGCGCTAGTCGAATTGTCAGTGTATTGCCTCCACAAGTCAGTGACGGAGTGAAGTAGCATACAAGCACCAAGCACAGTTGCCATATTCCTTGACCACTACCATTCGGCGAATATGGCTATAGACCGGTTCTCCAAATTGTCCCGCGATGCAAGTAGCATTGGTTTTGTTGGCATTGGCGCCTGCATTCTCGTGCCATAGAATGGAAAAGACCTATACGCGGGTCAGTAACAGGCCGGATATACTGGGAACCATTCGGGATATCGTGGACTTGCCCTTCCTTGTTTGAAGAATCTTCTCGGATCAGACCTGACTTGGTATCCTGGTGCTGGTTAGCCCATTCTATTGTATACAAAGGTTGGTACTAATTTGAATCGGTCATGCTTATACATACTTGGATCAAGTGTGGTGCTAGTGCTGCTGGCTGTAATTCTTTGTGACGCTGGGCCAGGGTTCTATATGATATTAGAGGGACCTACTGGGCTTCGTTCCATTGGACTCACCGCAAGCTCCCCATTTAGATGGACATTCGCTAGCGCAGGTGATAAGTGATCCACACCATCGGCCTCTTCTTCGGTTTCAACTGGTCTGTTGCTATGGCGTCTTGCAAGATCGCGTCCCGTGTGGCGACGCGGTTGCGGATCGGATTCGACACGGTAACCACCACCAGGGTGGCTGTCACGCCGAGTGCGGTCTTGTCGTGGGACCTCGGATTCCTCACGGTGGCTACCAATATTGTTAGTTAATACATTCACTGGTTCGTTCGCTCACAATCGCCAGGTAACGTACGGGTAGTCCCGTGGAGCGTGGAGCGCAGGGGCAGCCGATCCAGAGAAGTCCGAATTGCCCCTAATTCGGCCATCCACTGGAGGGGATCTGTAGCCACCGGGATAGGATACACCTGTGCTTGGATAGGGCGGCCGCCCTGGTGCAAATGACTGGGTTGGAAAGCCGTACTGCTGCTGTGGTTGTTGGTAGGTACGGGGAATAGCACTACATGGGGTTAGCGTATGCGCCAAAACATCTACATCATACCTACTCGGGGTACACCTGGTCCGCTACGGGGTACTGTGGATATTGTTGTTGGTAAGGGGGGCCATTACCCTCTGCTCATGTTGGGTCAGCATCGTACTGTACCAGTGTAGTCGGTCGCAAGCGCTTACCGGGGTAAGGATTATGGCCGCGATCTCCGTTTACATAACGATAGTCCATGGCTTCAGCATCTCCTCGGACAGGATCCGAACTGAAACAACAAAACAATCAAATAAGATTAATCAAACAGATGACGAATGAAATGTGAAAACCAGCGGACAGGTGGAAGACGTTCTTTGGACCGTGTTCAGCCCTCTTTAATCCCAAATGTATACACTGTAGATTAATCGGGCCCGACAGGAGTGCAGGTCGTCGTCGTGCTGGCGACGAGGACGCAGCCTTTAAATGGGCGTCCCGTCCAGCATCCCATCAGTCTCAGGTTTTCACCTGCGCAGATGAGGCTCTGTGCAAGCATCCCCCATCCTATCTCCCAGCACCGCGAACCCAGCATTCCCCTCATGCGCGAACACGTTTGTTTATTACCCGACGCGAAGCAGCTGACAGCCAGAAGCATGCGAACACACCGCTTGCACTGTACGAGGCAACTAGCGGTTATCTCCCGCATGTCTCATTGGAGGGCCGTCGCCGGGTCGCAGGCGTCGAAACTGCAACCGTCATACAGCCAGCCTGGTTCCGATCAACAGGGAGGGCGGGAGTGAAGATGGATTGGATCGCGCCGGGGGATGGCTAACAATCACGTTGCGCTATCAACACCCGGCCGGCCGGTCGTCCCGCGGGCGATGATTCGATGGCTGACCATTTCTGCGGACGGAACAGGGAGGGACGGATCGTAGTGCCGTGGGGTGCGTGAGATATCCGAAAGCCACCTGGGACCCTTGTGGTTTGGAATAAACGGAGGTGAGTGGGTGGACAGCCTGACAGGGATGGAGTGCCGGGCACATGCATCGGACATCGATGGACATGGGGGGTTTCGCCGGTACGAGGCTGGCACCCGTTATAGAGGAAGCGATAGGTCAGTGTGATATATATTTCTTTTATGTCGGACGAAAAGTAAATGAACTAGGATTATATATATATTATTGGCCATGACGTACCCCAACACACACCCTAAAGGAGCACAAATAAGAATAAAGGGGAAGACCATCCCGACATGCCGAATCCGAATTGACACGTCGCCCGCTGGGGGAAGAATAGGGGCTTCAAAGAAACATCCCCAGACTACAGTCTGAACATTCAGCCTCGCATCACGTCACTGCTGGGTCTCCAGCTGCTCTGGGATGGCTCTGACTCCGACTCCGACTCAGACAAGATGAAGAAGATTGTAGATGATTTCCTGAAACTGCTGGGGCTACGCGATTCACGGCGACTGTCCTTCTCCACCTATCCGCATCGGGTGCGTGATATTGCTTCCTTCTATATATACCTGCCCTGTGTTTACATTCCCATGTCCCCCTTACCTACCCACCCACATTCCGCTTCTCTCCCTGAAAACCGTTCAACAATAATAAAGCTTGGCTGATGTTTTAACCCAGGGTAAACGACATGACCACCACTGGGGCCCATCCAATCTGGAAAAACGCGGCAGGTCCACTACTTTTCTAGACTCTCCCGATGGGCTGGAGACTCCCGAGCCCATCTCCCTCGGCTTCAACAGTCCACCCTCTCGCCAGACGGCGTCCCCTCGCCCACAGGTAGACCCCCTCGACCTGCCGCTCCCGGACCTGGACTGTTTCTCCGAAACCTGGCCAAGTACGGACGCCTCCCATCATGGCCCCAGTAAGGACATCAGTGCCGTTTCCCCGAGCTCCGGAAAATCTAAGGAACCACAGGAGCACCCAGAGCATCCAGATCAGCAACACTCGCCCCAGATGCAACTACTCTCTCCCGGGCCAGACGCCATCGACGCGGAGTTTCGCGCAGAGCTCGCCGAGGCCGTCGCCCTGCTGATCAACCAGCAGCGGAATGCGTCTGCGCAGCGAGCTCATGTGCGCGAGCTGCGCACCGCCCTCCGGCACAAACGCGACGAGGAGGCCGAGCTGCGCGCGGATTTGATGAAAACGCTCTTCCCGCTCTTTACGGCGAATGTACCGTCGAGTTTCAACCCGACGGATAATGTCGCCCTTGTCGAAGAGTATGATCTGCTGCAGGCCGCCACCGTGGAGTACCTCGAACTCGAGCAAACTTACCAACAGGCCGAAGATCAGCTGGGTGAGCAGGAGTACATGCTCGCGAGGTCGATGGAGCGCTTCGTCCGCTTCACGCAGGGCACCCACGACGCCGCGGGGCAGGACAGTCCGGCTGCTAGGCCGGTGGCCCACGAGATCATCCACGACGATGCAAGCTCGTACGACAGCGCCCCGCGCGATATCCCCGCGGGGCTGCGGGCGTATCTATCCCGTGTGGGCGACGTGCAGATCCTTCAGGAGCGTCTCGCAGACCTGGACGCCCACTATGCCTCGATCATGGGAAAACAAGAACAACGAAATGTCTTCCACATCCCGCTTGACGAGGAATCGTGGGAGTTTCTACAGACCTTCGACGAAGAGTGGACCGAAACCTTCGCGGATCTGACCCAAGCCCAGTGGGATGCACAGGATCTAGAAGCCATCTGCGTGGAAACAGGCGTGCTAACAGACGAGTATAAAAACAGCCTGGATTATGTATACCAGTTTGACTTCGTGTACCAAGTAAGCGTGATCAACAACGGGGAAAATATCTTTCGTGACGTTGAGATTCCGCTGAAGCTGCGGGCCGAGCCGGCCGAGCCGCAAGATCAAGTGGTCTTCTTTGAAGGAGTCCCGGCGGAGCTCGATGCATCGTTGTCTGGCGAGTTCAAGGCGCCAAAGATGGACAAGGCCACGTTCATCAACCGATGGGTCTGGCATCAGCTTCGCATCTCGACCATCGAGATCCGCCGGCTAGAAGCATGGTACGCGGTTCACGGGATCTGGGATGAGGGCTATGACTACGGCACGATAGGCGAGATAGCCCAGGCAGAATGGTTCAAGGATAAGCGAGCGACATCAGCCAGCTCAATAAGCGAGGTGGATGCTCTTTCAAATGACTCCCCAGAGATTATGGATCCCGCCACGGAGTCCAAGGGAAGCCTGCGGCCCTTTTTTGAGAAGGAGATCCGAAGGAACGCGGCCGGTCTGTCTCTTTCGCATGGCTCACTAGGGTGAGCCTCTCGGGACAGTCATTTCTTGATTATGTTTTCTTGCATGAGGCATTTCGTTCCACATTTCGGGTGGGTGTTTCGGGTTTCATCGCAAAACTCGCATTCTGGCGTACGCTTTAGACGGTACAGGGTTACACTTGGCTTTCTTCTTTCAAACAATTTGATGCTCTCTACAGTTAGCTCTCAGTGCATGAGCCGAAGGCAATAAATGGATCAGAAATAAGGTGAAGGAATTATTTAGGCATAGTGTGTGGGTCTGAGCCTATCGACGGTTTACGGCCCGGGGTATCCACTTCCAGAACCTTATTCTACAGAAGTTCGAGCGGGCCTAATCGGGCAACGTGCTTTACTGCTGCTCGGCACCTAATTAGTGGGTGGCCCTTAAAGAAAGATACCTCCTAGCCTTGGTGGCGGCGTCGTACGCTCCACTGGGTAGCTGAGAATTAAGCCTGCGTGAGTCCGGTACAGGGGTCCTCCCAAGTTGGCTATGTCGATAGGCTACGTCGATATAGATAAACAGGTAATGTGTGGACTAGGTAACGAATTCAAAGTGGATTGAGCTGATTGCCCTTACGGATCTCCTCGCTTTCGTGGTTCTTGCACCTATTAGGGTCTAAGTCCTCAAAGGGGTAGGTAATATGCATAAGAAATCAATAGGTGCAACGGAAGACACCATTGACTCCAGATCCTCCCAATATTGTACATCTTGCTCTAGAAACAGCGTACGATAAGAACTGACAAGAAGTAACGATATGGATAGTCATATCATTAAGCAAGACTATCGACTATTACTTCATTAACCATCCTCACTCATGAAGGTAATTCAAACCGCTCCGCTCTCCGAGGTTCGCCATCGACCTCGGCCGGCGGTCCTTGCTGATGCTGGGTGTACATCGGCGGGCTCTCTTTCAAAAAGGCCCCCTCAGCCGGGGCATAAAGCGGACTGCGAAGTCGGGCTGACCGCCGATAGAAGTACCATATTACCAGAGAGAGAGCTACGACGAATGTACACCCGAGACCAACTCCGACGCCGATCCCGACTTTAGTTTGCGGAGAGAGACCTGAGTTGGTGGACGACGAGTCTGCTGCTGGGTCGGATGGTATCGTTGCCGGGCTGGTGGTTGTGATGGCTGAGGTGGTGAGTGAGATCGTTGGTGTGACGGACGTGCTGGATAGCTGTGTTGTTGTCGACGCAGACGCCGTTGGAGAGTCCGAATCCTTCTTAGTGATGTTGAAGTAGTGGCTGGCAAAGAGTCGGCTCGGGTTATAGATGTCGGTCGCGTCTCGGATCTGGAAGAAGAAGACATTGCCATCGTCAAGATTGCGCTGGGTCGAGACAATCCAGTCGTAGCTGGTGACGCCGGTCAGATTCGCTGGCATTGTCAGTCTCAAGCAGGCAAAGGAGCTTTGCAGCACTGGAAGAGGCATACTTTGAATCCACTCGTAGTCGGAGTTGTCGTTTTGCCAGAGCATGATGGAGAAGTAGTCGAGACTGGTCGCCCATCGCATCTGGACGGTTTCTCCCAGATCGTACACGGGGTTTTCAGAGTAATCGTGGATCTTGCCCCCGGTTGGGGGGTTGTAGAATATCCCAGGTTCTGCGTCAACATGGCAGGAGTAGAGCAAAAATAGGAGAGTCACCAGAAGCCGCAACATGGCCCCGACCAAATCTCATCGACAGGCATCAAAGACGACAGAGTAATGCGTGAATGCGAGACAAAATGGATGCGGCTTCACGGGGGGTGTGGGTTCTTGATTATGGCGGCTGAGATCAGAAGTGCCGTCTCTCGCGACAGTTTCAGGGGCGTCGACGATGCCATTCCTCCGTCCTCCGAAAGTGCGTCCGTTGTGGGCGACGATGTCGTACTAGAGCCTCGTTGGTATAGGAGCATGCAAAGACACTGCGCCGCAGAGAGCGATAGCACGGGGTTGGTCGGAGGTGACCCACCTCGTGGTGCTGATTGACGATCGAAGCGCCCCTAAAGTGACCCTAGCCCAGCCGATGTCACCAACTCGAGCCTCTCTCATCCCTCACCCTGTCTTTTTGTTTCTCTCTCTCGCCGTCATGGATTTCCACTAACACGGTCGAGGAAGATGTTGGTCTCTCCTCGCCACCTCTCGTTTTTCGGGATAACGGCATTCCTGCTCTTCCTCATCGTCTCGTTGCACAAATGGCGACCGCCATCACATTCGATGGCTAGTGTACCACCACATGCGCCTAGTCCTAGTCCTAGTCCTCCGGACGGCAATGCCGCTACAGACATCAATCCCGTCGCGAGCGCCGGCAACTCAACTCTGGGTGTATGTCCAAAGCACCTCCACCCGAATACCAAACTAACAACACCAGTTCCAAAAGATCCTCGCTCTCTCCGCCGGGCCGTCCTGGCGATCCCGAGGCCTACAAGCCGCCGCCGAACTGACTGGTCTCCAGATCGAGATCCCAGCCCAACCACCCATCAACCCCGACCTCGTCAACGCCTACCAGACGATGGGGCCAGCCTCGGTCGAGCACCCGACGCACGGCGCCAGCATCGCCTGGCTCGCGCACCTCGACCTGATCAAACACGTGCTGCAATCCAACCTCGACACGGCGCTGATCCTCGAAGACGACGTCGACTGGGACCGCGCCCTGCGCGAGCAAATGGTGCGCACCGCCTCCGCTGTGCGCAATCTCACGCATCTCCCTCCGCACCAGGAAAGCGACGCGCCGTACGGCCGCGCCTGGGACGTGCTGTGGATCGGGCACTGCGGCGAGTACTGGGACGAGGGGGTGGAGACGGTCGTCTTCGAGGACACGGGCGTGTGTCCGCACGACAAGTACTTCGGCTGGGCCGGACAGTACGTGTCGCGGCTGCCGGACCGCAAACGCGCGGTGTACTGGTCGTATAATCCGGTGTGTTCGTTTGCGTATGGAATGACGCGCGCGGGGGCGCGCAGGGTGCTGGAGCAGGTGGGCGGGTCGCAGGATGAGAGTTTTGATGTCGCCATGATGCATGCGTGTCGGCAGCGCCGGCTGGATTGCATTTCCGTTGTGCCGGAGGTTGTCCACCAGTACTTCCCGGCGCAGAAGTATGGCGTGCAGAGTCTGGTGGATATTGGGAATGGGAAGGAGCCGGGGCCGGCGGATGAGGTGTTTGAGAGCGTGATGGGCTCGACGGAGAATATCTTGGAGAGCGCGCGGTGTTTTGCGCTGTGGGGGAAGACATGTCTGAGATCTTGAATATCGAAGTAAGATACTACTGGAGCTCTAAAAAAAATATTATAAGACATGAATATTCACGGATATCTGCAAATGCCTAAAGCAGAAGTGTGTACCGGAAGTAAAGCTGTCTTTCTTAGACATCAGTAATACTGGTTGTAGAAATATAAAGGTTAACCATCATCTTCTGCTCCTAGGGTGATAAAGATTCTAACATACTACAATGCTTGTGAAACAAGTCCTCGGACAATATGGACACCAAAAATAGAGATACACTTATGCTGGCTATTTGCATTCACGCTATATCAAATTTATCTGTCATTCCATCCGTTCCGTGTCGCATAAAACATCAGTCCATAAAGCCCGTTCCCAATCCAAATACAAAAAACCCAAGCGCTGGTCAAAACGAATCCCACTATTTACAGTACAGTTGCCTTCTGATCATCGCGGAAAGGAGCTCACGAGTAACGTGTCTCATCGCCGTCACTGTCACTCAGACTGTCACGACGGCGGCTTCGTCCGCCATCACGACGGTATCCCTTGCTCAACCCCGGAATCGGATGATGGTAACTCTTGGTTCCCGACTCCTCCTCCGTATCGACAGTTGAGTACTGGTAGTCAGACCGAGAAGGTGCAGAAGAAAAGTCCAACGGTTCCGTGTAATGACCGGGCACGGAACGTCTCTCGCGCTTCCGTGGGCTGCTTTGGCGGGATGAAGACGAAGGAGGCGGGTGACGTCGCTCACGGCGACGGTTGTGTCGACGAGCGGAAGGCTCACGCACTGCGCGTGGTTCTGTCGGCGGTTGACTGATGACATCTTCGGTTCCGGGGGTGAAGGAAAAGTTGCGGCTCTGCCGGGCGGGCTCATAGGCGTAGTCGCGGACCTGGCTCATCTCGCTCTGTTGGTAGTTGCTGGGTGGGTTTGAGGTATCGTAGTCGCTTCCGTAGTAGGTGCCGTCAGCCTCTCTGTTGATACCACCGATTCTCGCCGGTTTTTCCTTGCGATAGGCGCGAACATCCTCATCCGCTTCACCCTCCCACTGCTCATCCTTGCGCCGACGGAGCAGTTTCTGTTTGGCCGTTTCCCGGAAGTTGCGCTTGCGCTTGGGTTCCTTCTCGCTGACCGTTGTCGCAGTGTCGGTATATCCGGGGGCGCTGTCCGTCACCGTGTATCCGTCATCGCTGTAGCCTTTGCCGACGATACTGCCTCCACCCAGCTTCGTACTCTTTGTCGCGTTACTGAGGGTGCGACCATCAGGACCCTTCCGCCGGAGCACAGTAGATTTGTACTCTTCCCAATCACCCTTCCTCCAAACGAATCCACCATTCTTGGCCCAGAAGAAGAACCAGATAGCCGCGAGGACAAAGGCAGCTCCAAGCAAGGCAAAGAGGGCCAGCAGGCCCTGCATGTTGATACTGTTAGGGTTGATGGTGCCATGACCGGGATTGTATGTCTTGGTTGAATCGGCTCGGGCGACTAGTGTGTTGGTAGCGATCAACTCATTGCTAGCAGCTGGGTCGTTATCAGTTGACAGGGCATCGTTGTGGATCAGAGATTCGTCGGGAATGCTGGGGAAGTTGTCGAGTTGCTGAACGGGAGGCATGTTGTGGCTAACGGTGTCAAGAGCATTAGCTCAAGACGGACTCTACGGGTGATGTTAGTTGAGACGTCATCCAGCATTTCCCATGGAGATAGGAATGTGGGTTCATACCGTTGAAGAAGAATGCCAGGTCTGGGTCGAGATCGCAGTGATCCACTCAGTACTTTGTTCGGGGACCGGTGGATGGATGGATGGATGGGGACAGTTTACTATCACATATAGTCAATATCCAGCCTGTCAAGGACGAGAAGGATGAAGAATAGAGAAGTGAACTCAGAAGGGACAAGCAGGCGACGATGAGAAAAGGTGGTGGTTGGAGTAAATCGCGAGGCTGGGGAAGCGCCCGCTTTGGGATGGATGTTTGGATCGGTGGGTGGCCGGGCAACTGCTGAGTCAGCCCGTGTTATCTTATCTGGTCACATGACCGCCTCGATTCCACTAGCCAATGATATCACGGGAGGGGACAATAGAACCATGGATCAATAGCCAGATTAATAGATTAATCACGAATAACATCAATACTTATATCTATATAGCATGTATACTCTGGATAGTTACCCATGTCCTCACAGTAGAGGACCAGAGTGACCGAAATAGACTCAAGGCTGGCAGCATATGTATGACAGACATGTCACACAGCCATTGGGCAGCAGACTTTGCCTCTTCAGTGTCATTCCTCTGCGATGAGTCATTCTAGTTTACTGCGTATTAACGGCGATTATCCATTCCATTCTGCTGCTATTGGGCGCCAACGGACATTTGGGCCGAAAAATCCTTCTTTTCGTCTTCTTTTTGCCTTCTTTTTCTTTCGATCGAGTCTCTCCTTGGGCAGCACTCATTCTTTTAACAATATACTCTTTTTCTCTCTTTCTCTCTCTCTCCCTCCCTCTCTTATATCCGGAGTATACTGAACCCCGCTCCTCACCGATTTTCCCCGTTACGCAGCATCTTCTATTCTTCCTCTTCTTCTTCTTTTCTTCTTTTTCTCCTCTTCTCTTTTTCTCTATCCCTCTTCCCTCTTCCCCCCATGGAGTCCTCCCAGCCGAATCCCCCTGGCCCCTCCATCCACCGCTGAAACAATCGCTGTCCGTCGTCCACGTTGCACCCGCCCCTCTTGGGGACCCAACGTCCCACTTTCTGCTGCTCGTCATGGCGCCCAAAAAAAGTCCGCCGCACGCCGCCTTTGTCGAGGAGTACGACGAAGACGCCCATGCCATCGTCCCCGACACTCGTCAAGTCGCCAAAGTCGCCGCCCGACGTTCTCGTTCCGATCTCAGGTCGCTCGCCGACCCTGTCCTTGATCTCGCCAGTGATTCCGGCTATTCTAGTCGCACCGCCGCCACCGTCCACAGCACCCAATCTGCCCCATCGTCGGGCCGGAACGACTTCGCTGCTGCTTCTGCTGCTGCTGCTGCTGCTGCTGCTGCTGCCGTCCCGTCTGCTGCTACGACTACCCTCAAGAGAGCTGATCTGGATCGGGTTCGCTCCAGCCGCAAAGATCGTACCAAAGAGCGCAGTCCACGACCCTCGCGGGAGAATGACAAGATGCAGGTCGTCTACCCCCCTGTGACCCATCATCATCAGCAGCAGCAACAACAACCGCCGCAGCGTCATCCCTCCCGTCGACGGGAGAGTGCCCAAATGCGCCACTACCCAGGCACCTGTCTGGAGTGTGATCAAGGCCTCTACCATGGCCCCCTCGATTACTCGCCTGCCTACTATATCTCTCAGCCCTCCACCCCGACGGTGTCATCCGTTCACGACTATCCACCCTCCATCATTCAGCAGGACGTTCCCGTCTCCCGTCCCAGTGCCCGCACCGGTCGCTCCAACTCCTACCACACCAACCCCCGGCCCATGAGTTTCCACGGCGTGGCCCCCAACCCCATGGGCGGCCCCGTGATGTATCATCACTCCGGGTCCGCCCGCTACGACCACGGTCCGCCTCTGTCCTCCTCCGCCTACGCCAACTACGCCCCGTCCCAGTACTCCCAACCAGGGTCCTACTACGGCGCCCCGGAGTTCATCAACGACAACCGCAAGGGAGCGCTCCGCCTCGCGCACCCGCCGGCGGCCCTCCCTCTCCGTCTACCCCCAAGGACCACCCATGCCCGACTTTGAATGCCGCCGGTCACCTTCGACGATGATGACGAGGATGAGGACGACGAGGATGAAGACGACGAGCCCCTCAACATGGCCCCGCCGCCTCCACCGCCGCCCCCGCAGGCCCGCCCCCGCCAGCCGTCGTACTCCGCCCACGACCGCGACGAGGACTACTACCCGTAGCATGCCGCCGCCGCCGCTCAAGTACAAGGCTGCGCCGAACATCATCCAGCGTCGCCCAGACCCGCCGCGCAAATCTGTCACGGCCCCTGCAGTCTCGTACGACCGACGGTCGTCGCGCTCGCTCGACCTGTCCGATCTGCGGGACGCCCTGCCGTCCGAATACGGCTACCACCGCTCCTCCCGCGAGACCATCGTTCCGGAGCGGAACCGCCGCTTGCGTTCCACTGCCTACCACCCCGACGGCAGCACTGCCACCCGTCCCTCCCGCGTCTCCGTCGAGAGCTCGCGCCGCAGCCGCCGCGCCCCCACCGTCTACGACTACCCCGCCAGCGTCAGCGTCGGCGGTAGCGCCAGCGGCAGTGCCCCGGCCGATGACATCGACGAGAAGCAGCGCGAGGCCGAGGAGTACCAGTACCAGGCGGCGTCGCGCGCGGGCAAGCCACCGCCCTCGCAGCCGCCCGCCGTGCTACCCCTCACCGAGGACGCGCTCTACAAGGCCAAGACCGAGCGTCCCGGCAGCGAAAGCGGCAGCCAGAAGAGCCGCTCCAGCCGTGGCAGCGCCAAGCCCGACGAGGCCTGCAACAACAACAGCATCGTCATGACGATGAACGGCATCACCATGAGCATCCCTCACGACACCGTCGGCGGCAAGATGATCAGCCTGCGCAGCGGCGACACCGGCGCCATCTCGCTCAACATCCACAACCCCCACGAGCACCGTCGCCGACCGAAGAAGTACCTCCCCGCCGGCAGCGCCAGCGGCGCGTCCGAGCACTCGGCGCGGCGCGAGATTGAAGACGTGCATCGTCCGCGCGGCGATCGGCGCTCGGACCGCGCCAGTCGGCGGTCGAGTCGGTCTATATACAGCGGGCGGTCCTAGTGCGGTAATTTGGTAAAAAGTTCCACGGTTTGAAAAAAGTTGGATGGTCGTTTACCTTTTGTTTTTGTTTCCGGCGGCTTTCTGTTGTTCTTTTGCTCTTGTTTGTTTTCTCGGGTGTTGTAAAAGAGGGCGGGCTATCACGTCCATCATGGCGACATGATTGTATACGATTTGATGACCTGCATGACTGATGTATGTGATGTGTTTACTTACGCTCCTGTGGCTTTTCCTGTCTCTGCCTTCCCCTGTATCATTTCTTCGGCCGGTGCGCCGGTCCGAAGGTATACCCCGTTGAATGTACTGTCTATTGCATTGCATGAATAATGAATGAGCATTGCCTTATTGTACCTACATACCCACCTCCAACCATGTCTAGACCAGAGATCCCACGCTACTAACATCGGCCATTTGATGTATCGACGGGGCATCAATTGATCAGACCGAAGGTCTCCTCATAGCCATCAAAGCCAACCTCTCCACCGAGTCTGTATACGCATAGACCTCAAACCCAACCTTCTCAAGCACCCTCAAACTCCCTACATTCGCCCCCTTGACCGCCGCGAAAAGCTTCTCCTCCTCCACGCACCACGCCCGCGGCAACTCCCACCACGCCGTAACGACCGCCCTCACAGCCTCGGTCGCATATCCCTTCCCCCAGACGTCAGGATGGAACATACACCCCACGGCCGGCGCAGGATGTATAGAATTCACCCCCGCGGCGCCGACGATCTTCTCTCCGGCGCTGCCCCCGTCACGGCTCTTTTCCACGACGGCAAAATAGAATAGCCGACTGGATGATGCATCGGCGGCGCTGCCCACCTGACGGAGCACCTTTTTGCGGATCCACGCCTTCGTGTCGTCTACGCAAGCGTCTGCGGCTTTTAGCCTCCTAAACCCTTATTAGTAGAATGTAAACGGGAAGAGGGCGGGGGCAGGGGCAGGGGCACTGGTGAGCGCGGTATGCGTACATCCAGTTCATGACCTCCGGCTGACTGCGAATGCGGAACAGTCCCGCGGCATCTTCGTCATTGTCTACCCGCAGCAGTCGCAGTGTCAAGCGCTCGGTGTGGAGTTCGGCGAATTCTGAAGGGTCCGGGAGGATCACTGGAGTGTCTTGTTTGGGGAACGGCGGCGGTTCGGATGGGTTCATCGTCTCAGGCTGTTGCGTAGAGGCAGGGAGACAATGGCATAGTGTCGGACGTACGGAGTATATTGGTGGCGACACGAAGCTAAGATGTGGCTTAGGCCAGGAGCTAGTCCGGCTGCCTATCCTGCGGACTTTGTCTTACTGAAGGACACTGTATTAATATTAGAACACTAACCTAGCTTTGAGACGATCAAGGAAATCTAGATACTCGACAGGATCACCGCCGCACCACCAAGGCCAAATATCCGAACAGCCGATACACCGCGATAATCCCAATCAGAATCCCAACCCACTTGCCCGTCCGTCCAGTCGCATACCCATACGCCTGCAACACGCCCGTCCCCCGGATCATGCACTGCCCGGCCAGATCGGTCTGGTACATGCAATTGCACCCCTCGCCGCAGGTATACACGCGGTCCGCAAACTCGTTCACCATCATCCCCTGGAACACGTACGCCTGGTAGTCGATGTAGTGGAAGACGTATTTCCAGAACGGGTTGAGGATCGTCGGCGACACCAGGAACCCACCCACGCTCATCCACAGCCCGTTGGCGAAGGCGACCAGCGCGAGCGCGATGACGAAGTTCGGGAACAGCGAGGTCACGAAGACGACGAGGCTTTCGGCCGCCAGCAGGTCGAGGAAGAGCCACATTACCCAGGTGAAGAAGGCGGTGCCGCTCGGGCGGAAGTTGGAGAGCCAATAGCTGACTATGGAGAAGAGAAGGGATATCACGACTGTCGCTCTGTTAGTCACTTTACTTGATAACTCTGTTTGGAGGGGAGGGAGGCGTACAGAGAAAGGGAAGGCCGATGATAAAGTTGGACACGATGAATGGCAGTGCGCCGTAGAGTCCGTTGGCGCGTTCTTTAGTGAATGTCGCCCGGTCTTCGAGGAAGGCTGGCACGTAGGCCACAGCCATGAAGCTCATAAATGCCGAACCGAAGAACTGCCTTGATTAGAGTGTGCAAAAGGAGGCGAAAAAAGGTGGAGGACGTACGATAGCGTTGATAAATGGCTGGATGTAGTCCTGCGAAGTATGCAGACGCAACCAGACGGTGCCCATCATGATGGCAAGACCTGCGTCGTTAGCATCCAACACCGCATAACATAGTATGGCAAGTCACTCACCCATATACATCACAATGCGGATCCCATACGCCACCACATCGCGGTAGCTCTTGATAAACAGCCGGTGCAAAAGGGACAGCGTAATCTGGAGCACGTTGGGCCGGCCTAGTTCAGCCATGTCTATCCGTCCAGTCTTCCCATCGGTAGTGTGCGAGGATGCCGACTGCGTGGAGGACAAGCGTTGCGCCCACGCCGACTTGATCTGCTCCACACGCCCCTGCGCCTCGGTGAAGTCGGAGCTGACGCTGTCGAGGAGGAATTCAGCCGGGTTCGTGCTCGCCGGGATGGGACAGCCAATGCTCTCAAAGTAGCTCGGGACGCTGGCCACGGGGCCGAAGTAGCATGTTTGTCCGCCCGACAGCAGCAGGAGCTTGTCGAAGAGCTGGAACGTCGTGGTGGACGGTTGGTGGATGCTCGCGATGATGATCAACTATGTCTGTCAGCGACTGTCCTTTCAACTTGTTCCAAACATGACGCACATTATTCGCCACCGCGAGTCGCTTCACGTACGAAATCACCTCGTAGCTCGCCGTCGAATCCAACCCGCTGGTCGGCTCGTCCAGAAAGAGAATCTTCGGACACGTAATCAATTGGCTGGCGACACTGACCCGCCGCTTCTGTCCGCCGCTGATGCCCTTGCGGATCGGCGTGCCAACCAGCGTGGCCGCCTGGTTCTGGATGCCAAACGCCGTCATGAGGGTGTCGATGCGCTGGCGTCTCTGCGCCTTGGTGACAGATCTGTAGCGTGTCAGTAGTACACTCATCACACACAAATCTCAGGCATACCGTGGAAGCGCGAGATCCGCCGCAAATTTCAACGTCTCCTGGACAGTCAGTGACCCGATCAACGCATCCTCCTGCTCTACGTAGGAGGTGATGCGGCCAAAGGTATCGTTGGACAGCTTCGCGCCGTTGACGTAGCTCTCGCCTGTTGTTTTTGCGCCGGACGACGCTGTCCGCCGCGCGAGGACGTTGAGGAGAGTCGTCTTGCCGCAGCCTGATGGGCCCATCAGGGCGACCAATTCACCTGTTGCATTCTTAGTTCCGATTCTTAGAAGGTTTCTGGCAATGAACTCACCCGCTTGAACAGTGCCGCTACTGCCATCGATCAGGTTCCGGGGCTGTTTCGTGCGACGGTCTTTGACGGTGACGGTGAGATCGGACCAGGAGAAGCTGTGGACCGAGTGGTTCATGAGGAACTGGTGTTCGTTCCCCTCGAGATCGGGAGTGTGGTTTCCGTTGAGCTTTTCGGTATCCATCTTGGGTTGATACAGCATGGAATGGCCCAGATGGCAATGATGGCTGCACTAAACCCTTCGAGGGAGCGGACATTTTATATTCAGGACAAAGTAATGAGGAATGCGCAAATTCAGGTCTGTCGCCGTCAGCTTAGTAGTCCCCGAGTCGGGGAGATCTATCTCTATCCTCAGCCCCGGGCCCAGATAAGCTTAAGCTCCCCGAGCCCGCCGTCTGGCGGGTGGAATCGGCGTCTCTGGTCCCACGGTTCTGGGGGGCGGCGGAGCCACTCTTGGTGTCCGGAGTGGTTCTGTGGTGGAACTGATCCCCGAGGAATGCGCTCTCGTCCGAGTGTCTGTCGGCGACTATAACTTGCCCGATACGAACCCAGGTTCTCACTCCTACAAAATAGGTCGCCTGAATGCTGCGATTTGTGGCTTCGGGGACGAAGAATCGTCAGCTTTGTTTTGTCTGCGGCTGACTATGAGCTGATTATCCGCTGACTATTGGGAATGCGTGGATTATGTGACTTGGCGCGTGTGAAGCAGGTTTAATGCAGGGATCATTGAAGTGGCGCCGTTCAGCTGGTCATCACAATGACAGTCTCTGCAGGGAAGAATGCCATTCATTCGCAGTCTACACAATGCATGGTGAGATGCTGTCAAATAAAATGAAATGCTGGTATTTAAATATCGTAAAACTACGTCGACTTTTGATCTTAATCGTATTACATACTACAGCACACGTTAGTAATTTTGCCTCTACACAGGACTCGATTTCAACATACCGCTCCACAGGGCTCAGACCCAGAATCCGCATACCGCTGTTCAGGACTAGACGCGCCGACTCGTACAGAGCCATACGAGCCATCTTCACCTCCGGTTCACTGCCCACCACCTTGAGCACATCGTAGCTAGAGCTGAGCATGTGAGTCATGCGGAAGAGGTAGGTGATGATGGTGGTAGGCTCCAGCGTGCGGGTGGTGTTCATAAGGACATCGGGCCACTGCGCCAGCAGACGCACAAGGTTGACCGCATGGGGCTCCGTCAGGATATCCAGGTTCGCGGATCCGAGCTGGGTGACGTCCAGGCCGGACTTGCGGACGATAGAGCAGAGACGGGCGTGAGCATACTGCAGATAAGGACCGGTGTCACCTTCGAAGGAAGTCATGGCTTCCAGGTTGAAGTCGTAGCCGTTGATACTGGAACAATAAGCAACCCTCCCTAATCAGATATCAAAAGGACATCAAACATACCGCTTGCCAGTCATGTCCTGCACCATGACCGACGTGATACCCAGAATGTCGGCCGTCTTCTCGGGATCGGCGACCTGCTCGTACTTCTCGGTGTTCTTCTTCATGACCTCGTGCATCTTGTCGCGGACATCCTGCAGGATGTCGTCCAAGAACTTGACGGTACCCTTGCGAGTGCTCATACCGCGGACCATACCGAAGTTGACGTGCTGGCACCGGCTGGCCAGATCCTTGTAGCCCATCAGCTCTGTGATCTTAAAGAGCTGGGCCAAGTGGAGATCCTGCTGCATGGCGACAACGTAAATCATCTTGTCAAAGTGGTAGGCCTCGTCACGCTCCAGGATAGCACCGATGTCACGGGTCAGGTACAGAGGAGTGCCATCCTTGCGGACAATAATAGCCTTGCCGAGCTTCTTGGCACCGTGCTTGGTGAAGTCGACAATGACGGCACCGTCGGACTTCTCCGAGACGCCAGCCTTCTCCATGGTCTTGTAGGCGGCGGTCATGCTCTCGTTCTTGATTTGAGATTCGCCAGAATAGACATCGAAGTCAATGTTGAGCCGGGCGTAGGTCTGGCGGTACTTCTGGATACTGAGGTCACGGAATCGGCGCCAGAGAGCCAGGGCCTCCTGGTCACCATCCTCCATGCTCTTGAAGTAACGACGGGCCTTCTCGTCCTCGCTGACGTCGACGAGTTTGTCGAGCTGCGCCTGGAGCTCCGACACGTCTTCGTTCTTCTCCTTCTTGGTCTTGATCTGCTCCTTGAGCTCCTTGATGGGACCGTCCTGCTCCGCGACCATGTTGTTGATCTTGACGTAGACATTGAAGAGATGGTTGATGGGGTCCTTGAGCAGCTCCTCCTCGTTTCCAAAGTACTTGTAGCCGTTGGCGAGCAGACCGTACTGCTTACCCCAGTCACCCAGGTAGTTCATCTTGATGACGTCCCATCCCATGACAGTGTACAGGTTGGCAAGGAAACCACCGATAATGGTACTGCGCAGGTGACCGGCGTGGAAGGGCTTCGCAATGTTGGGGGAAGAGAACTCGATGATGATCTTCTTCTTGCCCTTGGATGGGTCGGCGGGGTCCCGCAGACCCTGGTTACCGTTGGTGCCAAAGGCCGCCTTGGCCTCCAGAATACGTCCGATCACGGTGTGGGTGAGCGTGTTGGGTTTGAAGAAGAATTGAAGGTGGATGGCCACGGGCGTAGGGCGCTCGACCAGGTCCGACTCGGGGAACTTCTCAGCGAGCTCCTTGCACAGTTCCTGGGGGTTCTTCTTGATTCCCAAAGCGGGGACCTAACAGAACGATGTCAGACACTGCAGCGACGACAGACAGCTCCATCAGGTCAACATACCGGCAACACGAGGTCACCTTTGTCCAGCTTGTCGGTCCATAGCAGACGGTCAAAGATCTTGGCGGCGTCAATGCCGGTGATCTCAGCCAACTTATCGGCGATATGCTCTCTGTAGATGTCGACCGGGTTCAAGGAGGGGTAGCAGTTGGGGAACCGGGAGCTCTCGGTGGTCGTTTGGAGGGTGAGGCCCTCAATGGCGACAGGAAGGTCTGTCGCAGAAGCCATGGGAGCGACGTAGATGTGGGTTGCGGCGAGCGATGCGGTCGAATTAAAGGCTCTAGACGGGAAGCGAGGATCGAACGGGAGCGAGTGACGATACAGACAGGACGAAGGGTTTGGTGGACGAGAGGTCTGGAGAGATTGGAAAATGGCGCTGGAAAATCGCCGGGCCCCGCTTAAAAGAAGGCGACCCATACACAAATCACTTGCAAAGGAGGGGAACTTTTTTTTTCAGTTGACTCAATGGGAGCGCATTCTGCCGGGCGGTGAGGCTGGATAGATGAGTCATGCGCATTAACCAAGGTAGTTATGTACATGCCTGAGATACGAGGGCAATCACTACTATTCAACTACATATCCTCAGTAGGATATCATCGTTGTCAATGTTTATTAACGATGAAGATTCTAGACTGAAATATCTGACTCTATACAAAACACCGCTCTACCAATCAACAATGCACGAGAAGATGGCTGGTCCTAATTAGAGCACCTAGGCTCTACTGTCTGTCTCATTCAAAATAAATTTAGAATAATATATCGATATAATCCTCTACAACCTCAGCTATAATCCCCTACACAGCTGTTCTATACCTAAGTTGTACGTGACTGGGTATGTGCCCGTGCCGAACTCCGAGAGTATCAGGCAGGAACATTCTCCCGACAACAATCCCTTTCACCACCACAACAACTCGTCAAGATGGACCCCTCCAGCATCGCTCCCTTCTGGGGGCCTCAAACCTCCTACTTGAAGTACGTAGGTCTTGGTCTTTTTTCAACATCTACGAGACTCCGTCGCTAACTCGGTTTTAGTTTCTGCGAAGAGGTACCGGGCATCCCGCTGTCACCGTACTCGTCCCTGTCTAACTGCCTCGAAGGACTATGTAATAACTCGCTACATTGGGGAGTTCATCAATACCCTAAGTAGCCTTGTATACAGTATGTTCTACCCTGAAACCTGCAATAGGATGCAAATTAATCTCGATCTAGTCGTCTACGGAATTTACGGGCTATGGACGCTCCGTCAAAAACCCCATGCCCGTTCACGCGCCATCCCATATTGCGGATTGATCGGAGTCGGGGTGTGTTCGGGCGGCTACCATATGACCCTGAAATATCACACTCAGATGTGTATGTCCCTTTCGTTCCGTTGCGTATGTTTGTTTATTTACACTGTTACCAGCGGATGAACTATCCATGCACCTTCTGACCACGCCTCTCTTGTACCGAGTCCTCACGTTCCAGACCAGCCCGCAGTACACCAAAGCCGTGGGGATCTTCCTCTCGCTGGAGTTCACCGTCGTCATGGTCGTGCACATGGTCATGGACGAGTTCCTTCTTCATGCCGTAACGTTCGGGTTGGGAGTGTACTTGATCGCTACGCGGACTCTGAAGATTATCCCGCGACAGATCCCGAACCTCTATACGCGAAAGAATGTTCAACACATCGCTCTTTTCGGCTGCTGTCAGTATACTTCTATGTGCTGTATGTGCCAATGCTAATCCGCAGCAGTCAGTTTCGTTTTCGGATACTCTGTCTGGCTGATTGATAGCTATGCTTGTCAGACTCTGACGAACATGCGGCAGGCTGTGGGTTTACCCTTTGCGTTCCTGTTGGAGTTGCACGGATGGTCAGTGTCTCTCTAGTATACCGGAATTTCCGCTAACCATAACAGGTGGCATGTCTTTACTGCCATTGGCGGTTATATCGCTGTCGCGGTCGTGGATATGCTCACGTCGGGCGAGGTGGACGCAGATTCTGTCGAGCGCCTAGCCGGGCCTCTTCCTACTGTGGCCCGTGTTGTCGGCGCCGCGCGAGGATTGAAGAAGGACTAACTTAGATGCAGTTTTGGCAGCATCATTGCCAGGTCCATTAGTGGTGGCTTTGTACGACACTTCGCCCAGGACAGTTCTCGATGGACAACATTAATGTATCCACCCATTCTTGTCTTGCTGCGCCATTCGTGGCTATTCAGCTATATGTGAACCGAATACCGGTTATTCTCAAATCAATACATAGATAGATAGATTCAAATAGACCTGTTCTAGACACATGTAATCCATCACTGCGGAATGCTCGTCATCCAAACATCCAAACGGTGACGTCACCGCGCCGCAACATCAACACCAAGATATATATCGTGCAACATTCGCATCACACATTCCCCCCGATATATCCCAATTTTAAAAATAAATATGGGTAGACGCCAAACAGCCCTCTCGCGATCAATCCAGCGGGCATTATTCCGCGACCCAGACACCTTCCGCAAAACACTGATCGGACGCATCCTCGCCTTCTTCAGCCTGTTCTACATCAAACTAATCCGCTACGGCCACAAGACCTTCCGCACACTACGCAATGACGTCTGGCAGATCGACGAGGCCGAATACCGCGCGTCCTTCCGCAGCGAAGACTGCACGCACCCGCTCACCCCGATGGGGGACATGGGGTTCTCCGGATCGGTACGAATCCTACCTGCCCTGCGTCCGACCAACTTATCCATGGCGTCTATGCTAACGGCCAGATAGACCTTCTTCAGCACGCAAAACGGTAAGTTCCTAATCAAGAGCTTACCCCGCCACTTCGAGCACTCCTTCTTCCGCGAGGACCTCTTCCACCCGTACTACGAGTACATGCGCACGCACCGCGACACGCTCCTGGTCTGGATCACGGATTACCTGTACGCGCCGTACGCCACGCTGGGCAGCCTGGTCCGCACCACGCCGGCGCACCACATCATCATGGAGAACGTGCTGTACGGGCGCGTCGACAACGCCGGCTGGGAGACCTACGACCTCAAGCCGATCGACTACTTTTACCCCGAGCGCGACCTCGTCCCTGAGCCGCTTGTCAGCGAAGAGACGCTGAGCCGCCTTGCGGATGAATTCCCGGATAAGATACGGTTGAGGCACGCGGACTGCGAGGCGTTTCGGCGGGCCATCGCGGATGACACGCAGTTCCTGTGTGAGGCGAACGCAGTGGATTACTCGCTGTTCCTGGTACGGTATCCGGCGCATGCGGCCGGGGGCATGGAGGTTGTGGGGAGGAAGGATCCATGGCGCGTGGGCGTGTTGTCGGTTGATCGTAAGTGGAGGTATCGCGCGGTGCTGTTGGATTTCTTCTGGGCGAAGCATAAGTTGCATGCGCAGGCGATGACGGGAGTTGTGCAGACGTTTAATGTTATTGGGCGGCAGGGGCCGATGACCATTACCACGACGGCGGAGGAGTACCGGGAGAAGTTTTTGAGTATGGTCGATTCTATGCTGGAGAGTTATTAGGGCCCTCACGAGGGTCGGAATCATATGAGTTTGCATGTGCATCGGGCCGAGGCTATACCCTGCTGGAAGACTACGGCGTCAAACGAAAACCACCGAATCCCATTTAATTTATGGGCACGAGCCGTGCCACTCTATATCCTTCCTGGCAGCATCGCTGACAGGGTCGCTGTAAAACATTCACGCACGTATGCGTGGGGTAACTCTCTAACTCGTAACTTTGTAACAACCATACAACTGCAAAACGTACAAACGTCAATCGCAAGGTAGAACGCAAGCAACTGCTTAGAAGCAGAAGACCTGGTCCTCGAGCTTGCTGACGGGGCGAGCCTTGGTGTAGCCCAGGGACTCGGTGGCCTTCTTCATGGCGCTGACCATGGGAGGAGGACCGCAGAGGAGGATCTTGACATCCTTGGCGGGGGCAGGGAGATGCTCCTACAGAATGTTAGTGGAGTCCAAGTCAGAGCGAAGACATGATACGCACCTTGATCATCTCGGCGGTGACGAAGCCGAAGCCACCGTTCCAGCCCGGAGGGGGGTTGTTGAGCACGTAGAAGATACGGAAGCCGTCGTCCTCCTTGGCGAGCTTCTCCAGCTCATCACGGAGGAGGATATCTTCCTCATTGACGTTGGCGAAGATCAGGTCAATTTTAGTGGTGTCGTTACCGCCGTTGCGGGGACGGTTGCGGATAATGGCCTTAATGATCTGCAGCATGGGGGTGATACCGGTACCTCCAGCAATCATACCGATGTGACGGCACATGTTGGGGGTGTAGACCATAGCGCCCTTGGGACCGCGCACCTTCAGGGTGTCGCCGATCTTGAGGGTGGTGAGATACTTGGAGATGTTGCCCTGAGGATAGGCCTTGACAAGGAGATCAAAGTAGCCGGCCTCGTTGTCGGAGGAGATGGGGGTGTAGGAGCGGACGACCTCCTTGGGCTGACCCTCGATGGTCGCGGCGAGCGAGATGTGCTGACCGATGGGGAGACCGAGGATATCGGTGGGGCGGGGCAGTGCGAACCGGTAGATGGCGACATTGTGGGAGATATCGGTCTTCTCCTTCAAGACAAAGTTCTGGAACTCACTGGGGTTGAGGACCTTTCTCGGCTCTGGGTCGGGTTAGCGAACTGATCGAGTCACTGGAGTGAAAGGCCAATTGCATACTGCTGCTACCGGTGAACTTCCACGCAGCGAGGATAGCAATTACTGCAACGGCAAAAGGCGCAAACTTGACGAGGACGGCGGAGAGGTCGCCGTTATCTTGCAGAAAGGTACTGCGGAGAGCTGTGAGCGATTGGGATAGAGACTATTACGGGATGAATGAGCATACCTCATGTTGACTAAAGCTCCAACGACCCCGAGAGAACCAGAAAGAGGGAGGGAAGAGAGATGAACGGGGAAGGAGAAGGAGGAAGAGAAGAAGAAGAATAAAAGAGCGGATGTTGGCTGATCGGCGGGGATGAACAGCCGAAGTCGCCAGGCGCGGGCGGTCAAGGACGACAGAACGGGAACGATGCACGGGATTCAGATGCACCGAAGTATAAACAGACAATCATGACGACTATCAGCATGCGATCGATTATGGTCGATTAGATTGATTGTATCTGCGACCCATGCGATCCCATGCGATTACATGCGACCCATGGATATCCCAACCTTCCTGGGATCCCCTTTTCATCCGACCAGACATACAACACTCTCTCATGCAGATGGATGGATTGACCCTCTGGGGTAAAAAATCCCGGCGGAGGACGGGGAAAATCACCTTCCGCGATGATCAGTCAACATCATTGCAGGCATCTATCAATCATCTCAGCCCCTCGAAGGCCCCAGATCAATCCTTACAAACAGCGTGACCCCCCGTCAACAAGCACAACAAGGCACTATGACCGCAGACGATGCTCCCGCCTTCAACCTCACTGAGACAGACCGACAAGTGCTCGCGCAAACCGACGAGGAATTCATCTACCACGATTGGGATGACCTCAAGTCCATCATCGGTATGTTCCGACCCACGCATCCACCAGACCCTCTCCATGCTGCCCAGAACACGGCGCAACCAAACCAATTCAGCAATGTCCAGTCCATTCCGCTGTTGACACACTCTCCCCCGGATCATTCCGCACTCCTCCGTCTCCAAACTAACCCCGCATCATCAACAACCAGCACGAAATGATCTCGGCGTGTTGAAGCGGAAACCCTCCGATCTGATCCGATACCTGGCCTGGACCAAGAGCATCAAAGCCCAGTACGGTTCCATCACCAACTACATCTGTCAGTGTCGGCTGCACTGGCATCTCCCGGACACCGCATCGACGCCCGCAACGGCCGACAGTGGGCCGGTCTTCCCCTTCAGGAACCCGATCCCCTTTGCCGATCCCTCGGACTACAAAATCCTCCGCAATGACTGGCCCTACGGCCTCACTCCGGACATCACCCATATTGTCGTCTGGCTGCGCACCCCTATCGCCGTCAAGGAGTCCAACGGCGACGTGACTGATGAGTCACGTGCGTTGATCGAGAACTTCGTCCAGACCACTTTTGTGGGTCGTCTGGCCCAGGAAAAGGACAGCTTCCCAGACCCCAAGGATCACGTCCTCTGGTTTAAGAATTGGACAGCGCTGCAGAGTGTGCGGGCCCTCGAGCATATCCACATTCTGGTGAGGGATGTACCCGACCGCATCATCACCGAGTGGACAGGGGAAGGTCCGCGAGAGGCAAGTGATAGTGAGATCAAGAACTAACTGGTACAATTTTGGGATACGAGATCGATGAATAATGGATTTGATATAGATGATGCATATTGGGGAAAATAACTTTGGCATTGGGAATCTTAGAACCACAGCCTGACAAGGCGAAAATAACGTACATCAGAAGAGAAAAAGAATAAGGGAATCCAGGAAAGATACATAGACAAGGAATTGGTAAATAGAGGCTAAATATAGCACTACCAATCGTCATTACGCCTACTATCCGTCCCATCCCAATATCCGAGTAACAGAGACATACCAAACCCGCTCCTCTACGTCTTCTGCTCTTCAACAAACTTCAATGCCTCCTCCCGAGACACCACGTCAATCGTGCTGGCCTTTTCTCGGAAACTGACACCATAACACTTCTCGGCGACATGCAACATCTCCGGGCGGAAGGTCGTGCAGATGAATTGACCGTTGGTTGAATCAGAGATTGACTTCAACATCTGAGCGACGGCGGTACGATATTGGGCGTCCAGGTTGGCGTCAATCTCGTCAAACAGATAGAAGGGCGCGGGATCACATGCTTGGATGGCAAACACCAGGGCAAGGGCGCAAAGACCTGTGCACGACGTTAGCCATATGAAACGAAAGATGCTATTCGGCCAAGACTTACTCTTCTGTCCACCGCTGAGCTGTTGGATTCGTTGCTGCTCATCGTGTTTGCTGTTGAAACTGACACTGATGCCAACTCCCACGTAGTTCTCCACGCTTTGCCGTGCCTCTTCATCCTCGGATTCGAGCTCGTCATCTTGCCGGAGAGCCCTGTCCGTCTTTCTCTGAATGATCAACCGTCCGCGGCCAGCAGGCACGAGCTTCTCGAACACATTGGCAAACTCGCGCGAGACCTGTTTGAACGTCCGCTCAATGGCTTCATCCTTTCTCTGATCCAACACGTTGATGAGGTCGTCAATCGACTTTTGGGAAGCATCGAGCTCCTCTCGACGTGATGTAAGCGTCTCCCGCTGTTTGGTGAAGCTGTTGTACTGTTCAAACGCCTTCTTGTTGACATGTGAGTATTTCTTCAGGCCTTCGTTGACCTTGTGGAGCTTCTTGACCACCGCGTTCGAATCGGTGTTCTTATATTTCGTGAAGGCTTCGTCTGGCAAAACACCCAGATCGCGGATATTCGCGGCGCATTCAGCTGCCTGTTTCGTCAAGGCCGCCTTCTTTTGCATGCTCTTCTCCATTCGTCGCTGATGCTTCTCAATAGACTTGGCGAGCTCCTCCATCTCCCGACGCGTTTCCGCATTGCGTTGAGCCAGCTCGGCTGCTTGAGTGTTCGCCTGCTCGATGGATTCGTCGACCTGCTGGAGACGCTGGCTGAGCTTATCCAGGGCCTTGCTCAGACGCTTCATCTCCCGCTGGGTCTCCTTCAAGTTGCCCTGGTTGTCGTCATCGGCCATATCGATGTCCTGACTTACGAGTTGATCGAGTCGGGGGTGGAGGTTTTCCCGTAACTCGACTTCCAGAACCGACTTGCGGGCCTCGAGTTCACTGCGATTGTTGGAAAGTTCCTGGAATTGTCGACGAAGTTCTTGAGCAGTAGTGTTTAAGGTCTCTAGCTGGGACTCTTCCTCATTGCTGAGAGCCTTTTGGAATGGGGTTTTGAATTCCGCTTCAAAAGCCTGGACCTGGTCCGTCAACACAGCCAAGTTGTTCTCAATATTGCGCAGAGCACGGCGTTTGGAATCCAAGTTGTCAATCTTCTTTTGAAGAAGATCACGCTTGCTCCGCAGTTCGTGTCGGAGCGGCCCACTGCTGTTCTGTACTTGGTGTCTTTGCTGCTCCAGCTTCTGTAATTCACCGACAGATTGCGTGATGAGCTGATCCATTTTCTCAAGCTCTTTGCGGATCTCACTTCCACGCGTCTTCTTCGTTTCATACTCATCCCTCCACTTTGCCAGATTCTTTACTGCATCAAGTCTCGACTGACGAGAATCATGGAAACCTCCGGTCAGCGCACCCCTCTTATCGGAGCGGTCTCCTTCCGGCGTGATAGCGTTAACACCATGGCTTCGAGCATACTGCGCCGCCACCTGCAGATTAGGGCAGATGATGGTCTTGCCAAACACGTGGAGGAAAGCCTTCTCATAAGCTTTGTCGTATTGAAGCTTTTCAATCATCGGAATAGTGTCACTGGCCTTTGGCATGTTGATTGGCCTGGACCTTAGCCGGTTCAACGGCATGAAAGTAACTCTTCCGGACTTCTCTTGTTGAAGGATCTCCAAGACCTTCGTGGCCGTTTCGTCTGTGTCAACAACATAATGGAATAGACTCTGCCCAGCAGTAACCTCAACAGCCGTACGATACCGGTCGTTGACATCGAACAGCTCGGCCAGCGTACCGTAGACTCCCTCCAGATTATATTGGCGCTTGATGCGTCTGACAGCGGCAATACCACGGCTGGTATTGTGATCCATCATCTGCGAGAGGTTGCGTTCGGCACGCTCAACTTCATTGGAAGCATTAGACAGGATCGAGTCAAGCTTGGCTTCCTCTCTCCAGAGCTCTTTTCGCTGGTCCATAAGTCGATCTCTCTCATCCTTCGCAGCCTGAACTTGTTGCTCGACAGAGTTGATAGTGTCGCCTCGGCCGTCGATTTGCTTGCGCAGACGTTCTGTTTCGGGTTCCAACAGGGCGATCTCATTCTCAAGTTCCTTAATGTCCTCCTGGGTCTGAGAAATGACACCTTGGGCAGTGGAGATGGAATTGTAGTTATCCTTGATCTCCGTCTGCAGCCATTTATCGCGTTCTGACTTGTTCTTGAATCGGGAATTTCGGCCCTGCTTTGCATACAGTCTCTGTCGCAAAGTCTCTGCCTCGGTAAACTGAGCTTTGACGGCATCTTCTTGATCCTTGGCAGCATTGAAACGAGGAAGAAGCTCCTGGAGTTCAGCCTCGCGCTCTTGAATTGCAGCCTGGATTTCCTTCAAATCCTGATCGTGGCGGTTTTTCAGGGCCAGAGCCGCAGCTTGGTTGTCAGAGAGAGCTTTTGCCTGCAGCTCAACTTGGGCAAGAGCTTTTGAAGCCTCTCGACGCTCATCTTCCAGCTGTGCTTTGTCGACCTTCAGGAACTCAATCTGTTGTTTGCACTCCGCAATCTCGGCGTCGATTTGCGCCATTTCTTTCTCGCCTTGAATAAAGCGATCACGGTTGAGGTCGGTATCCTCCACTCCCGTCTGCCTCTGTTCTTCCAGGCTGTCCAGAATACTCGAAATCTCCTGTTGCTCACGCGAATAGATCGTGTACTCGAGACATCTTCTTTCCTTATCCTTCTCCTGATAGTTTCTCAGTTCATCCTTCTCTTCCTCCAACTCAGCAAGGCGCTCATTGATGAAATCGAGAAGCTCGTCAATCTTAGCCCGCTTGTTATTCGTCTCGTGCATAATCTTCAGTGACTCAGCTCGGCGCGCTTCGTAGACCTGGGTACCTGCAACCTCTTTGAGCAGGTTCAAGCGCTCGGAGTCCTTCATGTTCGTCAACGCGGTCACGCGACCCTGAGGGACGATATAGTAAGGGTTCGACCGGGAAAAGCCCGCGGATTCGAGCAGATTCATCACATCCGATTTCGTCGCGTTCTTACGGTCCAGCGTGTATTCATCTTTCTTGAGACCAATTGTTCGTCGGAGGACCACCTCCGGCTTACCGGTCGGGAATCGATCGTCGGAGTTGTCGAAGATAATCTCGACGTAGGCCGACATCACGGCAGAACCCGAACCTTCCTAGTCGGTGTCAGCACCCAAACGAAGCAACGGCGCGGCGATACGCACGTGTAGAAGAGCCTGTCGCTCTTCTCGTCCGAGGTGGGTGTACGCATCGCTCAAAACGAAACGAATGGCAGCGAAAAAGTTGCTCTTGCCGGAGCCATTGCGACCGACAATTACATTGTGCTTTGGGGAGAATGGTTCGATGACGGTTTGATCCTTGTAGCTGTAGATAGGGAAGACAGACCGGTGCGATCAGTTTCCGTGTATCGGCGGGGAGTAGCTTGCCTGGAATGACATACCTTTTGAAGCCCTGGATGATGATTTGCTTGACATACATTGTCACGGGGCGCGCGCGAGACGAGGAATTATGACATACACAACGCCAGGAGCATCACGCGGCCTATAGGACAATAACAGGAGCCTGTGCCCAGACAGAACGCGGAAGGACTGAGGAGGAACTGTTGCGACAGAGACAAGCTGGCGGAGGGAGTTGCTGCAACGAGGGAACGATTGATTATCGGCGGACGGAGCAGAACTACGCGTGGCCGATCTGGGTTCTTTTTCCCCTGCGCGTTCCACCCGCGGGGTTTCTGCCGGGCGGTGAGGTGCAGGGCGGTCCACAAGTCTCTTTCTTATCCGAAAAGGAAAAAAAGTTGTCCCACGCATGCCGCTTTTCCTTGCTACCATTTTTACAGCATCCATCTATCTCTGAGGGACCGTCATTGATCACCGATGGCTTCCCCGCAGTCTGATTCCCAGGCGACTGGTCTGGCAGACGGTCTTTCGCCTTCACATACATACGTGCCTAATCAAGGCTATGTCAATGCCGATGGCACCAACCCCTCCATAGCGGGGCAAGATCCTGACGCAGAGGTTGACGACGACAACGAGGAGGACGACGATTACTACGATGATATCTTTGACGATGACCTCGATGAAGGCGAGTTTCCGTCATCAAACCCCGCAGACCTAACGAAAGCCTACAATCGTCAACGGAAAGTCAACGAGCTCGCTGCCGATCCCAACGTTCCCAAATGGACCTACCCGAAAACCAACACTCAAAAACCAACGGTGAACACGCATGCGGCTGTCGACGATCAAATTAAGTCTTTAACTCGGCACGCAGCCAAGATCAAACTCAACGATGTACAGTCGGGAATGGCCAGTCGGGGTGGCAGTGGCACGGACAGAGCCGATCGAGCGACCTCCGAGCAGGTGCTGGACCCCCGTACGAGAATGCTTTTGCTGCAGATGATCAATCGGAACATCGTGTCTGAGATCCACGGTTGTCTGTCGACGGGTAAAGAGGCAAACGTCTACTATTCTCTTTTGTTCCCGGACGAAGAGGATGCGACGCCGGTACATCGCGCCATCAAGGTCTACAAGACGAGTATCCTGGTTTTCAAGGACAGAGATAAATACGTGACTGGCGAGTTCCGCTTCCGACAAGGATATAGCAAGAGTAACAACCGAGCGATGGTGAAGCTGTGGGCGGAGAAGGAAATGCGAAACTTGCGGAGAATCTATGCTGCAGGTATCCCTTGCCCGGAACCCGTCTACCTGCGTCTTCATGTCATGGTCATGGGATTCCTCGGTAACTCCAAGGGAGTGGCGGCTCCTCGACTGAAGGATGTGGAGTTTGATATTCCCAACCCGGAGAAGAGATGGCACGAGCTCTACATGGAACTGCTCGGCTACATGCGTGTCATGTATCAGACCTGCCGGCTGGTACATGCCGATCTGAGCGAGTACAACATGCTTTATCACAAGAACAAGCTCCACATTATCGATGTCAGTCAGAGTGTGGAGCATGATCACCCCCGCAGCTTAGAGTTCCTGCGTATGGACATCAAGAACATTAGTGACTTCTTCCGCCGGAAGAGCGTCGATGTGCTGTCGGAGCGCGCGGTATTCGGGTTCATCACTGCGGCGGAGGGTCCGACCAGCGTCACACCGAGCGAGCCAATGCTCGAGGCCGTTGAGAAGCTGTTCGCGACGCGCAATGACAACGTGGAAGATGTCGACACAGCTGTTTTCCGTCAGCAATATATTCCTCAGACGCTGGAACAAGTATACGATATCGAACGTGATGCCGAGAAGGTTCGTGCCGGCGAAGGCGAAGACCTTGTTTACCGGGACCTCTTGGCGAGCAAAAAGGCTGCTAGCCAGGATGACGAGAGTGACAATGAATCTGACGTTAGCGGCGGCGCCTCCGTGGAGGAGTCAGGTTCCGAGGATGAGGACGACCCCTTCGCGAAGAAGCAGCCTCGCGGGAAGCGGTTCGAAGACAAGGATTCCAAGCGGGAACACAAGCAGAAGGTGAAGGAAGAGAAGCGTGAGAAGCGCGCGAACAAGATGCCTAAGCATATGAAGAAACGCCTGGTCTCGTCTTCGTCCCGGAAGAAGAAATAAAGAGGCTTGAGGCTGCTTAGTGAATGACGGTATTTTGCATTGGCTCGGATATGGAAAAGTTTTCGTTGCGCACGACCTCATGAGATTTATGACCAGGTTGTCGGGATAATGGATGCATGCATATATGGATTTACGCATATAGATTTGTATAGAAAGAAAAGTGTCCCTAAAACCAAGATATATATTGGCGAATCCTACAGAGTAGATACTTCAGCACTTCTCTGATTCTTGTGACCCATCAGAGCTCTCTTTGAACCTCATCCAGCCCATCCGAGTCAACTAGAGTCCTCGTCCGCGCTCACATCTCGATCCCTGACGGTATCGGAGTATGCGTCGAGCGAGGAGTGGCTCTCTGTCAGGCGGATGGCCTGCTATCGGTCTAGGCCTAAAGCCAGGTTTCGTTCATCATTTAGGTCATTAATAATATAGACTGTCCCACGGCAAACTAGACGAGTCGGAGACTAGCGGATTTATACGCTGCACCCACTACAGCCAACACAACAGACAACAGGTGCTGGGCACACCCGTCTAGGTGGCTTGTCGATTTCTAGCTTTAAGGCGGGCGAGCGCTTCCTCAACCAGGGCCTTCGGCAGTGCAGGTATGGTTTCGCCCTCGTCGCGATTCTCGTCAGTTGTGTGATTTGCCACGTCCTTGGGGTCAGACGGGGGAGCGGTGTCTTCATCCGGATGTTGATCCTGCACTCCCTTCAAAGTGCCGCCAGATATGCGACGGAACTCAATGCGCATGGGCTCCCGTCCAATCCCGGGCCATATATCGGACGGGAGGTAATCGCCTTGCTCTACTCTGAATGTCTCGCGTGCATTGACGTCCTCCTCATACAATTGGTCCAATTTGTGTTTTGCATCACGGAGGACCTTCTCAACACGCTGCCGTACGTGTCTTCGACGAGCGACTTCTAGAATGAGGCCATCATATGCCTCCAAAAAGCCATCATACAGGGTGTTCAGATCGGACAGGTCCGACAACCCACCTTGGATATGCTCGTGCTCATCGTTCCAGACTCGTGTGAAAGTGTGCGCCTGGGCTATATAGCCGGCAAGCCGTGCGGAGGCAAGAGACGAGATGTGCTCGAAAACAGAGGTGGTGGCATTGTACACAGCCAAAACTGCGTCTCTCTGTCCTAATATATTCTCATATATTGACTCCATCTCACCAATGCGGTCTTGGATCTCCATCACCACATCCTCTGCCTCTGCTGCGTCTTTGATCAGGACATTGACCATTTCTCTGTATTCGGAGTTGCTGAGAGGGTCAAGGGGCGCATTGAGGTTAGCGTTGATGCCTTCCTCGATATTTGGACCGCCCCGGCCACTGACGTTCATTCCGGCCGGCATGTCGCCGGTGATGGATCTTGCTGCCGCACCTCCGCCCTCCGTATGCTTGACAGCTGTCACGCAAAGGTCGAAGTGGCGCACGAGGGATTCCAGTAGATTAGCCATTTCCTGAGCGTGCATTTCCAAAGAATGTAACATAGACGGTACTCCTGACATAGATGGTAAGCTCGCATTGGATGCGGATGACGAAGATGACGATGCGGATGTCCGGGAAGATGCCATTTTCGTGACGGCTCGGTAATTGCCCAACGCCTCCTTAATAGATTGTAGCTCGTCATCAAACGCGCAATTGGATGTCTCAAGCTCTGTCTGGGCGGCATTTGTGCGATCAATTGCACTCTTCAGAGCTGAATTGAGCTCTTCCACGCCACGCTCATCGACAAAATCGTGCAGACTCTTAGGCTCTTCTCCTTCCGGGCGAAATGATGCATGAACGATGGTCTCGCGCAATAGGTTCAAGGTCTTCCGCAGACGGGCGTCAGCGGCATCAAGACTTCGTAAGACGCCGGCAAACTCTGACCGGCCGCGCACGGAGACTTCTTCGACCTCAGCCCGCACGCTGTAAAGGAGTCGCAATTGGTTGTTTAGCCCCTTCCTCAAAAAGCCCGTTCGTGCGGACACTACAACGCTTTCTTCCAAAGCGGACCGGGCGGATGTCACGATTTCATTCGCTCGCCACACATGATTGATGGAAGACAATGATCGCTTGGCCGCGACCAGATGAGAAATGAGGGTTTCTAATTGAGGTATGGAGGTTTCAACCTGCGAAGACCCGTGGTCGTGAGGTGCGACGCTTGATGTTGCCGAAGATTCCGAAGCTGACATGGTCGATGACGTTCCAGATTGCGCGGTATTCCAGAATATGAGTCGCCTGGTGTCCCCGGTCTAAGGTTTTCAAGCGCGCGATGAGTCCACTAGCTGTGTGACCCCGGGTGCTAGCGTGTGTCCACTGGGGAAAGTTGCAAGGGACCTTGCGAGAATGGCGAATGGGAGAGGTGGGAGGAATGCAGTAAGATATACGCGAGTTGAGCTCATAATCACCCCATAGGAGATAGTCAGAGGGGCGTTGATCTTTCCTTGAATCTCAAACACTGCAGAGTTTCAACGTCAGATAAACCGATCACTCCGGAGGATTTGTCCGGGAGAGTGGCGGTGAGACAAAGGGGCCTGTATGATCAGGGGTTGAATAGCGCCAGAGACAAGGATATTGCATTGAAGAATTTCCGGTGTGGAAGTGATTAAACATCGCATAACAAACTTACCAGGCAGCCGAAGCGGAAGAATGAGTCGCAGGAAGGATAGGAATGAGGCCAACTCAGGGGTCAAACACTGGCCTCGAGAGCTCCACCTGTCGAGTGCTATTTTCAGAAGGCGGATCAGAATGTCAGTGGGGACCGGAGTCACAATATCTAGCCCAGAGAAAGACAGATATCACGCTGGTTGGGTGGATGGTAGAATGTGAAAGTGGACGTGATGGATCCAATACTCCTCCAGAGTGGTGTAGTAGGCGGTGAGCTAGTTTCTGCGTAGATCGATTAAGGAGCAACAGTGGTTGCCGTAGCCTGGAGTAGTTCCCATTAGTCGATGGGTTTCTCTGGGGAAGGCTCCGCAATTGATCCTCGTGATGGCGAGGGATTGATTGTTGGCAGTTGCCACCCAGGATGGCCTCATCGGAGGTGATGCGACGGGAGGCGGCTATGGCGCCATCGCGGTCACGTGTGGACCCAGCACGAGACCATGCTCGGCGCTTGCGTGATGGGAGTTCATTGCCGACTGTCTGGTTCTCTCGGTCGTCTCCATGCTACATCAGTCATATTTTTCTCTCTCTCCTGTCGCGACGTGCCGACGCATACATATATCTGCAGGTATCCTCCCGTTTCGAATTCTGGCTGGTCCAACTTCGCATCCTTCGCTTTCTTCACCTTATCGCCGCTACAATTCTCCCGCGGTCCTCACCTAGCCTCTGCTGTCGACCCACTACAGACCTCCACGTTTCTCTCATCCGTCGCAAACAACCTCGTACATAAGACCGATTCGCGTGTGCGCCTGGATTGTCTTTGAGTCGCAGTTGCAATTCGATTCATTTTCGCATGCCGACAGTGGCCCCCTCAGCCCGAGACACTTCCCGAGAAGAGAACTCTATCGATACTTTGAGTGAGACTATTCTGCCTCACAGGACCATCGGAGAGACCTCTTGTCGCCAGGGACAAATGGATTCCACCCAGGTCTCCTTCAAATCCATCTTCGGTGGCACACCCGAGCCCACTGATGAGGTTGATGCCGAGCCCGATCCTACCCAGCATGGGCCCCACAGTTTCAACAACGTAACGACAACTTCCGCAAAGCTTGCGGACGAAAATGTTGCGCCTTTCCTCGCGAAACATATCCCTGAACAATACGCTCCCTTGGGTTCGCGAACAGGCAAACCAGAGGATCTGAGCAGTGCCAACTCGAAATACTGTTATCGCCACCGACCAGATCTTAAGTGTAGGCGACAGGCAGACGAGCCTTCAATGGATAAACTACAGAGGGTAGGAATTGGTTCCCTGTGCAAGATTTTTAAATGTGCATTAGACTAACTGGCGTCAAGGATTTGGAGACTCTCCCGCAAAGCGACCAGCAGGGTATCGCCCATATATGGTCTCTCTTCTCCGCCGCGCCCGCGAAACACCGCAAACTTATTCTGCAAGGGCTGATGGCCCAGTGCTGTTTCCCGCAACTTTCTTTCGTTTCCGCTACTGTTCGCGATCTCATTCGAATCGACTTTCTAACCGCTCTTCCCCCGGAGATCTCCTTCAAGATTCTTTGTTACCTCGATACCACATCTCTTTGCAAAGCCGCTCAGGTATCTCGGCGGTGGAGGGCTCTGGCTGATGATGATGTTGTCTGGCATCGTATGTGCGAGCAACACATCCATCGCAAATGCAAGAAGTGCGGATGGGGTCTTCCTCTACTGGAGCGGAAACGGTTACGCGAATCGAAACGTGAAATTGAACTGCGTGCCACGACCTGGGACATAAGCGGCCCCTCGCCAACGGTTACATCCACTGGGGAGCAACAACGCGAACAATCGGCGGCTCCTGAAAGCTCCAGCTCTGGAAAGCGAAAGCAGGACACTAGTGATGAAGAAACCGCAGTTGTCAAACGACAATGCTCGTCCCTTGCGCCTGACTCGGAGAATGACGATGCCTTTTTCAAGAAGCGGTACAGACCTTGGAAAGAAGTTTACAAGGACCGATTCAAGGTTGGCACCAACTGGAAATATGGACGGTGCTCGACCAAGATTTTCAAAGGCCACACAAATGGGGTCATGTGCTTGCAATTTGAGGATAATATACTGGCCACCGGCTCCTACGACGCAACCATCAAAATCTGGGACACTGAGACCGGAGAAGAATTGAGGACGCTATATGGTCATGAGTCTGGGATCCGCTGCCTCCAATTCGACGATACCAAGTTGATCAGCGGCAGCATGGATCGAAGCCTCAAGGTATGGAATTGGAGGACCGGAGAGTGCATCTCCACATACACTGGCCACAGAGGCGGCGTAATTGGCTTGCACTTCGATGCTACCATTCTTGCATCTGCGTCCGTCGACAAGACGGTGAAGATCTGGAACTTCGAGGACAAATCTACCTGTCTCCTGCGCGGCCACACGGACTGGGTCAACGCAGTTAGAGTCGACACCACTTCCCGCACCGTCTTCTCCGCTTCCGACGATTGCACCGTTCGGCTGTGGGACTTGGACACCAAGCAATGCATTCGGACTTTCCATGGCCACGTGGGTCAGGTCCAACAGGTCATCCCTTTGCCTAGGGAATTCGAGTTTGAGGAACATGACGCAGAATGCGAAAACGACAATGTCAGTACTGTCTCGGATGACCCAGGCTCCCCTGCGCCCCAGACTACCTTCGGTGTGTCGTCAATCGAACCCGCTTCTCAGTCCTCCATGTTTGGGCCTTCGTTTGATAATGGCCGTCCCGCGCCTCCTCGCTACATTGTCACGAGCGCTCTGGATTCCACGATCCGACTGTGGGAGACTACTACCGGAAGATGCCTGCGAACCTTCTTTGGACACCTAGAAGGTGTTTGGGCACTGGGAGCTGATACATTGCGTATTGTTTCTGGCGCCGAAGACCGCATGGTAAAGATTTGGGACCCCCGAACTGGGAAGTGCGAACGCACATTTACTGGCCATTCTGGACCGGTGACCTGTATCGGTCTTGGAGATAGTCGCTTTGCCACCGGAAGCGAGGATTGTGAAGTGCGCATGTACAGCTTTCAGAGCTGATCTCACCACCGTTAGCCGCGGCATCCCTGTGAGGCGACGCTTCTGCGGTGTTTAATTTTCTTGTTTGTTTATTTTCTCACTTGATGGATACCAATACCCCCATTGTTTTTTGTCATCTTCCGTCTGTCATAAGGGCATCTCGGGTTGGGGGCTAGCATACTAGGCAACGGACTGGCGTTGTTCAAGGGCCAATTTGATACCAGCGCAGGGATTAGTTTTTCTTGTGCAATATTTGTGCAGCCAATTCAGCTTTACATAGATTGTGAAGTGAAAAATATATCTTCTAAAGCTCTTTGTAGAGAACAGTATCTCAAAATAAAATATACTGCCCACGTAGTTTGCGTGTCTGGCGATGTAGCAACTACCCCAAAATATGAAGGGCGCAACTTGCCCTGACCCAAAATTGCAACAGGGAGGCTAGTAGGTAATAATTGCCGATATATCTACTTTGGAAGCTGACCCTCCTTTTCATCACGACTGACCGCGCATTCCTTGCATTCAAGCATACCTCTCCATAATCTCTGCTCCCACACGCCCTCAGAGACTGCATCTTTTTTCATGTCTCTTCTTCGGCTCCCAGATGAACTTTTATGCACTATAGGCAGCTTCCCAAGTTGCTACGGAGGTGTCCGGGCCCTCGTCCTATCAAACCGTCGTCTCAATAGTATTTTCACAGCCATAGTCTCGACATACACAGTCAAGAACTGCCATAGATCTCTTTTATGCTGCGCCGCGTATAGTGCGGACATCGGTTTCGTAGCCGAAATCCTAGACCAACTAGCCGTGATGAATGGAGAGCGAAATGAAGTCACACGGAGTCGAAACGCACAGCAGGCAACAGTCACCCGACGCAGTCATTCTTGAGACTGGGATACCTAGCGCGCCTTTGGGAGCCGGCAGCATCGTGATGGCGGTGTCCATTACGACGTCTTGGTGAAGCTGTCTAAACAAGCCAACCGGGCGGACGATTCGGTGCCGTCCTAAGGTAGTTCCGAGTGGATACGAATGAAGGGTGTTCACTTGTCGTTGAAGCCCTCCGTGAGTCCGATTGTGACAGGGATGTGGGGGACCATGTGAACTGTATAGAAAAGGAGGGGATACGTTTGGTGCTGGGTCTCGTGAGCAGCGCAAGCGGATTTGGGAAGAAGTTGGACAGGAGCCAACTGAGGAGCTGAGGGTTAAACACGCGAGGAGTGTTTAGGACGTTGCAAGATTTTTTCTCGTGGAGAAACATTTGTGCTTATTTCAAGCACTACAGCGAACTATCTATTTGGCTTTTGCAACAGCATCCCAGCCGCAAGAAGTCAATCGAGAGTATAGAAGGAGGGGCTCGTTTTCAGGTCATTGCTTTGCTTGATAGGTAATCATGACGAATTGTTTAGGTACCAAAGATGATCCTATTACGTATTTGCTGCGAAAGTGAACTATTTCATATCCCGTCGAGACGGGCCTACTCTCCGAGTCTTCTACCCCAGTATTATCCACAAGACAGCCAGAACTGACAGCAGAATACCCATCTCGTTAGGAGCAAAGATGAAATACAGGGATGAAGAGGACCTAGATCTCTTGGAGAAAGGTGGTGAGTAACCCCCTCTACCGAGCGATATATATATATATATATATATATATATGACTTGCACTGAGGTTTAATGACAGGTAAACCAATCGGGCGGGTGTTTTCCATATATGAGCCTCCGAAATCTCCTTCCATAAGTTCGATCGTGGGATGCATTTGCCTTCTTGGTAGCCTCATTATTCTGAGTATTCTCATACTAGCATCTGTGGTAAAAAGCGTCTTCGAGATGCCTTCATTCGACGGGCCAATATCAATAATCGGGGAAACATACCAGGTGATCAGCACTGTTGAGACACCGTTCGCCATCGCACGCTCGGAAAGGGAACAGAAGATACTGGTGGATGCTCTTCAAGGGCCTACTGAAAGTGGAAATATACGACGGGAAGCGAAAGGATACAAAGTGCAATTCATCTAAACTACTGGGTTTGGTTTTTGGTTGCAGTCATTCATGTAGGAGCGTGTATGTTCGTTTTATATCATGACAAAGAACACAGCATTTGCAGGGCAGTGGAGTATATTGACATCGAGTCAAGTTCAATGCAGTGCGGCTTTGACTGAATCGTACCTCGACAGGGCATTTTCGATTATGTTCTGCAACAAATCTGTGTAAGAAAGACCGTTGTTTTTGGCAATCCATGTGTATAAAGAATGGTTGGGATTCAGCCCGAATATGGGGTTGACCTGTGAGTAAATAAGTATATACTTTTCCATAACTTGGATAGGATGTTTACCTCGATGACATATGGGTTGGATCCGTCTCCGTCAGGGCCAAAGCGGACATCAACTCGCCCTGCATCTCTACAGCCCAATCCCTTGTAGGCATCTAGAGCCACTTGCGATACACGAGCCATCTGGTCATCCCCTTCAAGCTCAACATGGGTGTGCCCCATATCTTTGTCTGCTCCTCCGCTTTTTGAAAATATTGTAGCAAAGTCCACGCATCCGTCCTCGTCGCATCCGCCTTTAGGATTATACCAAGTGACCTCAGATACGCCGAGAACTCTTGCATCTTCACCGGTCCCAAGTATCCCGACAGTAAATTCACGACCGGCGAGAAATGTCTCGACTAAAACGTCTTGCTCGGGGAATTGCGATCGAAGATCCTCCACGACACTGCGAAACTTTTCTTTCTTCTGGATCTTATTCGACGCGGTAATTCCGTTGGAGGTGGATGCGGCGACAGGCTTTGCGAATAAAGGGTACGGAAGTTGATCCTCCAGAAGCGTATAGTCAACAGGTTCCCCAAGGCGAGGGACAACAAGAAATGGACTGGTTGGTATGTTATGGTGCTTCAGAACCATCTGGAGGCTACCCACTCAGCTAATGTCGGTGTGAATTCATGCATCAAGATATGGACTTGCCTTTGTCTTGGCTTTATCAATACATAGTGCCAGTGTGGATGCGTCAGAGAACGTGAATGGCACATTGTATGCTTCCAGTAGGGCCGGAACCTGGGATTCTCTTGCCGAACCAGTGACTCCCTCCCCGAAATTGAACACCAAATCCCAGTCTTTCTGATCACCTGAGGCGAGATGATTGACTAGGGGCTTGATTCCGGGAACATGAATGACATGATGGCCCAGAGTCTGGAGGGCTTCGGAAATGCCTTTGATAGTAGTATCATCTGCTAGATCACCGCATTCCGATTCTGAGTAGCCCATTTCGAGGTAGTGGGCTTTTGGGTCATAGACAAACGCTATGGTCAGCCTCGGTCTCTGATAGTCTTCCATCTTGTGTAGGTTATGAGGTAGGTGGTAATCACAGTTGTCGGTGTTTACGCGAGTTTTGTTGATTCAGAAACAGAACGATGACGTCAGGTTACCCTTACATCAACATTGCCTTTTAAGGTTCGAATATAGTAAGCTTCGGTCTGGGCCTAGCCCAACAGGGCAGTCTACTTGTTGGTATTATCGCCCCCCAAAGATGGTAGGTATATCCTCTGACCTAGACACTTGACTACTTCCGGCTCTATCTGACAGCTATCTTACAATATGGGTGTCGCAGAATAGTCATTAGAGATACCCATACCCGCCCTGCACAAAAATAGCTCGGTCAGGAAACATGATTGATAATGAAGACCAGACTGGATGGAATTCCCATACGTCGGAATCTTTTATGCTACTCTTGTCGAATCAACGCCCTTGGATGTTGAGGCTGCACCGGCATGTCATCATGTCTTCACCACGTTGAATGCTTACACGGCATTTATCATCTCATCGGTAAATATTTAGGCCATATCGCTATGATTTCGTCAATCACATATCTAGACCTGCACACTCCACACCTTCCAGACGCGGTCTTTGAAACCTTTAGCTCTTTGATTAACATCACATCCATCTAGCCTCGCGTATCTACACACGCACACGCACACAATGCCGAGGCCGCCGCCTTCCTATGACGAGTCAGAGGCTTGTCAGGGGAGTGTCGAGCCGCACTATCTTAGCCGCGATATCGAGATGCAGAGGATATCGTTAGATCATCACGCCACACAGACAGCGACTCCAGGAATTCGAGACGGATTCGCGTCATCAGGTAGGAACGAGACACACCGGACAAATCGAGGGTGGCGGCCTTACCAGATGCAGAAGATGCAGACCATTCCCGCTGCTCAAGACTCATTGCAAGGGGTTGCCGATGTGATACACTCCGTGTATTGCTGATCATCTGGTCCGTGCTGGCGGGATGCACCATAGCTATGATCATAGTTACAATTGTCGTTGTTGTGTATTGTGCGATTAATGGTAAATGCTATAGGGAGGAGTAGTTGAAATCTTGCTGTTATGGTATCTCAAGTGCGAGATTGGCTTAGCCTTATCCCGCCCTTTGAGGTTGTATGCAACAACGAGAATAATTTTTTGTCCTGCGTGATTACATGGAACTATGTAATAGATTGATAGTCAAGCCGCAGTGAGAGGAAATGGGTGATAGATGTCAAACTCCTAACACAAACACTTTGCCGTAGGGGCTGGCTACCTGGACAGTTTGGGGTATGATGGAATCTAGAACACCATATTCACACCATCAGATTACAGAGGTCATGTCTAACCGAGGTTGTCGAAGAAAAGAGAGGTTAGGTTTTGGTTCACCATGCACACCAAAAGCTAAGAGCTGGAGTGAGTCAGGCAATTGATAGTATCTATCGCAATCAGCGCCTATGGTCCAGGCTGGATTTCTCATTTATATGTCACCACTAGGTAAGTCATCGATATGATGCATTCAAAAATAGATTTTACAGTGATTGCGGCTCAGCTTTTCCACTCGACCTGATGGTATTTAACATGGCCTGATCCTCCTTCTCTCGCTCAACCGAGCTTCCCTCCTCACCACTCTACCACTCCACCGCTTCATTGTCTTCCGAGGTCAAACTACTTGCCCTTCAGATACGGGTCATAACTCGGAACAAAGCTAACCAGGAATACAATATGGGTGGACCTGACCCTGAGACTGGTCAGGCCTTCGAAAAGAAAAGCCTTGACTACATTCGCATGCCGCCGCTCTCATACCAACCTTCGAGGGCGCAAAGCGAACTCTCGCAGAGCGAAATCTCGCTGAAAGGTAAGCAATAACCTCCGACTTTTATGGCTGATACAGGAGGGCTAACCACGCCCAGAACGCGCGAAAACTGAAAGAGAGGATGGGGATGCTGCTCGTACCCGGTTCTGTCCCTGTGAGACACTTCTTTGTGTCCTTTTCACTGTGTTTATAGCTATGGCGGTTGCAGGTGCGATCCTTCTCTCCCTAGTCAGGAAGAGCTGATCACGGTGTGTTTGGATTGGGAAATTCTGGAAGATTGGCCTCTAGTGTATGCTAGTTATGTTCGCAGGTAGCAGTTGTTCAAGGACGATGATTTGATACAACAGAGATTAAACTACGTCGCTGTGCGGATTGATTAAACTCTTCTTATTGACAGTTGATCTTCTCATAAAAATTGAACCAGACTTGGGCAGCTGAAATTATCAAAGTTATCCCAGTACAAGGTACGAAGCCGGCTCGTAGGCTTGCGATATCAGTCCCCATCTAAGGTGTTCACCCTTCAAGAACTCAGTACTTTATGATACAGTCGCTGCATTCTCAAGCTCTTCATGAACCAATCGTCCCCTTTTCGTACCCAGACCTCATAATAATGACCCCCACCTACTTCATGAGCTCCTTGAGCTAAACCCTTTGGCCCGGCGTGGTATATGACGCTCCAGACGGCCTTCACCTCGTCGGCATTCGTTTGTTCCAAGTCCCCCGGGTCAACCATATGGATAGTCTGCAGGTTTCGAAATGCCTGGCTGAAAAAGGCGACAAAGCTCTCGCGGGATGCGAACTGATAATCGACTCCGTTGGTATTAATGACGGTGTCTGTAGGGTCCACAAACACAAAGGTTGCGTCAGGGAGAGAGATGTCTTTGAAGCGCTCCCATTGGTTGCTGTCTGCAAAACGACAGTATTGCGATTTTTTGCGACGAATAATCTCGGCTGTGTCAGAGGAGATCATCATGATGGATACAGGCTGAAAGAGTGTTTTGAGAGGATTTTGGCTATGTGAGAAGAGGGGAAGTCTTGCATCGGAGTACAGGCATTGGGAGGGGACCTCAAACACACCCCTGTCTAGTGGCTCAAGACTGGCTACGCCAGCCCGAGTAGCCTTGGGGATATTGAGAGTGGCATATTTCATGTACCGCCTCATAGGTCTTGTCATGTTGTAACCATATAACCCTCAGGGTTAACAACAGCACGCAAGTACGCCTGTAGTCAATATGGCACGAAGCTTATGGGGCCTGGCTATTGATGGAAGACGAACGTCTTTGGCATGCTGAGGTCCCAGTTGCAGGCAAATATGCAGCTGTCGAGAGATCCGGGGCAATGAGGAGGTTTGCATGGCTATTTGCGTCTCATGGATGAGCGTATGGACAATATTTTCCCTTGTAGGCGACATAATTTCAAGGGGTGACACGTTTTAGTGAGATGCCATTCCAAGTCTGTTCAGTAAAATTGCCATACGGGCACACAAGGTTGACTGCCAGCATCCAGTTCACGTCCGCACCCCACTTAAAAACCATCTCGCAGTATTCAACTCCTTCGGGAACATGGGTTACACACAGAGAACAGACTGATTCTGCTTCATGTTGTGTGATATGATGCCTCTCTGGTCACCTTGGAACATCTCCTGTAGAAGAAATGGGCATGGTTCATTCGTCCAAAATGGATCACCAGGTTGTCCTGTGTAGCACAATTGACTTATACCAAGGCTTTGTGGAACCATATAAGCATGGAAGGCGTCTGCAAAATATGCGGGGTAGTGTACGTTCTGAGGTGAGATAGTCAGATATAGAATGGCGGGTGTAACTGTTTGTTGTCATGCGCTCCCGTGCATGAGAGCCTCATGTTCCCCTCAAGCAAATGAGTGTCATAGCACTGGACTCCAGGTAGCAAGCTGTATCAATGCAGCTTTGGGCACCCATCTAACAGTATGTATCAACCCAATTGCAACCTCAGAACGGCAGCGGCATTGTGAGTTGTCTGTCACAAGGAATAAACACTATTGACTGTCAGCGGGGACGTCGTCGAGATTCGCATTCATGATCGACATGGCGTATACAAGATTTCTTGGTAGTTCGGCATGAGGCACAAACTTGGAGATACATATATCTAGTCCATTACGCTTCCAATCCAAGGCTACTGTTCGTGAACTAAGCACATTGGATCACTGACTAACTACCAATATCGACGTGGGCTTCGTCAATCAGTATGATCTCTCTTTCCACACCCCTCTCTCATTATCAACCCATTATGGCTAACTGAAAGTAAAGCAATGCATTTTAAAGAGCTTGTCAAACCCCTCGTCCTCCTTTGCCTCCTATGCCTCTCCCTTGCGGAACCCATGAAAAGTTGCGACTCAACAACGCCAAAGCTCTGGTAGAACGAAAAATGTCTCCAGCCGAGCACTCTCTCAGTTCTGAAAAACTGTCCACCGACGAGACCCTGGTACCCGCGGAGGCAGACGCCGCCGCGCTGACCAGCTGTCAGAACTGCGGCAAGATCAAAAAGAAGGCCAAGTTCAATGGCGGCTGTGACCCAGCTAAGAGCAAGGGATACCGGTCGTCTCATAATTGCAAGAACGCCGGCGGCAAGAGCTATCTATGTGTGCGGGATGGCGTGGCGCACTGCTACAAAGGAAATTTGGCAAATTTGGCGATGGAGCATGGCGAGTGTTTCTTATAGGGAATAGGATAGCCTGGATGTTTGGGTAGTGGGTGAGGTATATTCAACATATGCTTAGCTGCGTGGTTTTGAGGCTGTTCGCTGTATTGAGCTGGAAGATATAACTCAACGTTCATATTGGATGAAAGATTGTTGTTTGTTAAAAGAGAAGACATTGTCTTTCGTGCTGCTTCGTACCCCTTTCACGCATTCAGGTAGTCTGGAGGATAAATTGTACCTGGAAACTCCCAAAGTGTTCCATCCACAGCATGTGCGCGTAGCCAATCCTGGCAAAGAGTGATATCGTCATCTTCTCGTCCTGGTGCCACAGGCACATCAACATAACATAGTCTACATCGCGTAAGACTCTGCGAGTGCATCATGCAGCCCCAAAAACTGGCCTCCCATTCTGATGACTTGGCACCACGAACGTCGCTGAGACGTCCATCCTTGGTGTTCAGAACCAGGAGTCGTTGTAAAGTCAATGGCAGACATTTTGCCTCATTTATGGACAGCTGCTGGCCCATGTAGGAGTCAGGGCGCGCAATAACAAGGTGCGTTAGATTCGGGCACCTATGGAGGCCGTCCACAAAGCGACCTTCGACGTCGGGATTATACAGTGCGAGACGGCGGAGGGGAGGCCAAGTGGTCCACATTTCTGGTTCTGCTCCTCGGTCCGTTGAATCGAGGAAGAGCTCATCTTGGACGGAGCAGAAGTCTTCTAGTGCGGCGAGGTGGCCAAACGCTGCTCGAAGGACTTTACGGAGGCCCTGCGCGTCCTCATCCGGGTAGAGGCTGCGCAGGGGCATGTCGATAACGAGGTTTTGCAATGTGGCAGAGACTTGTCCGAACAAACGATCAATCTGATGGACTATATGTGGCTCCTCAAGCGAGTATTCGGGGAATGGGGCCAAGAAGAGCGAGAAGGCTTGTATGCACTGGTCTGTAGAGCTAGCGTCATTGTTTGCAAAATAGCCGCTTTTGTCCAACAGACTATCCAGCCGCTCTCGCGTATCAATATACAGGCAATGGCGGAAGAGGAGCTGTCGTGCCGGCTGGTGGGTGAGCTTGCATGTAAGCGCGAGACTGATCAAGGTCTGTGTCTCAATGTCGCTTGGACGATAGATCTTGCGCGATTCTTTGGAGATGAGACTCTCCACGACCTGGAGTATCACTTCCCCGGGTATAGAGGGCATGTTGGTTGGGTCACTGGAATCGAGATGGACAAAGTGGTGAGGAGTGGGATAGAAGAGTGTGAGAATGTCAGCCTAATGAGCCGGTTTCTTTGTCGTGGGTCTCCCCGCCAATGGCTACATGGTCCTTGGTAACCTCAAATTCACTACGAGATTCCATCAGCTTTCCCTTTCACTCTTTCCCAATATGCCTTCCCAATAGAGGCCTCACGAATATAGTAGTTGAGTCTATTCGTATAAGCCTTGTGTGCACGTACTACAAATCACCCCGTTCCTGCATCCATTGCATGAGCCACTTCCACAATCTATCATCTGCGACAAACATATCGTTTCGGACGGTTGGCGGATGGACCGAGCTATATTGTCTTTTCCATTGCGAAAGAAGTGTTAGCTTCTTCGCCATTGTTTTCCTCAGAGCTTTGTCTTGGAAATAGCTTAGTTCGTCCCTTTCGACCTTCGAAGCAGGCCGGTCTTCCAGTTTGATTTCGTCGTAGACTTGAACGTAATGAGTCGACGAACGCTGCTGTTCAAAATGCGCGCCGATGTTTTTCTCACCGCCGTATGCTGCGTCCCAGACAGTGGCAAAGAGGTGATAGTCTCCGGTACAGTCTAAATTGATGAGTCGAGTTAGGCTCCAGAAAGGTTTACACCGTTCCAATGATTTGCGATATTCGTCACGCAAGGCACTGCTAGGTGAGCCCAAGACCGCTGTGATAAACCCTTCAATGAACGCAACATACAATTCGGGGCTAACTTCGTTTCGGGATTGTGGTAAACCTGGTGGTACGAACAACATCGATTCTGGAACAGACGAAGTAAACGCCCAGTCAATTATACAGGTGATGTTAAAGTCATCATCCACGTAAATATTGTTGACACTCAAGTCCCCATGACATAGAGGGAAGTTCGGCGTGAATGGCGGACGTGTAAGCCGCGGTACGATATTGCGAAGGGCGTCACCGGCGACAATGTAATCCAGTCTGTTATCTGACGAATCGATCTTATCACCTATGGCCACGAAGTCGTTCCAGAGGTCAACTGCCATCCTGTAGTCATCGAGAGTCTGATACGCGTCAGTTGAAGGAATAGGTGCCACGAAGCAATGATGTGACAGTTGCAAGGATTCTGCATGTTGTATAAACGCGGAGATGAGGCTATCGTAAAAAGATGCTGCAGAAGTAAAGGGCCCTCGTGGCACTTCCTCCAAGCTGGAACGTTGGTCTAGGACATGTCCACGAGAGAGACACTCTTCGACCTTAAAATCTCCGCCTTCTTCAAAGAGAGAGCCAATCTTATCAAATCGAAGCTGTGAGAGCTCCCATGTGATAGCGCCTAGTTGTGACAGAACTTTGGCTTTCTTATCGGTGGCTAAGTCTGGCAGGTAAGAACCAGGGGACTTCCAAGACTCTGAAAGAGGCCCGCCGGGTGCTTCGCTCATCAGAATGTACGGGATGCCAACATCGTTGTCCGCGGTATCACTGCGATTTGTTAACCTATGTCAACGCTGATGGGAAAATTCATACCAATAATGGTACACTTCGGGAATTGGAATATCACTATGAGATTTTATGTATCTCAGAGTCGCAGCTTCGCTTGCCAGAAGCTTCAGGCTCGTCTCCATTGGCATTATGTAGCTCTGATTGCGTGGTGATCGGAACACCCACCGCACCCCGTCCTCAAATGTCAGAAAGATGGCCCAGTTGAAGCTTCCAGAAGCAGGTCTCTGGTCTGGATTACAGATACACGGTGTGCCCATCCGCAGCTCACTCGCTCGACGACACAGAGCCTGAATATCAAAGTCAGAGTACATAAAGATACCAGACTTTCGGGCAGGGGACATTTTAAGCGCGATAGACTCCAAGAATGCAGACTTCAACCGAGTGAGGAAAGAAAGTTGGTAAATGGATAGGAATAGAGGGGGCATAGGAGGTTGTTTACCTCTGCACGTAGGCGACGCGCTAGGCCTAATCTAGAAGGACACGTTTAGTTGCATAAATTATGTCATCAGACATAACTAACTACATAACTAGTGGATGGCCGAAGGCGGTGACGTTGTGCTTTCAACTACGGATTCCCCGCGCTTCTCCAGCCGGTGATCCAGCATCAGCACGACCTCAACTACTCTTTGTATCTGTCTATTTGCGTTCAATCTCGTCATCCACTGCTTAAACTTGGTACTTGCCTGTACATATTTATCTTCTATGCCCTACACTCTCGGCATATGCCCTATTAACACCTACCCCCGCTTCCGGAAATCGCAAGGCTACCCTGTTCAGCGTCCAGCCGCCAACCATGTGGAACGACGAGGATAACAATCCGTACGGCGCATTCGACCACGAGGCCCATCTTTCCGAATCCCTTCACTCTGCAACTCTTTCCCCACGTATGTGTACCGTCCACGGCCTGTTTTGTCGATAGTCGCATGTTCTAACAGCTCCAAGAGCTCTACGATCGCGAGAACACTCCTCCGTCTCCGTCCAGCCGCTCATCTACTCAGGATCCACCCCCCTTCCTGTCTCAACAGCAGGACCTTAGCGACGACGATAACACCGGTGAATATGGAGCTCAGGAAACGAGCCAAGGATACATGCGTAAGAGTGTTTACGACAGCCGCATTGAGCAGATCCTCTACGAGAACCCGGAGATGCCTATCCTGATCACCGATGCCGGAAAGAACCATGAAGGCGGTGGAAGCTATATTGTATACACTATACGCACTGGGGTGAGCCCAAACCAATTAAGGCATCTTCAAGATGATGATCTAACGCCAACTAGGACCTGGAAGTCCGACGGCGCTACTCCGAGTTTGCGTCTCTGCGACAGACCCTTGTGAACCTCCATCCCACCCTTATCATACCCCCCATTCCGGAAAAGCATACTATGGCCGATTATGCCGCCAAACCGACCAAGGCCAAAGAAGATACCGCGATTATCGAACTTCGGAAGCGCATGCTGGCCGTCTTTCTGAACCGATGTCGCCAAATGAAGGAGGTCCGAGAGGATGGCGTCTGGTGGAGATTCCTCGACCCCAACGTCAGCTGGGTATGTATACATCTAAAAAATTCCCAGAACCAGCTCTAACGATAAACAGAGTGAAGTACTCCATTCCCACCCTGCATCCTCCGTCCCGAAGAACAATCTCAAAGCGCCTCCCCTCGACCCTGCAAACCCAGCACCCGCCCATGCGTGGCTTCCCGTACCTTCCACGTCCGCGAAACTCAAGGGTGCTGGAACATCCCCAACGGAAGCGCCCGGTCCGGATGTTTTAGGTCGTTTCCCTCCCGAGTCGCGTAAGCTCAGCGAACAAGAGCTGGACCCATACTTCATCAACTTCGAAGCCTCGACGCGAGAACTAGAGTTACTTCTTCAGGGAAACATCGAAAAAGTGAACCGTCGGACCCTTGCGCACTTGTCGTCGCTGTCCGCAGATCTGATGGAGTTGGGAGCACGGTATAATGGTTTCTCATTGTCCGAACAATCGCCCACCGTGGCTGCTGCCATTGAGCGGATCGGTCAGGCAGCAGACACCTCGTATATCGAGACTGAGGAACTGTCCTCGGCATTGGGAGCGAATTTTGCTGAGCCAATGAGAGAAAGCGCACAATTCGCCAGCGTGGTCCGCAGCGTGCTTCGCTATCGCGTGCTGAAGCGGGTACAAGAAGAGATGACGCGTGATGAGCTGGCGAAGAAAAAGGCGCTTCTGGATTCTTTGGAGCGGAGTGAATTGGAAGCCAAGCGCATTGAGCAGTATCTTAACCGCACCTCACCGCAGCCAACCGGGACGAAGCCTCAGCGCTCCTTATCCGCCTCATCGGGTACCAGCGCTCCAAGCGTTTCTGAAGGAGATTCTCACCAGGGAGGTTCGGACGACGGAACCTCGATCGGATCGGACTTCCCCCCTACTCATGGGGACTCGGCCGTGCCAACCTCTCCCACCTCACCTAGAAGGCCAGGACCAGGACCGTCATCGCCTCCGGCGCACCGCAAAACCTCAAGCGGAACTTTCATGAGCAACAAGATCTTTGGACGCATTAGTCATGCCGTGCATGGCTTTGTTGATGTCGATCCCGAAAGGACTCGACGTGACCAAATTGGCAAGACCAAGGAAAGTTTGCTTCAGGTAAGTTTTACAATGTTGCGATTCTGACACTCTAATGGAGTCGATAATGACTGTTGTTCCCAGTTGGAACAAGCCCTGGAGGTATCCGAAAAGGACGTCAAAGACGCCAGTGCCGGTGTCCTGCAGGACCTCAAGCGTTTCCAGAAGGATAAAGAGGCAGATCTGCGAAGATATATGGTATGTGACGCGGCCGTATGGAGAACGTGTGATGCTAATGCAGAGTCTACACAGGTTGCGTATGCACGCTGCCATCTGGATTGGGCGCGAAAGAACCTCGAAACGTGGACTGAAGCGAAGGATGAAGTAGACAAGATTGTGGTTCGGTAGTGATCACGATGCCTCTCTTTTCTCTGGGTCGGTCCGACGTAGAGAAGCTCAGAATGGCGTTATACGGTTTATCATTCTCTATGGCGGTGTAGTTTGAACTAGATCCTGTGCAATGAAATATTCTATACTCCTAACTCGTATTCTCCGATGTTGTCTTGTACAACATGGTAGCGCGATAATCTGCCGATGTATTTATTGACTGAGTATTGATACCACAATGATTGTCTGTGATTAATGCATCATTATGGGCTGAAAGTGGAAAATTGAGACGTTGAAGTGTGTTGATGATTGCGCCATTTGAACGCCTCTTGACGATCGACAAAGCTAAGCATCGCCATGATCGATCTCCGAAGACCCTTTCTGCAACGTCATCTTCTTCGACTTAGTGCACCTAAAGTGACGCGAATCCTGGAATATTTGGTGGAATTTCGCCAATTTCTTTGTTACAAAATCAAGTTCCGCATCCGACACACGCGAACAAGGGAGCAGCATTCCAACGCTAGGCGGAGCAAAGCCAATTGTCCCTTCGGCCCGTCGCAAAACGTCCCGTCTCGTTTCCACTCTGCGGCTCATCACCACTCTACTTCCCACCATACATAACCCTCAATACCCACAAAATATGACATTGTCGGCCCGACGATGATAGGGAGGACAGACCCTGTCTTGCCGCAGCATGAAGTCCAGGCAGCGGTGCTGGGGGACCACTCACCACCGCGACTCGGACGCCGCGCGGTCTATCGACGATTCATGCGTCGCATTATAAAAATTCTGGTCGTCGTCGCGGTTCTGTACCTGGCTATCATATTCCTCTTTGCCAACACCAGAAGAGTGGTACCCATCCATCGCCAAACGCCCTTCCCACCGACACATCCCGCAGATTTGAAGATCCACGACCCCAGCATTCTCAAGGTCGGCGATAAGTACTACTCCTACAGCGTGGGCCCGCGCATCGTCATCCACGAAGCGCCCACGCTCTCCGGCCCGTGGAAGAAGACGGGCCACGTCCTGGATAAGGACAGCATCATCCCAAAGGGCGACCGGAAGGCGCCGTGGGCGCCGACAACGATCGAAGTCGCCGGCACGTATTACTGCTACTACGCCGTCAGCCAGAGCGGCTGTCGGAACAGCGCGATTGGCGTCGCGACCTCGCAGTCCCCCGGCCCCGGGGGGTGGACCGACCACGGGGCGATCATCCACACCGGGACGGGCCCTGGCTCGGACAGCGCCCCGTTCGACCGGTCCAATGCCATCGATGCGAGTGTGATCCTCACCCCGGATGGCAACGGGTACCTGAATTTTGGTAGTTATTGGACGGGCATCTGGCAGGTACCGTTGAATGCGGATCTTGTGTCAATCAGCGATGTCAGCACGAATGCTGCGCGCCATCTGGCGTACGAACCGCATGCATTCTCGCCCGGCGGGAAGAACCCAAACCCCTTGTGCGGGGACCGCAGTGGAAGCCATCCGATCGAGGGCGCGTTTGTGTCGTATCGTGCGCCGTTTTATTATCTCTGGTTTAGTTGGGGGAAGTGCTGTAAGTATAATCCGAAGGCGCTTCCTCCGCGAGGGAAAGAGTACGTTCTGCGTGACCTAGTTCCTGTTTCGGGGTTGCTCATTTTTGCAGGTACCAGATACGTGTTGGGCGGTCGACACATCCACAGGGTCCGTTTGTTGATCGACAAGGCGTGGACCTCATTGAGGGAGGCGGAGAGGTTGTCTACGGCTCGAATAGAGATGTGTATGCCCCCGGTGGGCAGGGAGTCTTGACTGATGAGGGAACCGACATTTTGTATTATCACTATTGTGAGTTCCGATGCTGAGATTGGCGAGAAGTATGCTAAACGCTGCAGTGAACAAAACCGTCAGTTTGGATTTCTGGGTGAGTGCACCGGTCCAGTATATATTTGCCTATACTAACACGATGCAGGAGGCGCGTCTCGGATACAATCCTCTAATATACATCGACGGCTGGCCTGTCGCTCAGTGATATGACTACCTTAGCGAACTCCATATAGACTTCAAGGCGTTACTGGGAAATTCTGTTTCAAGGTCTAAAATCAGGCATCGACATTGATAAACATCCAGAAGTCATAATACACTTGATCCAATCGTGTGTTCGCAAAACCCAATAAACATACCAAGTTACTCGTCCTCCAACCATACAACAAACAAATTATCAACCTGCAACGAGCACCCATTCTCATTCTTCGCGTCGCTTCAGAAAAGAGGTCCTAGCCCGGTAGACACCAGGTCTAGGTCTGACATCCGAAGATGTAGAGCTCCGCAATGGTGACAATAGAGGCGTTGAAATCGTCCGAAACACAGCAGCGACACGTCCGCCCCTCTGTCGGGGCGTCTCTGTCTCATGCTCAGTCCTTTCTGATGGCGAGTTCACATCATTATTCTCCTCCACTGGACTTTGGGTATACCCATGTGTACCCGCAACGTCCTGGTCTGACTCTGGCGGAGGAGTTATCTTCACCTCCGGAGGTACGAGGTTTGTTGCTTCGCGATGGGCATTCTCCACGCTCGGGCCCAGATCGAGATTGCTGATTTCGCTATCGGTGCGAATGGTTTTTGGTTTGCTTTCGGGCTGGCTCGGAGTGTTGGACCGGGAGTCTTTCGGAGCCATGAATCGCCACATCTCGAGGTTGTCCGATCGTCAGATATGCGACACTGTGTATGGAACGATCTGGGTGTTGTTCAAACGAAGGATTTGGAAGGAAGTGTCCGATAAGTGTGGGTTGTGTATGTCGGGTTCAACGGATATATTGATATGTTTGTAATTTCCTCACCATATCATCTCGACTACTTGGCTTCTTGGATGGTCTATATATAGTTGATTAGCACGCAGCACAGCTGAGATCATTTCTGTAAATGTCCGTAATACTGACCATCTCATATGATGAATGCCTGTCTCAGTTCCCGGATACATTCGCAGTGCGGATGCTTTCGTACGCATGGTTGCTCCAGATTACAACACATGAATAATCAAACCCCCCCTTCTCGTCAGGCTGCTTATTCACAGGTGCTTTGCATATTGCCTAGCTGCATATAGGATATTGTAGATGCTGCGTCAGGCGTATCTAACTGTCAGACGAGCTGAGGGATCCGCATCAGCTGACCGGGATGGTCATCGTTGCACTCCGCTGATCCAGGCTTACGACACTATCAGAGCGTCCATCATCAGTCATTATTTCTGAAGTTAGGATGTTGGCATGAGAGTGGACATACTGCGGTTTTCCTTACGTTTAAATATGTCGATGAATGTGTCACGTAAGTGGTCGACTGTGGATATCCCCGAATCTCTGGAAACCTAACAGCGATATTGGGGTATTCGGCGCATAACGACGCTGTAGGCTTGTTTCCCTGTATCTATGAACCCCATATCTTTTTAGATGTAGAGATCTGGGCTGTCTTTATTCAAAAAGCGAAGATGCTTATAATCAACATGGCGTAGCTTGGTTGGTATAGTCTGGGCTGTGGTTCGACCCTCAAACATTGCCTTATTAACCACCAAATTATGACCCATCAACGCATAGAACAGCGCTCACCCTTAATACATACAAAGAAGACCTCACTGTTTATCAAAGCGCATTTTCTGGTTACATCCTCTGCGGGTGTGTAGCTGTGGTGAGATACCGCTCACCAGGGCATGAAACGTGGAGTGAAAAGCACGGATTGCTATCCTCACTATGGTATGAGGTTTGTGTTACTGATGCACAGGTCCTTTACATCACCATCACCTCTCTGCCACTTCGGATCCAATCCACTCTCGAACTGGTCGCACGAGCTTACCTCTCACTGCAGACTGCGCCCTCCGAAACAATGGCATATACCACCGAGAGACTCCAGTTAGTCAAGAAACTGTTTATACTCTCAAAGAAGCCCACCCTCAACTTCAATAATACCGACCACTGCAAATACTCGCTACGCGCAAGAAAGACCAACATAACCAAGTGGTTATTCTCCACTTGGATCGACGACGACGCTGACGACACATACGATCCGAGACAAGACAGCAGCTCATTCAAAAGAAAACGGCTCCGGGCAGACGATTCAGATACCACCCAATCACCGAAACGTGCAAAGCAGTCTGGCGGTCTAGTGGTCACCATGGCATTGAATTCCCCGGCTGGGAAGGGGTTTCTGTCATCTCTACCTATGTACCAGGATGGTGAATCGGATCAGGAAGAGGAGGAATGGATGGCCGCCATCAAAGCTGTGGCCGAGTCAGCGCAAGTGTCGGAGAGTACTGGTCAAGATGCGGTCCCCCCACCTGCTCCTGTATCCAGCGAGAAGCCCCCTGTGGCTAGCCCAACGGACCCAGATGGCCATGGATGTGAAATGTGCTGGACTCTGGGGCTGGATTGCATCCTAGCAAAGGATCCGTACGCATACCCTTGTTCGTACTGTAGGGAAAATGGAATGGACTGCCAGCCGTGGGAGACCCCAGAATGGAAGCAAGCCTGCGAGGGTTGCAAGAGAGCAAAGAAGCCATGTTCATATGAAAGCGACGATACAGGCCACGATTTGCCGTGCCAGAGATGCCGCAAGGTTGGAGACTACTGTGTCGCAGGCCCGGCCCGAGAAAAGCCCAGCCCCAAAGCAGCCGTCACAAACAGCGAAGCGAGCTCCTCCAAGACCGCACGTCCACCCAGCCCTACCGTTCCTGTGAGCAAGTCCCCAGACACTCCCGTCATCCGGACCGCCCTGGCCCACCCGGTCGACTTTACCTATGTGCCACCGGAAGACGGTTCCAATCCGTGTCATTGGTGTGACAGCTTCGCATATGGGCTTGTGGGACTCGGGCCCACGGAGGTGGAAGTCCTCGACTCGGGTGACGGGCGCTTCATCGAGCTCAACGGGGGTCACGTTGCCCAGGGTCACGACCCGAGTCGCATGTGTGTAACGTGTGCCTTGGAGCGCATCCACATTACGGGGTGCCCCGGTCACAGGATCGTCGCGTTGAAGACGTATCAGGCGGAAACTTTCGACTTTGCAGCCGCCTTCGCGAGTCTAGCCCCAGGACAGAAGAAGATGAATCCTTGGTGTTCGCTGTGTATCGCACCAGCGTTCTACGGGTGTAATGCCGTCCAAAGCGTGAATTTGTATCAGGAGCCGGTTGATCCATCGTCCCCTGAAGCCATAGGATGCGGGCTACTGCTTTGCGAGAAATGTAATATGCTGATGAAGGTGTTGGGGGATCTGGGAAAGGTGGCTGCGAAGAATGACGAGAGGGATCCCGATTGGTGTCGAGCGGACGTGTGTTATCTTCTCCCTGGAAATGCATTATATCGGTGCTACATGGATGCAAGGGGTTCGAATTAACTCATTTTGAGGTGGTCTTGGGCATGGGAAGGATAAACCTGATGATATGGCCTCGTCGTTACTATGCATTGGATTGCCATTGCCTAGATATATCTGGATATTTCTTACATCTGTTGAGATGCGCATAGGTCCGGATATAGCTAGGCTGTATGCTCTAGACAGTCCAAACCGAAGTAATATTGCATTTTCTTCCAGTAAATAAGTTCGATATATATCGTTTTAGCTAGGCATGCAATCTATGGAATGTGTATACAATACTCCATACTCCGTACCGCCCCAGTCCCCAAGACCCTCCTTGCTAGCGCACCCGTCTTTCTTTCTTCTGGAGCTCTCTATTCAGAGCCTCCATGAGCAGGCCAAAACACCTCCCTAAATTAATCTGTTTAATACTTCTCATCGATGTACCCACTTGGATACGATATTTTGACGGAATACTCCACCGCCTCGCCGCTGGGCCAGTCAGCGGCCGGAACGGAGGACTAAACGAGAGAGTTTCCCCGGCCAACTTCAATTTCTGTTCCCTCTTTTTCTTCGTCGTTCTTTTCTTTCTGTCTGGATTCAAAGAACTAGCTGGTCATATTAGAAGCCTTTATTATCCTCCTCATCCCCAGTCCCCCTCCCTTTTCTTCACTGTCGATTCTCTCCTTCCTTGGTGTGGTCTCCTCTCCCTCCCTCTTCTTCCCCATCGTGTTACCTCGAGCTGCCACGAGACGTGCGCAGCTCACCGTCACGACGTCTTCCACAAAGCGCCGTAAGGTAGCAGAGCCTCGCAGACCAGGAGACGCCCCGGCTTGGTCGTTTGCCTCGCAGGCTGGAAGACGTCACGGCCATATCAAGAGTAATACCAACTCTCCCTCGCCTCCCTCCGCCGTCGCTTCGAACCAGAGCCAACCGTCATCGCCGTCTCCGCCCCCACGCCGCTACATTCCCGCCCACCTGCAGGACGAAGTGCTGGGGACTCGATCCGCTCATTCGCCGACCCCGGATTCCGCCGTCGACTATCCCTCCGCCGCTTGTGCTGGTCTCACCCTCTCCAGTGATCCCGCCGCGGATATGTCAGGTTCCGAACAGCGAGATGGCAGTCTTCCTCCGTCCGGTCCCCAGGAGCCCTCGTCGCCCTCTTCCGGTGGTGTGAAGCTGTCCGAACCCCAGGACGTCGACATGGTAACCGAATCGACCGATCTCGCCCCCAACTCGCACGCCGCCAATCCCGACGCCATGGACACAACCGGCCCCGAGGATGATGACGATGCTGGGAATTCGGGCTCTGACAACGTCTATCCGACCCCATCTAGCATGTCGACGTACACTGCCACGACCGCCACCCGGACGGAATCCAAGTCTCAGGCGCACGCCGCTGCCGAGATCCCGTCATACGATGACCAGGTCGCCCAAGTCACCCGCCACATGATGCTACCCCTGCAGGAAGGACAGAAAGGATATGTTGTGTCCATGTCGTGGCTGAAGCGTGTGTTGTCCAGGAGCTCGACCCACGCCACGCAGGGCGACAAGACCGCTACGGAAGGCGATGTCGGCCCTGTCGACAACTCGGACCTTGTCCTAGTCACCGACCCGGCCAATGCGGGTCTCAAGGATGAGGCCGGAGAGCCGTTCGTGCCACTTCGACCGGGCTTGCAAATGTCCGAGGACTATGAGGTCGTACCCCAAGAAGGCTGGGATCTCATGATGCAGTGGTACGGTCTGGCCGAGCAGTCCCCTGCTATTGTCCGGTATGCCCACAACACCAGCCCATCCGGAGAGGCAGTGAACGTCCAATACGAGATCAACCCACCCATCTTCACCATCCTGAAACTTGCAAACCCGGCTACGGGAATCAGTCCTCAGACACTCCGAGAGAAGTCGATGAAGCCCGCTAGAATCCTTGCCAGCCGACACACAAGCTACCAGAAATGGTTGAAGGAGGCCAAGCAGCTAGCCAACATCGACATGGCTACCAAGGTCCGCGTTTGGAAAATCTTGGGTGGTCTGGGTAGTGCTACTGCCTCCGCCGCCATCACTCCCGCCGCATCCCGCAGCGCGTCTCCAGCGCCTGCTGCGTCTATGGTCGCCAACTCCGGTACGAGTCTCGTTCTTGATATCAACACCTTCCTCTCGCTTTCGGAAGGAGCGCAGCGCGAGCTGGTCGAAGGCGTTAAGGATCAGACCAACAACCCTAACTACAACGGAAAGACGCCCTTAGACATTTACGGGCTTGGTGGAAGCGACGTTGTGGTCCTTGAGGAACAAATTTCTGGTGGTGAATTTGTGTCTGAGGCATCCAAGAAGCAGCTGAATCGCCTTGGTGTCCCGTCTGGTAATCTCAAAGATGCGGTCTCGTCCAAACTCAAGAATAAAAGTCCGACTAGCAGTGGTCGGTCATCGCCGGTTCTTGAGCCGATCAGGGGTCGACGCAAGGATGGCAAGCCTCGTGGCTGCACTGGCCTGAGCAACCTGGGCAATACGTGCTATATGAATTCCGCGCTGCAATGTGTCCGCAGTGTTGAGGAGTTGACCTACTACTTTCTGAGTGCGTTCTCGCGGTCGTGATTCGTGGAAGACACTTTGCTGACCATCAACCCCTCAGACGATGTTTACAAGCAAGATCTTAACCCCAGCAATCCGCTCGCCCACAATGGTGAGGTCGCCAAAGCTTACGCTAATTTGCTCCGTATGATTTACGACGAGAATGGCCAGTCTTCGTTTGCACCCCGACAGCTGAAGAACACCATTGGCCGCTATGGACCAGCCTTTTCAGGTTATGGACAGCAAGATTCCCAGGAGTTCTTGCTGTTCCTTCTGGACGGTCTCCAAGAGGACCTGAACAGGATCCAGAAGAAGCCGTACATTGAGAAGCCGGACTCGACCGACGAGATGGTCCACAACCGTGCGGCGCTGGAAGAGTTTGCGAATAAATGTTGGGATATCTACAAGGCCCGTAATGACTCGGTTATTACGGACCTCTTTGCTGGTATGTACAAGTCGACGTTGGTTTGCCCAGAGTGTAAAAAGGTCAGCATCATCTTCGACCCTTTCAACAATCTCACTCTCCAGCTGCCCATTGAGAACCTCTGGAGCAAGGAGATCTTCTACTTCGGGTTGAATAAAAAACCCGTGATCGTTGATATTGAAATCGACAAGAACGCCAGCATCAAGGCGTTGAAGGAAATGGTGGCCAAAAAGATGGGGTCCGACCCGCAGCGATTGATCATGTGCGACATGTACAAGGCCAAGTTCTACAAGATGTTTGATAACACGTCGTCTATTGCCGATTCGCAAATCAGCGGAAACGACGACATTGTCATGTTCGAGGTAGAGTCGGTACCAACCAACTACAACCCCGACAAGCCCGCGCGGAGCTACTATTCCTTCGGTCGCTCTAATCACGAGGAGATCCCCGGAATTGATTCCCCCAAAGCTGAAAGACTGCTCGTACCGGTCTTCAACCGGGTGGTGCGGCCTTCCCGGTCCGGAAACCCCAAAAATGCCCAGCGCACGCTTTTTGGAGTCCCTTCTTACATTGTCATTTCTCGCCAAGAGAACTATGATTATGATGTGATTTTCAAGAAGGTTCTTGAACGAGCCGCAACCATGACAACCCGCGATATCCTTAACGAAGAGCCGCAGGAGGCAAACCAGGAAGACTCAGACACCGTTATCATGAATGAGGATGATGCGCAGTCGGCTGACTCTAAGATCAAGACATCGTCCGTCGATGGTGAGGACGGCCTGGTTGATGTGTCTATGCGGGATGCCTCCGACCAATCGGACACACAGCCATCGCAAGATTCCAAGAAATATTCTTATCGCAAGTCGGAAAGTTCGATTCCTTCTCGGTTCCGGGATCTCTTCACGTTGAAGATTATGAAAGGCCAGAATGAAGTGGTACCGCTGGGTTGGTCAGGGTTAGATGACGGGAAGGAATTCCCGAAAATGGAATTCCGACGAAAGACCAAGCCCGCCGTGGAATTGGAGGTAAGCAGGGAACGCCCGATGTTTTATTTGGTCCCTGGACTAATTTTGTTCCGCAGTCTGAATCTACTGGCGACTCGGGTGCCTCCCAGAAAACTGGAGCCGATGACGATTCGGAGCAGGAGAAGAGTGACTCGAGTGGCTCCGATAGTGCTTCGGAGAGCATCTCTGGTAACACTGGAAAGCCTGAAGTGCAAATCGTTCCGTTTGTGCGACCTGGCGAAGGAATTGTCGTGGATTGGACGGAAGAAGCCCATGACGCCCTTTTCACAGGGAACATCAGGGATATTAACCCTGTCCGTGGAGCCGCCACGTGGACGCACGTCGAACATGTGCCGGACCCGGAGCTCTCCCAACGCCGCAAGCTTCGTCAGACACGTCGAAAGAAGGGTATCACGTTGTACGAATGCCTGGACGAGTTCAACAAAGAGGAAATCCTCTCTGAGAACGATGCCTGGTACTGTCCTCGGTGTAAGGAGCATCGCCGAGCTAGTAAGAAATTCGAGCTCTGGAAGACGCCCGACATTTTGGTCATGCACTTGAAGAGATTCAGCGCTAGCCGTGGTTTCCGGGACAAGCTGGATGTGTTGGTTGACTTCCCTGTGGAAGGTCTCGATATGAGCGGCAGAGTGGAGGCCCCCGAGGAAGGTGAAAGCCTCATCTACGACCTGTTTGCGGTCGACAACCACTATGGTGGCCTCGGAGGTGGTCACTACACCGCATATGCCAAGAACTTTATGACAGGGCAGTGGAATGAGTACAACGGTGAGGATTAGCCGCGAACCCCATCTTCCATTGTCGCCGACTGAACTAACGTGTGTAGATTCATCGGTCTCCCGGCCCATTGATCCGCAGAGTGTCGTGACCTCATCCGCCTACCTTCTTTTCTACCGGCGTCGGTCTGACCGCCCATTGGGAGGTAAAATCCTGGAGGAGATCACGGAATCTTCCACTCGCCCTGCAAGTGAGTCCGAGAGTGAGTCGCGCGGACAGTCCCCTTCGGGGAACGGTCAGCGCCTCGACGGCTCCTCCCGCAATGGGTCGTCGAGCGCCTTAGCCGGAGTCGGAGCAGCTCACCAACCGGGAGATGGTGGTTTGCCAACTGGAGCCCAAGCGAAGAACCGGAATGACGACTCACCACCGGAATACTCGGACCACCCTTCCTCCGGGGAAAAGCGTCTTGATGGGGACAATCGACTGGAAGGTATGATCTTTGATGATGAACCCGAGTTCGGTTATGGCGGGCAATCCGACCCGTTCCGTCTCCACAGCCAACCGCCCTTCTGGTCCTTCGACGCAGACACGGATGCTCACGGTCAATCACAGATGACAACAATGTTTCCGGGATCCACCTCTGATGACGATGATCTACTCGATGACGACGCAAGCAACAAGGCTGTTGGAGACATGAGTGATTCTGAGATGAACCTGATCTCTTTGGCAGACACCCCAGCTGGCCATGGAGTGTATCCTGGAACCCCCATGGAGGAGGTACCCGTTCCAGGAATTTCACTTCCGACCCAGACGGAAGGCGACGATGACGATGATGAGCTACCTGTCGTGGAGCTTCGAGTCGACGAAGACTGAACTCCAGACTGCTTATGACCTTGGACTTTTCTCTTTCTTTTTGGACACGTGACACGAATAATGCTGTGCCTCAGATCGTCTCGTCTCGTACGATCTTATGGGTTGCCGTGTGGCTGATGACTTTTCCTTTTTGAGGGGCCTTGGCTTTGAGAGGCCGCTCTATATTATAATTATTCTTCTCACTTGACTGTTGTTCACTTGCTTGACGGTGGTGTGGGCAGGTGGAAACGACGGATCATGTTTTCGAATGTGGCATGCGGTGTTTTGTTGCATTTACCTGAGGGACCTATCATGCATTTGCATTTTGTTTATTGGGGATGAGGCAGTACAGTGGATTGCGGGCCCCTAACACCATGTTTTCTATCTACAAGAAAAGCTTTGTTATTGTTTTGCCCGTGGTAGAGCAACGTCGGCTCCGTTGCATTGAGGTTCCGAAGAGCCTAGTTTAGATGTCGAATTTGATGACCCATTCGTTCGTCTATGATCCTGTAGCCTGATATATTAACAAGATTCCATGTCCCCACGCTGTCTCAGCTCCTCTTCGACACCCTTGGGAACCTCTGATGGTGGTTTCTCCCAAGCCGTCGAGTTTGACCAGAGGGAAGACGACCAAGATGGCGATGCGCATGTTTTGTCTCCATACCCGTTTTGGCGGATTTGTTAGCCCAGGATCTCTCCCAACTCCGGGGGAGTGCTCTTGAAGCATCCTGACTCTGGAGGGAGAGAATGATGGTGAGAAAGATGGGGGAGGCCTTGAGTGTGGTGTTGCACTTCACGATATCAAATGCTCTAGTGGTAAAACTTCAGCACTATCTTGCTCAATGGCCGTCATCGATACATATCTATAGTGACTCTCTTGACATAAGAGCCATAGACCCGCTAAGTTTGGTTATATAGTGATGTAGTGAGATTTTTGAGGCCCTGTAGGTGACAGAACTTATCGGTGGTTCATAAACATATGCCTAGTACCAGGTACCAGAGGAGGGTTGTCCTGACCCCCAAAACACTGCCCACACGTCGAACCATAAACAACAGCAATTGCACTCCTACTGTCATATTCTCTCTCACTCACGCTCTCGCATCCTCTCCCCCATCCTTAACCATCCATTCATATGCCTATACCCATCTCAACCTCAAACCAAAAGTGAAGCAAGGCACCTGGCCCACAAACCCCCTCTACATCCACGTCCTGACCAGCAAGAAACAGCTTAACAGAGAGATCATGCACGACAACGCCATAATCGCCGTCCTCCTAGCCACTTTCACCGGAATCATCCTCCTAGGCATCGTCTACGTCATGAAGAGACGCGCAAGACTCAGAAGAGAACTCCGCGTCAGACACGCCAAGCGAGACATCCTCAACTGGAACCGTGCAAACCGTGCCCAGAACCCAGAGGCCGCCCCAGCTGGATCGAAGAAACCCGCCGCCTCGAAGAAGGGCGAACCCGCGCCGGCCAAAACCGCCCCAAAGGCTCCGTCTGTCTCCAAGCCGAAATCCGTCCCCTTTCATCTGCCCTCGCAGGCGGAGCAGAAACCACCAAGTGCTCATAGCAAGTCGAAGTCGAAGCGTGGAAGTCAGGCCGGTCCTAAATCTTCTGCAACCGTTCAGGACCAATGGCCGGCGGAGAAGGCTACGGCTGCAGACGCCAACAGCCAGCCTGGGAACAATGGATCTTGGAAGCCTGTCGATGCATTCGCCAAGGGAGGAAACGCTGGTCAGAAGGCGGAGGAGAATGACTGGGATCAGAATCCCGTGGAGAATAAGTCGAAGACCAGCCAGAAGGCGGAGGAGCCGAAGGAGGAGGGGAACCAGGTCGCTACGCCTATCCCGGATGACCAGATTAATTGGTGATGATGCTTTTGTACATGTAGATCTGAAGAACGGATCAAATCAATAAGAGCACTCTATCACTTTTGTCTATCTTATTTACATGGATCACGCGTTGTCCACGGCACCTTGGAGGCGGGACACCCAGTCATCATGAACTATGGCGGTCCTTGCAGTGTTCAAGAAAGCTTGAAGCTGGTTCTTCAGGATTCCCTGACCTTCCCCGAGGTATTCAGCTCCCGCGAAATCGTTCGATACCAAGACAGCCGCAAGGTTGATCACTCGAATGCCCAGTGAGAACATCTCCGGTTTCGAGGTCCATCCCATGAGCCCGTCGTGTCCAGAGGCAGAAGACGTAATCTCATTAAGACATGTAAGGCCGCCAGAAGCCCACGCGTATACTGTCTTGACCAACTGCTCGCTGTACGCGTCGCATGACAAGGCAAGCAATCTCTGAGACCAGACATCCACTTCGCGGACTTCCTCAATGAACAGGTTCTGTTTCTCTTCCTCGAAGAGAATCGTGCTCTCCTTCATGAGTTCAGCAACAATGGCTGGGACCGGCGTGAGACTTGTTCTCTGCGTGGAACCATTGATTCGAGGCCATTGGCCAGTGACGTATCGGATAGCTTTTGTGGAGAGAGCTCGGGAGTCGTGGTAGTTGTCGGCGATGAAACGCGACAACAGCTCGCTCGCATTGAGTGGAGACAACGTAACAGAGCCAGTAGGCGATACCGGGGAATATGATAATACCCAGGAGGCTGTTGAAGCAGCAATGTCGCGCAGCTCCTCGTCATCATCATTTAACAGGTCATAAAGCACCAGGTATACGTCCAGGAACACTTCCTCTGTCCGTGGGGAGTTGTTGGCTGTGCGCAGGGCCCGGGAGAATGCCATGAGGGATGCCGCGGCAGCATACCGCGTGGTAAATTCCTATTATCAGTCAGCCTCGGTCTTCTATTTGGTATCAGCTGTGACTTACTGTCTCCTCTTCCACCGCAAACCGAAGCTTTGTGGACCATCTTGCGATATCGGTCCTCGTGACTTCGACGGTATTGCTGATAGCCTTGGCGGCGAGGACGCATCCCTGCAAACGAAGCTCCGCATCACCTCTGTCTCTGTTCCATATCTGGCCATGTTGGGTAGCATTGATGTGGTTGTCCAACTTGTTCCACGGAAGGTCGACCTCTTTGATCTTGTCTGACTGGGAGCCTAGTATCGATTCAAGAATGGACGCCAGATGGGACGTAACGGATGTCTTGACATCCTCCGGGTAGTCGGCCAAGAGTATTGACGAATAGAGGTCCAGCAAGACCTTTTGATGCGTTTCCTTTTCACTAAATGTATCCTGCACCTTTTCCAAAAGCCAGCTTCCGACGTTGGAGTCAAATGCGGACACTGTTTTGATGAACGATTGAAGTTCGTCGAACTCGTTCTCAATGAAAGCCTGCAGGAGCGCTACCCATGACAAAGCTCGCCGGAGGAGTGATGAAGCTCGGTTCGTGCTCAAAGATTTCCAAGACGGGTTCGATGAATCGAAGATGTAATCAAGAATGTCATGCAGCCCGTGCATGTCATAGATGTAGGTAAGTGTGATGATGAATTTTTCTGTCTGTTATTAGAAACCCCTTCCAACATGGAGATTAAGTGAGAATTACCTTCTGTCTTGGACTCTATAGCCTTTTCAACAGCGTCACTCAAAATTTCCAACAGGGCGGTCGCGACAAAGGGTGAGTCGGCACGAGGGAACATGGCCGAAAACGCGCGTCGTATAAAGGCGGAAACTTCAGGAATATGCTCTGATTGGTATCAGCAACTAATATCCAGGAAGTAGAGGATTCTGACAACGAACCTTTCCAAAGGGCGAAATACGCCATTGATAGCCGGCGCAGTGCGTACTTTATGGCAAGGGCTTTCCCATGAAGATAGTCCTGCGACTTGCTGTCCTGATCAATATCAAGAAGCTCTTGAACATTCTGCAGAATATTGGTAGGGTTCATCAACGACGCGTAGACACGCGCCGCATGCTCTCTCATGCCCCAAACTGGACTCTTGAGCTGTTCCAAAACCAAACCACGCAGCATGTCATCGTCGATCAGATAAGCATTCGGTACCTTCTCCGCGAGAAGCTCCAGAGCCGGAAAGGCTCGTTCTGTGATAATGGCATGATCGCCGTGCTCGGCACTGTTCCTCTCTTTCGATGTAAGCAGGCCCGACAGGAGCTCAATCAACCCCGGGTACTTCCCGAACGAGACTCTGCCTCCGGGTTCGGAACCAGAAACACCCCCAAATCCTAAGCCCGTTCCAGTGCGGCACATTCGGGTGAGCAATGCACGGAAGAGCATCATTCCTGAGTTCCGGAGATCCCAGCTATTATACGTCAGTATAACTCACATTGAAGACACATCAATGGTGACTCACATTGGTGACCCAATCTGTTCTGCAGACAGAGTCAAACCAGACATGATGAACGGCTCCGTATGGGGACCGAGTCTGTTGTTGGTGAAGATATCTTTCAGACAATTCATGGCATGGACTTGAGGCAAATCCATTGCCTTCTGTTCGTTATCGTCCTTCACGGGCAGGTGTGCAATCTCGTGGAGATCGCCCATAACCTGGCGGAATAGTGGGCCACCTGGCTGGGAATGAAGAATACCAGTAGCCAAGGCAGGGAGACCCGCTGAGCGCCGGGTGAGCTTTGAGCCAGACTCAAAGATAATCTTTCTTGCCTTCTATATAACGGCGATTAGTATGTCATAGATTGTCTCCAATTCGATGAGCTTAACATACCTGATACCATCGACCCGGCAAAGCAGAAATTTGCTGGTCCTTTGACTGGCCACACCGCAGACAGCAAGTAGCAAAGGTCTGAGAGACGGTCGAGAAGGCACCCCGATGTCTAAGTTCTGCAAGCTGGGTAAAACTTGTCGATCCTAGCTTCTCGTAGTCGGAAAATGACAGTCCAGAAGGCCCCTTTGGTGCGTAGGCATCATTGACCAAGGTAGCATACAGAAGGAGACTAAACTTATCAGCCCAGCATCCTTGGTGAATGGAGATTCCAGCACTGCGTACCTTGATTCGCGCAACCCACGCCAGGAGTAAGAAAGAATGTCCTTAGGACCAACTCCTAGCTCTTCAATCGGCTCATCTGTGTGTCCCTCCGGAGAGTCGATGCACAGCACAGGCTTTACTTCCTCCCAGATCCGATCACAGAGTGCTACGATGCGACTGTGAATGTTTCTCCAGTTCTCATGAGACTTTGAGTTGGGGTCCTGAACAAGAAGATAGAAGTTTGGCATGGAAATAATATATCTGTGGTAGATGTTAGCCACGAACCCTGATAGGCCTGATTTGAAACTTTACCTGAGGGCAGAGACATAGCCATGGAGTGGTGCATCGCGCATGGAGGATTTGAAGAGGCCTCCGACAGCAGCGAGCTTTTCTTCAAGCTTTTGCAAGATGGTATCAACAACCGTTGACTTGGCTTGCCACCACGGCCCGGAATTTGACACTGTCTGGGCGGCTGCCGAGAAGGTTATTTGGTAGAGCCGCGCAACGGTATCTGCATAGTCTGCACGGCTAGTATTACTCGCGAGCATTTCAGCCTTCGCAAGCGCATTGATGATTTGGGGCTTGTTCTCAGCAGTGCCTGTCTCTGACGGAAGGCTTCCCATAACTACCTCCAAGGGGAACAACTTCAAGATGGCCAGAGACGTAGCACGTACATCATCGAACGGATCAAGGAGTAGATCAACTAGCAATCGTAGCAAGCTCGGTTCGAATACCTCTATATGCAGTTTCCATTTCGTTTGAATGCCATCCGACTTTGCGCCGGCAGGTTTCTCGAAGCGGGAATCCAGACCAGAGTCCAAGAATAGTATTAGGGACTTCAGTGCTGTGATGTGACGAGGGTAGGAGGCGGTAGGTCGTAGATCTGACTTAAGGAAAGCGATATAATCCCTGAGGCAGGCAAGCGTCTCCGAATCGTCGCGCGCAAAGGTTGGTTGTTGTTTCTTTGACGCAACCACTCTTTGGCTCAGGTCTTCATCCCCGCTCAAAAGTCCTCCTTTCAAACGCACTATCAATTTACGTACCAAACTGAGAATCTCACCTCTGCTGTATGAGTTTGACTCGGCATGCATAGGTGGAAGACCCTTCAAGATGGCCTTCATTGTGGCGGATGAAACTGGCTTTGTGGAAATAGGTGCAGTGACCAACAGAGAAAGGGCGGCAATTCGGACACTGAATTCCTGGTGGAAGAGAAACTGGCCAATGACTTCACTCTGGAGAACAAGGGCATCCTCTGCTTTGTTGCTGGAGGTTCCTGCTCTAGAAAAGTAGTCTGGAAATAGGATTAGCATGTATGGGCCAAGCACAATGTGGTGTAATGCGGACTCACGGTCTTCATGGACGAGCCCAATCTTCTTTGCCATCTGCAATGCAGCAAAGAGAAGTATGAACTCGTGGGTCGGGGCATTGCTCATGTCACCGGTCAAGAGACTGTTTAGGTGGAGAGAATCCACGAAGCGTCTGAAGCCTTTGAAGTCGACAGTGAAGAGCGGCTGCAGAACGTGATTTGACATGGAATCCAAATTACGCATATCTTGCAATACCATGTGCCGAACAGGGGCGACCCATACAGATATAAGGTCCTGAGTACTCTCAGGAATATCTGAGCTGTTCGTGTATTGGGCCTTCATCTTCTGGAGGAAGATCGACATCACATCTCCAGCAGCTGCAGCGAGCTCCAAGCTCTTTGTCTGGCTCAGAAGCCTCAAGACAAGAATTTCGGCTGCGACCTTCTGAGAACTAAGGTCTGCTGTGCTGTCATTTGCGGCTTGTTGCAGGAATTGATTGAGATTGATCGACAGTGCCTTGCAGTCTGGTTCCAAAAGGGTGATCCAACGAGATGGCTCCTCCAGCAGCCACCGTCGAACCATACAGATGAAATCAATTGGTAGTATGGCGTTCTTGCGGATCAGTGTCTCCAATGTTGTCAGAGAAGCCTTGATCCGTGAACGAGGTTCTCCAAGAATGATGCTGGGAACTGTTTCGCTGGTTATCTTTCTAACGATGGCATCCTTGGTGGACTGCTCCGAGATTTTAAGCAAGATCGCAATCAACGATTCTAGGACTTGCTTCATCGGTTTGGGTTTGGAATCTCTGAATCGGGCCATATATATCTCGAATACAGCGATCCATGTGGACTCGGAGCAGACCAAGCGCCTCGTACCCTCGCAGTGCGAGATCACAGCAGCGTCGAGAAATGAACTGACAGCATTGCAGGAAGCCGCAGTATGGGTGTGCGTAGTAGATGCTGCTGCAAATGTCTCGAGGAGACAGCGCCATAGACGAACAACTTTCCTTGAGGAATGTTAGAAGAGAAATCTTTCTATACGGTGTTCCTACTCACTCATTATCGTCACATCCAGTCGTGAATTTTACCAGCGGGCCTTTGCGGAGCTGCTTAAGCGTTTCTTCCGATAAGACGTGAACTTCACGGGAGATCTCCTCCACGTATGTACAGTCCGCGTCGCCAATGGCGGCGGTCATTGAGTCAACTTCCATTTTCTCTTATACGCTTCACATGCCACGAGACAATGTGAAGCGGTTGAGCATGGACGATATCTCCCCGCGCTAGACCCTCCCATACAATAATTTTGCCTCTTGTGGACGGATTTTCGATGCGGCCTCCCGAATCGGGACTAGTGCCGGTCAAACCCTCTTCCGCATCCCGAGAACCCGGGCGGATCCCGTGACCTGCCGTCACGGGGCTGAAGTTTTTGTTCCGGTTCTTCGGAGTCAAAAAGCATCCAAGACAGTCCAGACAACGTCCAGCTGCGCAGGGGTGGCCTTCAGACCTATACCTCTTCCTCCTTCTCCAGTTAGATCCTTTCTTCTTCTTTCCCCTTTTTTGTATTCTATTTAATCAATCCCCTTCCGCCCGTTTCACCATGTCTATCTGGGACTCCTTCAGCGGCCGCAAGCAATCCAAAGGCCCCGACGCCTTCGACCCTTCGACAGCGCAGGATGCCACGTCCTTCCTCTCTGAGGTCGCCATTCCCGACCCGACCCAGCTTCACCCCCTCGCTGGCCTGAACCAGGATACTCTCGATTACATCACCCTCGAAGATTCCGCGCTTGACGAACTCCCCGGTTCGCGATCCGTTCTCCCTTCCCGCGGATGGTCTGATGATCTCTGTTATGGAACCGGCACAACCTACCTCGCGGCACTGACCCTAGGAGGCGTATGGGGATTGTCCGAGGGACTCAGAAAGACGCCCGTGACGGCACCTCCGAAGATCCGACTGAACGGTGTTCTGAACTCGATTACGCGGAGAGGACCTTTCCTCGGCAACTCCGCGGGTGTTGTGGCTATGGTCTATAACTGTTTCAACTCCGGCCTAGGATACGCTCGCGGAAAGCATGATTCCGCGAACTCCATCGCCGCCGGTGCTCTTAGTGGAATGATCTTCAAGAGTACCCGTGGTCTCAAGCCTATGATGATCTCCGGCGGCATTGTAGCCAGCATTGCAGGTGGCTGGGCTGTATGTGCAATACTCCTCTCCCCGTGAATATCCCATTAACTGTTCTCTAGGTCGTGAGAAAAGCCTTCCTGTAAATCTGATTCCCCATCGAACTGTATTTTACCACCCACTCATATCGTCGACTTCCATTTCCAACCTTCGTCCGAAATAAATGTCCATTATGGGTCTGTTTCAGCAAAGCGGGAGGGTGTTGTTAGTATTACTTCCTTTTTCTTTTTGGACCACGCTGTATTAGAACGATTTCCGATTTTCCTCTCGACTCTTCACTCTGGTGTTCGAAGCATCCTCTTTTCTTTGCATTATCCATGGTTGGGACCGGCATGGTAATGGGTTTCATATTTTCCTGTACATATAGCGGTTCCCGCGTTATGGTTCCTACTGGCGAAAGCTGTTGCTGCTCTTGTTTTCGTCTGATCAAGTAACCTTAATGGTTTAGGACCTCAATCAAAAGATTCAGAGCAACTAGCTGCATGATACTATCTGCGATTCTTGTCACATATCCATTGCAGGAGACTGCATGCGTCTACTCGAGACTTCTCTGATGCCTAAGCGCTTATGAAAAGGGATCCGGCCGTCCACTATCTGAGTGAGTTGTCACAATTGCTAATAACACGTCCCCCAGCTTGAGAAGAAATGGACGACTGCTGTCTATTATACATGTCCTTTGCAACGCAACACGAAAGGCATGACAACAACACATTCTCTTTCTCGATTGTCCAAATGCAGTCTCATCCGCCACCACCATTATCAGTATATCCAGAGAGGCTTCTTGCACGAAACGCCCACGAGACCCGCGCTCATGCGTCTATCAGCCCTAGAGGAAGGATCCAGCAGCCGATCCAAGAAACAAGAGAGCCAACATGCCGGCCGATTTCTTGGTTACTGCTGCCGCGTTGGTCGTGGATGTCGAAGACGCGCCGCTGGAAGTACCGGTACCGGTGGAAGAGCCGCCGGTGCCCGTGGCCACGATGGTACCGGCTCCGGTGGTGGGCACGCTGCCTGTGGCGGTAGCGTTCGCATTGGTGTTACACCACACCTCGCCCGGCTTGGAAGCCTTGGTCAGACACTCAGCGAGGGCACTGACCTTCTGGCCTTTAGCAAGACAGTAGTAGTCGCAATCGCTATACGAGACGACAGACGCCGAGCCGCAGCAGCTGCTCATGATTGCGGAATTGTTACCCTGCATGGGCATCGCGCAGGCGGCATCTTTGACGGGGATCTCGTATAGTTTCTGGTGGCAGGTGGATGTTGCCGAGGCAGCGGAAGTGGTTGCGGTGGAGGTGGTAGACATTGCGAAATGAAGTTGATATCAGATCAAGGCAATCAAATGGGTCGAGTTCGTCGCAATGAAATGGATGGAAGTTTCTGATTGTCATACAATAGTTACCGGGTCTTCAAGGGCTTTATATACAAGTCCAGGCGCCCTAGAACTGCCGATAAGTCGGCCCACATGCTATACTCAGCCTCATTCAATCTTCCAGAATTAATCCCTTTTAGTATCCTCCAGGGTATCGATGCATCAGGCGAAGGCGCGTGGTCTTGATATTCCTCAGGATACGCAATGTATCCACAAAACTAGCGTTTGACACCTTTTATAGCATACTATTATATGTGTTGGTTCAGTGACTGCGGAATGACGCGTCGACGCCTTGTATCATGGTCCCTCGGGTCCAATCTAAGTCAACTACAGCCTTCCGTATGGAGATCTAACCTCGCTGGTAAGACAAGTGGGGATTCTGCTCATAGGCCACTCATTACGGCGGCCCTTCTCGTCGGCTGGTTCAATATTGCTTCATCCTGAATCTGCGCTTCGTTTGTTATCTGCAGGACTCCTATAAGAATCTTCGGTCTAGATCAGAGAAGTTGGATTGAAGGGTATTGGTCCACCCATCTGGTCTGAAGTAGTGGCTTTTATAGCGTAGAGACTCCTCAAAGTCGTTGTTCATCCTTGATGACAGCCATTAATATGACCCACTGGTACTTTACTGGGTACTATATGCCTAATCATAGAACAGAGTCAGGCACACCAACGTGACTATCAATCATTGAGTCTAAATACAGCAGCAGCGGCAGCTAGTGATTGATGAAGGATACTCAATTCTATAGATAGCCTGCGGGTGGGTCGTCGGGAATTCCGGACAAGATAAAGTGGTGCGCCAGTGTGGGAGACTGTGGGTTTGGTGGGGAGCCGGCTAAACATTATTCAGATGTACAATCTATGGGCATTGAAACAACCATAAGATGTCTTCCGTGAGATTTCCTAAGTTATCAAGGTGCTGTATTAGACCATTAGATTTTTGTGTGCAAGCAGTTACCCTTGCTTAGAATGTCTGCCTACGAGAAGAGGCTAAATGCAGATTCTATCTTCACATTAACAAAGGATCAAGCACTAGACAGTATATACCTCCATTTGATGGATACATTGTGAGAAAGTATCCTTACCATGGTACTTGTAAAATTTCTTGTATGAATGATGGTATCATGAAATATATATGTCTGCCGAATTTGTACTGTTTTCATAAGTCACTCTCATCAAGGCATAAGAGAACAAATGCTTCCATCGCCTCTTGTACGACTATGGACAGATATGGTAGACTAGAATGAACAACAACATTGCCATCTTTGGTGAATGTCATAGTTTTAGAAACGAATTCAATAGCAAAATACGCGTTATTGATGCGCACATTATTGTGTCGCATTAGAGCTGATGAATATAACAAATCCCGTCCACTCCCGACATCCGGATATATACTGTCAGTCGAAGGGCAGCATTGCTTCCAAACCAAACCCGCGGACTTATTTCTACTGGCGTGACCGACAGATCTCACAACGAGTCTGGCATGCCCTGGCGTTCGCTCATATAAAACGACCTGACAAGCTATAGCGATCGGACAGTCGGCAAGTTTAGCGTGCCCGGGAAAATATCAAGCCGCCGGACGGGTTGCACGGCGTGCCGATTCCGATGGCACCCCTATCGTAGTCTCACAAATGTACGAGACTTTATATGAGACACTATACAACATGGAAAGTTGTCACAGGGCTGACGGAATCGACACGCACCTGTCTAGTCCAAAGCAGGCGCCGGCCTGGTCATCGTGGCTGAAACTCTCTTTGGTATTGACAGCACGCATAGCATGCAAAATCAAGCACACGCTGTATGGTTCGAGGATGAATTTTCACTACCTGTGGACACTGGCAGCGATTCTGGCGCGACATATCAGATACAGAGACTAATAGTCTCGCGGTCTGGGTCGAATACAATCAATACCGAGAAGGGAGAGGATGTTATCCCCGGAAGCTCGCCCAGTACGAAAACAATATCTACAAGTCCAATTTTCCTTACACGATCTAAACAATACTTGGGAACGCTGGCGCGGATCGATGACTGCTACTTGATATTCAATCCTCGCTCAGATGCTGATCGTGGACGCCAGCCACTCGCCATCGCAATGCCCCCGGGAGAAAGTTCTTCGCTACAGGAGTGTTGTGGCATTACGGACTAACACAGCATCTCTACAGCTCCAGGCGAACATGAAATCACGGCTTCAGCTGTCCGACTGCTGTGCAGGTGGAGAGGAAATTGCTGGCGGCCTATAGCGAGAACAGGGAGAATACCTGGGTGAGCGTGGTAGATCTGCATACATTGACTTGAGTGTATGAGTGAATAAATAAGAACTGAGCTGGGCCTGATGCTCTACAGGGTTCTCCTTCCAGCATTCCACTCGGAAGTACTCCGTAGGTCTACTCGCCCAGACGCTGCTAGTTCCTTCTTCTCCGCACCCTAATCCCCATATGGCGCTAATATAGATTCTTGGATTCGGCGATCGTTGAAATGTCAGTGGTGGACTTTTTCTGCCGACTCAATATCTCGTATCCCCCACGCTGAACATGGAATCCTTCCGATGTACAAGCGTGGGGTTGAAGGGAAAAAAAGCAACATCGATGTCCGACTTGAGATCCCTTGCATCCTCACCATTCAAGTTCCGCGATCTCTGCATCCATAACTGATACTTGCAACGATAGAATGGGGGGCTTTCGTGCTGTAGAGGATCGACCGACACCGAAGGAGGTGTACAATTGGAGGCTTTTCTCGGAGGCCGCCATCATTGGAACTGGATCATTGCTGTAGGGCTCCGTATCAATGATGAGAGCTTTTGTCAAATATCCAGCTGACATCATGCTACAGGTTTGGCTACGACTCGGCATTCGTTGGGACTACTATTGCTAGACAGAGCTTTAAGGACGACTTTGGTATATCGGAATCAAATGCCAACTATATATCCAGCAATATCACCTCTACATTCCAGGCCGCGGCTTTCTTCGGCGCAATATTTTGTTTTCTGAGTATGAAACCCTGGGAATATGTGATTAGCAAACCATTGACTCACAAACTGGCAGCTACCGAGGTCGTGGGCAGAAAATGGGCACTCCAGATTTCGAATCTTGTATTTCTCATTGGCGCCATTCTCATGACTGCCGCCACTCACCAGTTGTCGTATATTTGTCAGTGCTGACAGATGAAATCATCTTTTGGAGCAAAGGAACTGACTTACTGTATAGACGCCGGACGCGCCTTGACGGGTCTTGCTTGCGGCTTCATCACTGCGACTGTACCCAGTTACATTGCAGAACTATCGGTCTCCTCGATTCGCGGCATCCTCACAGGCCTGTTTGAAATTGCCTATCAGATTGGATCAGTCATAGGTTTCTGGATAAACTATGGTATCGACGAGACGCTCAACCCCACAGCTAGCACGAGTTGGCGGATTCCTATGGCTGTTCAGATCATCCCGTCTGCCATCCTGCTGTTTGGAGGTTTCTTCCTTCACGAAAGCCCACTCTGGCTGTTTCGGAAAGGCAAAGATGAGCGAGGGACGAACGCACTCGAAGAACTGCGCCACCTTCCCAGGGATCACCAGTGTGAGTGGGAATCTGGTCAAGACTAACCACGACTTAACTGACCGCCCCTTTAGACATTGCGGAAGACATCGCAATCATCAAAGATAGGCTCAGAGAGGAGGAAGCGATCGCTAATGAATACGGGACGGGGACATGGGCATATTCCCGCGGGGCTCTGCATGAGCTATCTCGTAAAGGAATGCGTAACAGAGTTGCTCTAGTTTTCTGCGCTTTCGTACTTCAGAACATGTCGGGCGCTGCTGGTAAGTTTCTGTGGCAGGTGCATTGGGTAATATTGCAGAGGAACTGATGATAACCCCTAAAGCTATCAATTATTACTCGCCTACACTTTTCAAGTCGATTGGCATCCAGGACGTTACCCTGTATACAGGCATCTATGGACTGGTGAAGGCCATCGCCTCGATCATCTTCTACATTTTCCTCATCGACGTCTGGGGCCGGCGAAGTCCCACTATATTATCTTCGATTGCATGTTCACTATGCCTCTGGTTCATTGGCGCTTATGTGAAGATAGGCCACCCTGCCGATATTCTCAAGGGAGGCGGCAAGCTCTCTTCTTCAACTGCCGCCGGAGGAAAGGCTGCCACTGCCATGATAATGATCTACTCCGTATTGTACGTGACCCTAACCGCCTGTTGGAGTGATTAATGCTGATTTAATATCAAAGCTGGTCATTTGGTCTTAACGGCATTCCATGGATCGTTTCAGCAGAGATCTTTCCTGGCGCGCTTCGCAATTTATCTGGGACATGGGCAGCCCTTTGTCAATGGTGAGCGTCTATCCAGAAGATGACTATTTAACTTCGCTGACTATGCAACAGGCTTATCCAATTTGTTATTACCAAAGCCCTTCCATATATATTCTCCTCTTTCGGATACGGGACTTGGTTCTTCTTCGCCACTTGGATGATTCTAGCCTCTGTCTGGGCATTCTTTTTCCTCCCAGAAACCAAGGGTAAAACCCTTGAAGATCTTGATATTATCTTGTAAGTCCAATCAATACTTGTTTAACATTGACTAGTCCACCAGGATTATCTTACTGACTCTGGGAAAGTGGATATACCCGTGACCAACAATCTCTTTTCCCATCAACCGATAACAAACAAGTCTAGTGATTGAATGGATCCAGAGGGGATTCGAAATACAGTGCCAGAGTTAAATCGATAAACAAGGTGGCCAACTCATCTGTCATCTATACATGCAGAGTTTGTCTTAATCATATGTACCAATAGAGGCTTGTTGTTGTTTCCGGGACGTGGCTGGCTGATATAAGTAGTTTATGGGAGACCCTCATTGACACCACCTTGTCTATTCAATAAACGTGATTCGACCATCAGTAATAGGTGCCACAATTGGTAGTCCGTCGATATCACTGTGCTCTACAACAATACATCTTCTCGCCCTCTCAATTCCCATCTCATGTCTATTGTGGATTGGATCGCCCGAGGAGACCTCATCACCAAATATACCCAGCATCAGGGCAGTGTCCGTGACTGCAGCCTCGCCGTCGATGACTGTTTGCTGGTCTGGGAACCAGGTGTACCCATCGAAACCAGAGGCGATGAACGATGGAATAGCCGTGATATATAGGCGATCATGTTTGATATCTTCAGGCTGACCATGGCGTGGAATGAAAGTCGCTTTCAAAATTCGGTTCCCTTCGCTTCTTCCCCAACTTGCGGTAATTCGCAGGCCCGAGATTTGAAGAAATCTCCCGTCTGTATGAGAATCCGACACGGAGTTTTCCAAAGCCTGTAAGATCACATTTCCGCTGATCTTCTTTACAACCAAGCTGTTTCCAAAAGGACATATATCTGTATGCGTTAGGTCTGTCACTAAACAGGGGGACTGACGTTGTCTCTTACTGATTATGTCTCTCACTAAAATTGGCACTCCGCTGGAAACCGTGGGACCAATAATGGAGTCACATCGAACGGATCCACTGTTGAAGAAAGCGATTTCAGTATTGTAGAATGCCCTGACAGCATCAGCTAACATGTTTCCGAGATTAGTCTCTTGGCTCCGTAGGGGAGAGTTGCGCCCATCCAAGGAGACGGCTGTATGCAGCATTGGTCGTTGGACGAGACTGCCGACGCGGTCATGGATGGAGCTCAGCATTTGGGAGAACTTTGCAGAATCGGAAGTCATGCAGGCCGCTCGTTGTAATATGACGTCGGTATATTGTTTTACTAGGATGGTTAGTAGCGCGTCCATTGCGAATGCAGGGTACGTACACTTCACAGTCGATAGGAAAGCTGTGCCCGCTGGGTCCCTCTCAACGCACAGTCGAATCAAGGACAGCCCCTTCCAATCTGTTCCACTTTTGATGATGCGTATCTTACCCTCAACGTCCCTAACCTCCCCGTCATGGATTAGATCAGCATTCTTGCATCCTTGTTGGATCACTTCCGAATCCGCTTCTGTATCTGCATCGAATCGCCGGACAACTTCATGGTCATGACCACCCAGGAGCAAATCCACCTTCGCATCCCCCGTAGCCGTAGCATGGGCTACTTTCAAGTCTTCTTTCAGACGCATATGCGTGAGAGCTATAACAACATCGCACCCTTTGTCGTTCCTCAGGAAACGCGCGACACTTTGGGCAACCTCCACCGGATCCGCGATATGAGATGGTGGTAGACACTCGCAGTTTGACGGCCAGTCACTGAGACGTCAGCTGTTGTCGCATGCTGGGGGTGTAAGGGGCTGTTTACGTTCCGGCCAGTCCAAAGAAGCCTATCCGAATACTGTCGACAACCTGGATATTGTACAACTTGGCAGATCCCAGAAGCTCAGGCCGCCGGTCTGTGTTGCATGGCGTACGGAACATGTTGGACAAGACCCAGGGGAAGTTGAGCTGGCTGGATAGCTCCGTGAGCCTCTCTTCTCCAAAATCAAAGTCTAAGTTGGATTAATAAATCTACTGACAGGTGCAACTGACGCTAGGGCATTGCGAACCATGATTTCCATAGCAAGCCACATCAATTCCAAGGCAGTTGAGTATGGGGACCATGTGGTCTCCCCTCAAAACAGACGCCTCCAAGGACGGCGAAAACGCATCACCGCTAAACACTGTGAAGGTTTTGGAGTGTTGTTCTGGACTTGTACGAAATGACTCTATCAGGTGACGAAATGTCAAGAGCCGGTCCACACTGGGGATATGGTACTAGATACCTAGGCATTAGCGAGCTACTCCGGCGATGAACCTCTTGACTAGCTGGGAGACTGTATACCACATCATTGAAGTGCACTAGGCGGATTTCGATAGCCATGTCAGACATTCAGTGCGGCAGGTTTTGAAATCGAGACAGGCATGTTGTCTATATAGCGTGGGTGGATCAAGCCAAGCCGGCGAATACGAACAGTGAGTCAGAATCTGCCTTCTTTATGTATAGTTACCTTTTCGCCGGCTTATGCAATGCAAAGCGTGTCATTTAGTACAAAAATAAACAGGCAGCAGGCGTTAGGCAGGACTATTTGCTATTTTCACGAAAATAAAAACTAAGTTTTGCTTATATTCATAGGTTCTTACTGAGGTAACAATCAGTAGCTCACTAGTGTCGAAGTGTTATAACCCCAAGTGGCTTAGAATCGAGATTGGAATAGAGCTTTAAAAGGACCTTGCTCTAGTCACTATCGCTATATTTAACATATTCCCCACACTTGCCGGCCAGGAACGACCGAATCTTTCCATCGTCCACAGTGTGTACATACGGAGTACGTACCACTTCCCCACTCAGGGCTGACTTCCCGACGACTCCCCGCTATGGGGCAGGAGTATCGATGTACATCGCAGGGCGTTTCGGGTCCTGTGGCTGCCGCCCCCAGCAGCTCAATCTGTCTTCCTCGAGTCCGCGTCGTTCAGGGCCAGGGGTGTGGAGGCGGCAGATGAGACCGTGTTGGGGCCCAGTGTAGACATCCTACCTTTCCACGCCCGCTGATCGGGAACTGATACGGACGGATCTACGGATCTATGTGATGCCCTGGTGGACTCGGTATATGTGAGTTTGTGTAAGCTCATTCCCGCCGTTTCGCAGTGATCTTGACCAAAATAGATACGGAAGAATAGGGGTGAGGGTTTTTATTGCCCTCATGCTCATGCAAACGAACTATAAGATGAACTTCACTTCATGCCATACAGACCGCCGTGCGGACGAAAACATCTCCTTATCTGCTTTTCTATCTTTGTTCCCTTGCCATCCGAACTTCACCCCTTTTCGGTCAGCATGCAACCTCTTCTCCCGACTCCGACCCAGGATGATCGTGACCCGCTACGGTGGCCCGTCTGGCTGAAGCGTTGTGCTCTCATCGCGGCCTCTCTGGCCAACTTTATTACCAACATGGCCGGATCGGGCCTGTCGGTGGCGACTCCGAATTTGATGCATGAATATCACAAGTCCCAATCTGCTGCGACGCAGCTGCTCATTGTCAGCCACCCACCTTGGGCGATTGATGTTCACAGCTGACATTCTGGCGCTCTCAATAGTTTAACTTCTTGTTCCTGAGTATCGGGAATACCTTCTGGGTTCCTCTTGCCCACAAACTCGGCAAACGCGCCTCGCTTCTCCTCTCTATGATACTTCAGGCCGGTACCTTAGTGTGGTGTGCAACACCAACCAGCTATCCTAGCCTGCTAGCGGCCAGGTGCCTACAAGGATTTGCCGGGGCCGCGGGTGAGAGTATCGTGCCTGAACTTGTCTCGGATGTCTTCTTCCTTCATCAGCGAGCCGCAATGATGTCCATGTAGGCAGCCCCCCCAGGTCGTGGAGCACAGCAAGCGGACCGGTTGTTGACTTTTCTCCCCTAGCTATGTGATTCTAATCTCAAGCGGTACGGCCATCGGCCCCCTCATCAACAGTCTGATGGTACAATATCTGCCGAGCACCTGGCGGGCCTTCATGTGGCTCTGCTGTGCACTGGCGGTGGCCGACGTCGGGTTGATATTTTTCTTGTGTCCTGAGTCCAACTTCCGGCGTCCGGAGTGGGATGTGACCGCTCCTATCAGACTCCCGGCGACGCCTGACGGGACAGAGGAAACGGCAGGCCTCGTGGAGATGTTCATGGAAGATCCGCCCCCAGCAGGGGAGTATTTCGTGCACCAGCCCGCTCTCATCGACATCATCGTGCCGATCTGCATCGACCACGAGCTCAACTTCTTTTCGGCTATGGTAGCCCCCCTCCGCCTGCTGATACGCCCAGCCGTGATCTGGGTAATCCTCCTCTACGGGTGCGCCCTCAGCCCGCAGATCATCCTCATGTCCGTGTCCCACTCGCTAGCTTGCTTGCTTTCCCTGTTCATGGCTGACCTATCGAGCAGCTTCAACATGTCCCCTCTCCTAGAAGCGCCACCGTATCACTTCTCCTCCGTCTCTGTGGGACTGGTGCAGATCGCTGCGCTGATCGGGTTTCTTCTGGCCTGTTGCGGCAGCGGAATGCTCTCGGATATCATCACCACTCGGATTGGTCGTCGACGGGGCCTAGGGCCGGTTCGCGCCGAGGATCGCCTGGTCAGCCTGATCCCCGGTATGGCTGTGGGTCCCGCAGGCTGCGTGCTGTTGGCCTTTGCCTGCCAGAATCGGATGCACTGGACAGCCATTGCCACGGGGTTTGGGATGGTCTCGTTCGGGTCGCTGTATACGCCCAACATCGGCATCACCTACTTGACACAAAGACATCAACAGGATGCGGCGCAGTGCCTGGTACTGGTCAACGTAGTGAAGAACCTGGTGGCGTTTTTGTTCCTTTACGAAGCTGTGGAGTGGGTGCAGAGCCAGGGCTATTTGGAGGTGTATATGGTGATGGCTGCGCTGGGCGTGGTCACCGTCGGCGCAGCGCTGCCACTTTATCTCTGCGACGCCAAGCGGCATGTGGAGTGATGGACCAAGACCTCGCTAAATAATCTTGGTCTCCGATTTGGCTATTGTTATATATCTAGATATAGAAAGATAGAAACATGTAACGAAGAATCTGTGGCATTAGCCATCTCCTAACGAGACCTAAACTGTACAAATCCGGAATTTCCCTTTTTGGCACAATGTGGCTGACATTGGCTGACATCAGCCATTTGCCGCAGCTTATTCCAACTACGCCTCCAGCAACATTCTCATCCGGCCTTCCCACTCACGATACCCACTGGGATACTTCGGAACTAGCGTCTAAATTCATGTACAATGCCGCCGCGATCACAACCATCGTTAAAACGGGGCGAAAGCACCGGGGAAAGGAAACGAAAGCCCGTGCGGCGTGACCCGGAGAAGAGGCGGCAACAGAACATCCAAGCCCAAAGGAAATACCGTAAGTGGAGTTGATTGCTTGTATCATACACTGCTGACCCCTATTGTAGGTGAAAAGCTTCGGAAGAGGCTAGATCATCTCGAGTCCCTTGCAGCCTCGGTTGAGCGAGGCGCTCTTGATAGGCCTCCACCTGCGAGCACAGACTCGTCCGAGCCAGTCACACATGATACATCCAGTACTCCAGACCAGACTGTCCCAGATTGTGATGCGCTGGACGCATTCCTCTCCAGCGCCTCCGTTCCTAGTTCATCCACAGAGACCCTGGGAGACTGTGACCATCTAGACTCTGTCTTACTACCCCCGACTATCTGGGAATCTACCACGCAGCTCTGGCAGTCTGATGGCTTCCAATCAGTACAGCCGCCATGGGAGGCTACTCTCTTCGCTCCGCAGTCAACCGACATGCTATCACTGACCATGTGCGAGTTCACGCACCAAACTCCGGAATCAGACAGTATCGCCGCGGGCCCGCTAGCCCCTTTCCTTCCTGACCACAAGAAAGATGACCTCCTCGGTCCGTGCTGGACAACCACAATCGACTGCGGCTGTTCCAGCCCACATTTTCAGATCCGCACCCAAGGCCCTACCCCATTTGCACCCGGCGAAATCAGGGTAGTCGGGTTCGAACCGAACGTTCCTGTAGCGAATCCGTACGCCAACCACCTTCGCATCGACACCATCTGCACCCTGACCGCGTTCTGCACCCTGGCAATGCATCTCGATATTAGTGTAGATGTGCTTTGCGCAGATGACTCCTTCTCGCCGTTCTTTCGGCCCAGCGCCGAGTTGCCTGACGACACAGTCAGATCGAAGATGATTTGCGCTGTCCAGCGATCATACAGGTCGTTGAAGCCGGACTTGCGGCCCACCGCCGAGCAAATTGTCTTCCATCATCCTTCGTACCTAGACATTCTTCCCTTTCCCACTCTACGGAAGAATCTTATCATCCATCAGAAGCAGGTCGATGAGGACAGCTTTTGTAATGATGTGCTGACCGGTCTGGTGTGCTGGGGAAGCACAGGCATCGGGCGCAGGGATCGACAGAGTGGACTCGGCTCGACGGGTACGCCGTGGGATGTCCGCAGCTGGGAGGCAAGGGCGTGGTTCCTGAAGAAGTATTGGAATCTGCTGGGTGGGGAAGAGGGGGAGCTTGTACGGCAAAGCGAGTGGTGGCGCAGTATGAGGGGGGATGACCCGTTGGACATGGACATGCATGTCTACAACTAGAACAGCATGCCGGTATGCTAAAGGCATATATACGTGCATAGGAGACAAGGGGCCGCCAATTTGCGATATATGGATATGGCAAGCAACAACATACAGGCAGACTCGACCGCAACACAAACAGCTATTATACCCCATTTTACTACATACTGTCGAAATCATAATACCCTGATCAAAGCACGCAATTTAATCCAAGCCCAATTTACTGATTCTCAAACGGCAGTCCGGACTCCTTCCGAATCGCCCCATACACACCAGCAATATCGCCCTTCTCACCCTTCTCAGCCTTGACCTGTTTCAAGTACTCATCCGTAACCTCGACACTACGCAGCCGCATGTTCGCATCGCTAGCAAGACTCGACGCATGCCGCAGATCCTTGCGGGCAAGATCAACCGCAAACAACGGCTCCTCCCGCTGGTAGTAATCACCCGTGCACATGCGGTCCGCATACTTGGCGAACGGGCCGGGCGAGAACATATGCACCCACTGGCGGTACACCTCGCGGCCGAGGCCGGACTTCTCGGCGATGACCAGGCCCTCGGCCAGCGTCTCGACCATGTTGAGGATGAACGTGTTGCCCAGGACCTTGAGCATCAGGGCGCGCCCGACCTCCTCGCCGCTCATGTCGATGATCGCCTTGGAGGTGACTCCCTCCAGCCATGGTTTGATGCGGTCGACGGCAGCCGGGTCGCCCGCCGGTACGACGACCATCTGGCCGGCCTCGGCGGCGTTGGGCGCACCGAACACCGGGCACGCGACGAAGGCGGCGCCGCGGGTGGTCAGGGCGGCGTGGCTGCGTCGAGAGGTGTCGGGGTGGACGGTGGAGCAGTCGACGATGGTCTTGCCGGTGAGATCAAGCGAGGAGTCGGACACGAGGGTGTTGACGATGGAGTCGACGGCGGGGTCGTCGCCGACGCAGATGAAGGTGACGGATGCGTCGCGCACGGCGGCCGGCAGGGTCTCCGCGACAGTGGCTTTGCCGGGGCCCAGGGATTGAGCAAAGGCGGAGGCCTTGGACGTGGTCCGGTTGTAGAGGATCAGGGGGCTGGTTTGAGGGCCTTTCAGGGCGATGTTCCGGCTCATGCCCTGTGTCTGTTGTCAGTAGGCGTATATGAAGTGGCTGGTGGTGTGGGGTGAGTGGGTGTAGATGGACTGTTTGGAATACGCAAGGTAATTGAGACGTACCCGGCCGATGTTTCCAAGGCCAATCCAGGCAATACGCTGTGCAGCCATGATGTTCAATTGTCCGAGAGAGTGCAATGAGGTTGAGGAGGGATGTTTGGGGGGGATCAATAAAGTAGATAAGTATTGTGTCCGGTGGGGCCGATGGCCCGGCTGCGGGGAGATTCCGCATCAGGCTTAAACCTTAGCCGGCCCGATATGCATGATAGTCCCCGGTGAATCATTAGGACGATCAGCTTACGAATCCACCGGCCTCCTCGGCCTCGCGCATGTGCGACCTCCGAGCGCCCTTTTGGATGTCTCACTCTTGACTCACTCACTCAATGCCGACTCCACCGCCGGTTCCTCCCGCTATGACTCGTCAATCAGAGAGAGGATCTTCTCGCACGCCACTACCCGTCCTTCCTTGGTTCCAAGTTGGCATATCAACGCCTGTGCTTTCTCCTGCATAATGACTCCCTTATCACCAACCAGCACGCGATTCAAGGCCTCTCCCAATTCCGATCCCTGAATCATTGGCGCCGTCCTGCGACTTCCCCACACACCAATCCCTAGGAACTCCACGCGGTGGGCGAAATCATACGTATCAAACCACACGGGCAGCACGACCTGCGGGATTCCGGCGCTAGAAAGTACACCATTGTCAATCAATCCAGTTGCCTATTTGGGAATCGGAACTTACCGGATAGCTTCGTAAAAGGAATTCGCTCCACCATGGTGGACGGAACACTGCACTTTCTCGTGCAGAAGGATACTGATGGGCTCGACGGGGAACCACTTCTCGATCCGCACCCTTCCCTCCGCAACTGCATCAGAAATGCCGTCCAGGGAACTCCCGTCGTGATCCATGTTCTGGTCCCGCGGTAACTTCCACAGAATCTGGATATCCGGCCTTTTGTCCAGCAACATGCGAATCCCCTCGGCGAACTGTCTCTCAAGAGCGCTGCTGTAGCGGAAGATGGACCCTAAATTCACCACCACGGTGGGCCGCTTGGACAACCAGGCATTCAGCTCCGGGTGGGCGTCAGCAACAGGGGTCCACGGACGAAGAATCGGTCCGCACGCCGTGAAGCTTTCAGGCACAGATACGGGAAAGTCCATCTCCGGTGTAGTCGGGATCAAGACCGGGATAGGGTCGTCCTGTGCCATGATGAACTGGGGCATCTCACCCTCCAGACCATTTTCCTTGCGGCACTTCATTATCTCCCGGATGTTCTCGTCAGATCGCATACACCACGCTGCTCGGAATGCGAGGTAAGCGTTGGGAAGGATCAACCGCCATGGTAAGGGGAAGGGATATCCGCTACATGCCCTTGTTTTGTTATATCACATCAGTCGCTGGCTTGATAAAATGGGGCTCAACTTACATAGGATACTTCCACAGGTTTTCCAGTCGCGGCTGTACCACGAGATCCTTGGCTGTGTTCGGGCTAAGCAGAACAACCCGTTCTTGTCGCGTCATGCGACATGCGTCTCTCGCATGGGGAAGCAACGGGTCCAAGACGACGAGGACAGGTCGCAGCTCTTCGATAATATCGACGAAGCCATGGTATATCGCTATATACTCGGCGCCATCCCAGGGAGTGACCATTCGAGGAAGAAGGCTCAGCACGTTCAGGGCTCCGCTGAATCCGATTTGCAGGTCATCAAAAGAACAGCTTAGTCGACTCCGCACGCACTCCAGCATGGAGCGACCAGGTATGCCATGGAACTGTGCGGTACGCGTAGTAGATCCCAAGGATGTGGTGGTCTTGTTCAACTTGCTTACTTCGGGGGCGAGGGCTTCGAAAGAAGCGATGTGGACGGCGAACTTGGACCGGACCAGGAGCTCATGCGCAACTGCTAAGGTCACTGAAGCTTGGCCATGTTCGCTGTTGGTCAGGAAGAGGATATTTCCGCCCTCCATTGTGCCTGGGTTGGGGTCAAGCATGCGTTCTGTGACAGCTAGAATCCAGGAGGATTAGGAGAGAGAGGAACCAGTCAATGACGAAGTACTTTTAATTTTTATCAACGGGCGCCTGGTCTATTATGTAGTATCGAGTGCATATTCACTACACTACATCAAAGAGCTCAAATCAGAATTCTGCACGCACTTGGCGAGGGTCCACAGAACGGTACTTTCCGGCATCAAGGTGAATGTCATATCCCATCCCTATGAGATCTGCCTTAGTATTCACTATTCTATAGATTGCACTCAAAGGTCGACTTTGGGTAGAGGGATGGCCAGTGGCTGCCTCGAGGTAGTGCGCCCTATGTTTGGGAGTCGCCGCAGGGCAAACGAGGAGCGGATATGTTGCCTCTCTTTCACAATACCACTGCGACCATCCGCGTCACCGCGGGGATGACGGGCGTCTGTTTCCAGGATGCGTTAAGGGGTTCTTATTTATCCTGACATCCTTGCATCTGCGGACGCTTGAACTTCCGTTGTTCGAGTTTCTGTCCAACACTAGCTGGGCCGGACACCTGCATTGCCCTTTGACCAACTCCAGGCTCAATGAAGGATCATAAGGACTAATATGTTCTGACTTGTACTGAGTCATCCTCGTCTCACCGGCGGCCGCTGATCACAGAATTCCGAGTATTGATCCGGTCAATGTCGTATGGGTTCTCCTCATACTGGGTTGCAGTACGTGCAATAGTGTGGCCAGACCGTTTGGACGCTATCGAGGCCTGTCGACCAAGCGCAGTGTGAGAAGGGAAGGTGGACAGACTGTCACTATCCTCACTGTCATTCACCATGACGGTTTCTTTCTGCTCTTTGAGGGCCCCGTCCTCCTGCGTCTGGGACTTTTGCGCAATCTCCGGCTGCTTCATTGCTGCAAGGCGCTGCATAAACGCCTCAGCCTCAGCAGCGTATACACACCGCTTCCGAATCCTAGCCCCATACAGATAGAAGATAATGGGAAACGGGATGCAGGCGACGGCCAGGAAGGCCGGGATGGATGACGCCCAGTGAATACCCAGGTTGTGGTACATGTAAGTGGTGAATAGCGGGAACGCAAACCCGAACAGACTGCGAAGCGCGGAATTAGCGGCCAACACCGAGGCCGCAAAGATCGTATACGCGTCGATCAGATAGTTGAAGACGCTGAGGAAGACCAGGACCAGCCCGAACCCAAAGGGAACTCCCGCCGCGACGGATGCCATCCAGTGAACTGAAGGGTAGTTTGTCCAGGCGAACCAGAATAATCCGATTGGGAGGGCGATTCCCCCGACTATACTGGGCGGCAGACGCACCTCAGGAGGCAGTCGTGCGGTCGTTTCTCTGCATCTCTTCGCGTAGTGCATGTTGTCCGGAAAGGTGTATGCGACACCGATCACCATACCAACGAGGATGCCCAAGAAGGCGAGGCCTCCGATGCCTTCGCTCCAGCCACGGGCTTCCTGAAAGACAATGGGATATGCGGCAAACAGCATATATAACGTGCCGTAGATGATGGCCATATAGATGCAGAACAGCAGGACGATCGGCTCTCTCAACATGAGAAGCCATGGTCTAGAGAGCGCGGTGCTTAGCGTCTTGCTTAGTTTGACCTGGCCTCGTTCGATGTCGAGTTTGCTGCAATACACTTGACCCGTGAGCTGTGAGAGCTTTGCAGCTCGCCGCCGCAGAAGGACTGGGGCGTACGTCTCCGGGAGAAAGACAATCATGCACAGCCAGATGACACCAGCCAGTGCTGCCAGGAACCCTTCAACCCAGCGCCAACCGGCCCCCGAACCTAGGAAACCACCGATGATAGGTCCAATGGTAGGACCACATAGAGGTGCTGCAGCGAAGAGACTAATCGCAATGCCACGGTGCGATGCCTGTGACTTCGTTAGCTTTCGTCCATGACTATAAAGCTCATAATTAGGGCTAGGATACCGGGAACATGTCGGCGATCGTACCCCCAGCATTCCCGAAGGGGGATGATCCGAAAAAGCCGGCTAGGAAGCGTAGAATAATCAGGGTCTGGATATTCTTGGCCCCAGCCGCGCCCGCGTTGAAGGCCGTTAGTAGACAGAACGTTGCCGTAAAGATGTGTCGACGACCGAATGTTTCGCTCAGCGGCGCCCATCTGTTGAACGGTGAGTATACATTCCAAAATGAGGGCGCATCTTTGTCTTACAATAGAGGGCCAAACGCAAAACCCAAGACAAATAGAGAAATCCCGAGGATAGCAACTTCCTCTCCGCAATCAAAGTCCTTGACAATCTGGCCCATTCCGCCAGAATACGCTGAAGACACCAGAGCCACGGTGAGGGTGACGAAGGATACCAAGATCGTGTAGGCCCATTTCCGCACGGAGCTGAAATTCATCGGATTGCGGGGATCCTCGGGGATCCAAACGACGACATATGGATCATCCTCCGTGCCTGAACCCTCGTAGGGATAGTTGACAATTTCCTGGGTCACAACTTTTTGATCCAAGATTAGACGCCAGTAGGGTATCCTAGAACTTGACATGATGGGTTCTGTCGTTGGTGGCGAGACACCCAACCCTTCTGTGGCAGCTCCGGGTCAAATAATGTCAACAATCCAGTGTCAATCAGTGTCCGGAGTGGAACCTAGATATTGCGCGTCGATTGTCACAGCTGTCAGGGGGCCATCCAGGCAGCAATCGATGCTCGACTTGAATCCACTTGTTTCAACTGTGCAACGTTAACAATCTCCTGATACTTTCGTTCGAGAACAGGTGTGGACGTGAGAGGCAACGGGCATGCCATATTCAAGTATGAATACTTCAATCTGAGACAGAGAAAACTCGGCACTCTCTTTCCGAACGTTGCCTCGGCTAGATCCAGCGATAGAGGAAAAGATTTGTCGACGTTGTAACATCGAATCAGGGACGCTTTTGACGCAGTGCCCCCGTGAGCTTTGACATCCATTTTTAACAAGAGATTATGATTTGTGGTTCGGCCTACGGGTCCCGGTTTAATCAGTGAACGATCTCCACTTGGATTTGCCCCTGGCCAAATGATCTTGTCGGCTTCCAACGCCGTCTGTCTCGCTGACAGCGTCTGTGAAGGCCGATCATTTGCCGGTGGCTTGAGCTCGACTCAGTGTTCTTAGGGGGAGTTCGTGAAATCTTCTATGAAAAGCGTCAGGTGTTTAGAAACCCGGTGAGGACGACGTCCCTTGGGACCGGTTGCGACAAGCTTGCTTAGCCTGGAGACGACGGCGGAGAAACCACGTCTCAAGCATGATCCTGCGTAGATGGAGCCAGTGAATCAGATTTGGGATCCCAGCGTTTCAGCGATGGCCACTGGACAGCATCCTTTGTCAAAGTGGAAAGGGTGGAGAGGGAGAGCCGGCAATAAAATAGCCGAGTCGGTGGATCCATGGAAGGTCCGCCAAGCGAGATGGACAACCGGAAGAAGATGCCGGACTATACATCCGATATAACAATCACAACCCTCTTTTCAGGCAGCAGTCTAACAGCGAATCTGATTATTCAATCATGGACTCCGCTAATATTGCAATCCATGTTCATTTGGCATAGACGTCGAAAGGGTCCATTCTCCGTTCAGTACTGTACCTCATATCATTGCGGAACATCGGATAGTTTGTAGGTATCTAGAATTCCTAGATCTCTGCGGAGATCTGCAGTAGAGAGACACCAGGGATATGCAAGGCTTGTCCTGTATCTACGGAGTAATATCCCGAGTGGTCGGGTAGTACGGATAGAATTGTGGGAACGCTCAGCAGTCCAATGCGCCTCTAGATCGTGGTGTCCATATGTGGAGTGAAGATAGCGTTCATAGAAGTTTGTACGGTCCGATTGTGGACGCTCGTATATTCTGCTTCGCTCGAGCATATACTTCCAATCTGGTTGGGAAAGCCTAAATTTCTACCATCCCTATACGACACCTTTCCTTCGCCTTTCAGAACGCGGAACACTGGGCACGCTGGGGATAGTCGTCTTGAAATTATGGCCGGCTCATCCGAGGCTGCGCGTGAATATCATAGCTTTAGTATAATTCTGTTCCTCCTGCAGTGATTGCTCCATGGTCATGAGCAGCCGGGTGGTTCGTATATGGAGTTCTGCAGGAAAGTTGTCAATCCTGGCTATGAGCTATGTAGCAGGGTAGAAACCAGCTTACCATCAATATACAATTCGTAGCTGACGAAAGGGTCCTCGTCTTGATGTACCAAGACAGGGGCATGGCGATTGATATATTGCTTTTCCCGAACCCGTACCTTAAGTCCGACATTCTTGCTTTGCCCAACCCACAGCATATGACTGTTTCCATCGTCGGAGTCTCCACCTGGAGTCGTTGCGGAGCCAGGCCGTTTTGTTTGTTCCTTCAACCAATCCCTAAATACGCGAATGACACCGTCTTCAACAGTCATCGTACTAAGGAGGAGATTTGTCCCCGGCATGACCTTGACAATGTTGACCACCACGCACAGTTGAGAGAAATTCTCGTCTTCGTCCAGATTGACCGGCCTCGTCACAGCGAGACGGTCGGGATCATAATCTTCGAGGCATCAGCACTGACATCCATCACGCGAGGCTGAAGAAACATCCTACCGGCCAAGGGAACCAGCCTTGCACCGTTAGACCTCTCCTCTACCGTCACTTCTGGGCGAAATCTGGAATAGAGAGTACTAAGCCGCCCCAGTTGCTGGGCAGTCTCGACATTCTCATAGAGAGACCCTTCGCCTTCGTACTTGTTACTGAGTCCGTCGGTTCCGAGATACTTGCAAAAGACGTGTGGTTCGATGAGTTTAGACGTCGGATGGAAGCACTCGAGTATCAGTTTATATTCCTTCAGCGATGCGGACAGGAGCAGGCGGTAGTGCAGGATACGGAGAATCAAGGCGTGAAAGCGGTGAGAGACGGTCGTGAGGGGCAATAGGGCTCTCGTCGAGAATGGAGAGAGAATCTGAGCGAAGACCTGAAAGAAAGAATATGGTAAGTCATTATCTAGAAGAATAGGGCGTCATGAGCCTGGTACCTCGTTGGGTAGGGAGTACAGGTGAGCACGGGGAGAGTCTGCATCCATGATTCGGGGCGGCTTGCGTGCGAAAGAGTGAGGAACACGACCAGGTGATCATTCAGGACTTGTACTCCTAAGGCTTATTCTTTCCTGGATACTAAGGAGGCGATTAGGCAAGCACCTTCGTCGAGGACGAAGCCGAGAACGATAAGCGATAACGACTGATAAGAGGGTGTCCCGTGCCCCTCCTGACGTCAGCCCGAAGCGCAAGCGTGGAAAAAATAAAACGCGCAAAGGGCAATCGGCCCGGGCAAAAAGAAACCGAAACACTCGGCCAACCGAGGTGGAATTAGCCAAGACTGCAGGATAATTAATTCTGGGCAGGAAATTGCCGAAGGTGGGCAATTGGATGAATTGTCCTTTATGTGGGATTTTGTCAGCATTGTAGTGGCATTGTACGCAGTAGGACCCCGTTAGACCTTGTTATGGAGGTATAGAAGCGTGCATCTACATCGTACCTAGGTCCCTAGACAGTAGGTTGAGGTACCTGACATTCTAGAGTGACGTGCACGAACAAGAGGTCCGGGAGCACCGGGGCCAAATTACCCGATGGCAGCGCAGGAATTCCCCGTACCGGCCAGGGTGTCGACCCAATCACCCGGCGGAGACCCCGCGACCCCCGCTGCCGACCGAAGACTCGGGCCAGCGTTTCTCCAGACCCTTCTGCTTTTCTGCCCTTCTCTTCTCACCACTCTCCCTTCGTCACTGCTCTATTTTCGCATACCTCTCGCTTCTCTCTGCCCTTCCTCACAATGGTTGAAAAGGTCCTCGACGACATCTCCCACCGGAGATACAACCCTCTTCGCGGTTCCTACATCTTGGTCTCCCCCCACCGGACCAAGCGCCCTTGGCAGTAAGTATAGACAGATTTTTCTCTGCTCTCTGTCCATGTTCATGGAAGAAATGGGAGGATATATACAAGCTACAAATGGCCAAGAATACCCAGCTAATACTGTAACGTGAAGAGGGCAGCAGGAGAGCCCCTCCAAGACCACCCTGCCCACCTACGACCCGGCCTGTTACCTGTGCCCTGGAAACAAGCGCGCCCAGGGTGACACCAACCCCAAGTATGAAAAGACTTTCGTGTTCGTGAATGACTACAGTGCCGTCAAGGAGGAGCAGGCTGCCTATACCCCCGAAAACTCCGACAGTGTGTTACCCCTCCCTTCCGCGGCAATCATGACGTGGGATTGTCACGATGATGAGGTATGCTAACGGGTCTTCTCCTCAGGCGCAGAGGCTTTCTTCCTCCAGGCCGAGCCGGTGACCGGAAAATGCTACGTGCTCACCTTCTCGGCGGCCCATAACCTCACCCTCGCCGACCTGTCACCCGCGGAGATCACCCCGGTCATCGATGCCTGGACCCAAATCTACACGGCGCACCTGTCGCCCAAGTCGCCGCTCGCTGCCGTTGCCGAGGCGACCACCCTCCCTCCCAGCTCCGCCAACATTGATCTGGCCAAGCCGAAGGAGCAGTACCGGTACATGCAGATCTTCGAGAACAAGGGATCGGCGATGGGCTGTTCGAACCCCCACCCCCACGGACAGGTCTGGACCACCAGCTCGCTCCCAGAGGAGCCGGCCATGGAGCTGGAGCAGCTGAAGAAATACCGCAAGGAGCACGGCGGCAAGCACATGTTGGAGGCCTACGCCGCCCTGGAGAGTCAGAAGCAGGAGCGCGTGGTGTTCGAGAACAATGCGTTCCTGGTCGTATGCCCCTGGTGGGGAGTCTGGCCGTTCGAGACCATGATTGTCAGCAAGAAGCACAAGCGCGCATTGGTCGATCTGTCCGCCGATGAGAAAGCCCAGCTCGCCGAGGCCATTGCTGAGACCACCCGACGCTATGACAACTTGTTCGAGACCCATTTCCCCTACAGCATGGGTATCCACCAGGCGCCCCTGGAGGGAACTGATGAGGAGATCGAGTCGTCGTATCTGCACCTGCACTTCTATCCCCCCTTGCTGCGTAGCGCCACCGTGAGGAAGTTCCTGGTCGGGTAAGTTGCCGATCTTACAGATAATCCACACCACCGGTTGCTGACTGAATTAGTTATGAAATGATGGGCGAGCCTCAGCGCGACATCACCCCGGAACAAGCCGCGGCGCGGCTACGGGGTTGCGGAGGCGAGCTGTACAGAAAGAAGTTGGATGGTTGAGGAACGGTGTTGCTTCTTGGCACTGGGTATCTGTATTCCTTTGGGTAACACGACGTCTCCCGTCATCCGATCGACTACAGAAAAAGCAAAAAATAAGCGTTTCCTCCCGTTCAAGCCCCGAGATAGCCATCCCTTTGGGTCCACATCCAGGCCAGCGTAGACGAGGCGACGATCAGTGGACTAACAAACCGGCCCTTGAGCTGAGCACTACCAAAGCCCAGCCACTCGCCAACGAAATGCGCCAGGGCGATGCCAAAGGACCACATGGCCATGTCGTACACAGCGGGAGTGGTGATGTTGTAGGCAGCGTACATACGGATGACGGAGGAGAGGAAGGTCCAGGTACCGAAGGTGCGGGAGGAGAGGGGATTGGTGACGGGACGTCCATCAACTGTCTTGCCGTTGTAGAGCTGGGCTGCATACGATTCGGAACGGTAGGCTTGAAGACTGTTCGCCGCCGAAACGGCAGCAACCTGACACGGCTTAGCTGGAGGGTTGTAGAGACTGAGGTGAAGAACCACATACTAGGAAAAGCCATTTGGGCAGGAGACCCTCGAAAGGGGGAAGATAAGCCAGTAATTCCGCCATTTCTGGGATTCGTGAAGGAGAGGGAAGAATAGAAACAGGAAGAGAATCACAGGCCGATGATGATGTTGTGGTTGAGGAAAAGTACCCTGGGGGGAAATCAGCTCTCAGGGGACCGAGGTCCCTTCTTGGCGTTTCCCCAACCAAAACTTCCGTTCTTCTCCGCTCCCTCCATCACCTCCCACCATTCATTCTTTTCCCTCTTCCCTCCTACATTCGACTCGGTGGATGGGATAACTCCTCATCATGGATTTCCTTAACAAGCACTCTTCCTGTATCTCCAAACTTTTCTCCTGTCCGTCCCAGTGGCAGCTCAATGCCGCCCCGGGATGGCAGGCAATCGCAGCTTGGGCTCTCATCGCAGCTGGTGGCTTTTTCGTCATCTCCAGAGCCCTCCTGTTCGGTAGAGTCCTTCTGAGCCTATTCGTGCTCCCCGGCAAATCGGTATGTCTGAAATTCTGCTCCTTCCATCGACTCCAATTACTGACCAAGCTCCTCAACACAGCTACGCTCTTTCGGACCCAAGGGAAGCTGGGCCGTGGTGACCGGTGCCTCTGATGGACTGGGCAAGGAATTCGCTCTCCAACTGGCGCGCGCCGGATACAACATCGTTCTCGTCTCTCGCACCGCCTCGAAACTGGACACCCTCAGTGATGAGCTCACCTCGAAATACCCCTCCGTCCAGACCAAGGTCCTGGCGATGGATTTTGCCCGCAACCAAGACAGCGACTACCAGAAGCTCAAGGAGCTTATCGGCGACCTCGACGTGGCCGTGCTCATCAACAACGTGGGCAAGAGCCACGACATGCCGGTGCCGTTCGCCTTGACTTCCGAGGAGGAAATGACCGACATTGTGACCATCAACTGCATGGGTACTCTGCGGGTCACCCAGCTGGTTGTGCCGGGTATGATGCAGCGCAGGCGGGGTCTGATCCTGACCATGGGCTCATTCGGCGGTCTGCTTCCCACCCCTCTGCTCGCCACCTACTCGGGCAGCAAGGCCTTCCTGCAGCAGTGGTCGACGTCGCTGGGTTCCGAACTCGCCCCCTACGGTATCACCGTCGAGCTTGTCCAAGCCTACCTCATCACCTCGGCCATGTCGAAGGTGCGTCGCACTAGTGCTCTGATTCCCAATCCCCGCGCGTTCGTCAAGTCCGTGTTGTCCAAGATCGGCCGCAACGGCGGATCCCCCGGTTATGCGTACAGCTCTTCGCCGTACTGGAGTCACGGGCTCATGGCTTGGTTCTTGACCTGCGTGACTGGCACGATGGGCAAGCTCGTTGTGGGCCAGAACCGCAGCATGCACGAGTCCATTCGCAAGCGGGCTCTGCGTAAGGCCGAGCGCGAGAAGGGCAAGAAGAGCACTTAGGGGTTTGAGTGGGGAGTAAACGGTGTGACTATGAATGATAAGAGGGGGGTTTGGGGGGTTGATGCAGTGGTAGTACACCGGGGATTGGGGATTTTACGTTTGTAATAATATTAGTAGAACTTTATGATATGGGTTGAGGATAAAATGATAAGTGATAATGATCAATGTGTTTGAAGCAGGCTGCAATGCGTTATGGGGGTCTAGTGAGGGACCCGGGGTTTATGTAGCAGGGATCCGCGTAGATCATTTAGAGTTCGGCCCGGCCCAAACAATCAACTGTACGGCCCTGGCTCCCGCACAACGTGCCCATCGGCGTTCGCTATCAACACAGCACTGACATTGAATGATGAACCTAGATGCGCGGAATTTTGTACTTCCGGCTTTACGACGATTAAGACATTATACAATTAGTCCGTTTCAGCCGCGAAACCCCAGGTCCTACTCGCCATCTTCCCAGACGGGCTTGGTCACCGCGACCCGTCGCAAACGCCGAGAGACGCTGGTCGTACGAAGAATGACAACCTGCCAGAGCAGGAGGACGTCGGACGATCCTGCAGTCAAGAAACTATTTAGTTATATCAGCAGGCGATAGCTCTGGGATGAAGAACAGCAGCTCCGAGACAGATATAAAGCTTTCAACGTTCCTCAACTACAAAGCTTAGCAGCACAAACCATAGGTTCGAAGAGCTCTGAATCAATCACCGAGTTAGCAGAAGGGGGTTTCAACAAGGTCTTTCGACTGGAAATGGATGATGGGAAAACAATCTTGGCACGCATACCCAATCCAATTGCTGGTCCCGCCTTCTACACGACTGCCTCTGAAGTTGCAACCATGGAGTTCGTGAGTCCGTTCCCACCAGGTTGGATCATATCAGATCACTAATGCAGGCTCAAGGCTCGAGACACCCTCCAGATACCTGTTCCTCGGGTACTGGGTTGGAGTACCACCCCACATAATCCGGTGGGGTCGGAGTATATCCTAATGGAAGAGGCAACCGGAACACAGTTAGCAACTCAGTGGGATGGCCTAAATCCAGACGCGAAGCTTTCTATCATGAGAGAGGTCGCAGCAATTGAGACAAAGTTGCTGTCCGTATCTTTTTCACAGTAGGTTCTCTGGCGTCTTCGCCATTTCCTCTACATGCTATGCTCACATTTCGGTTGTCAGTCATGGGAGCATATACTTCGCAAGCGACGCGGTAAGTGGCGCAGTGCCGACTCGGGTCCTAAGCCCGGCGCCTACCGAACTGAAAGAGCAAGTCTCCAAAAGATTCACTATTGGCCCCACTGTTGTAAGAGATTTCTGGAAAAGGAACGCTCTGTCATGGACATATCGCGGGGTCCTTGTTGGTGGTCCTCACCCTACTGTTGATATCTCGGTATCTGACAATAAGGAGGGTCAAGTCCGGAGGAATACGCCTCCAGTGTTGGCTGGCGCGAAGTGGAGTGGATCAAAAAGTACGCCGTCCCCAAGTCAGCGGGTGACATGATGTTGGTCTCGGCGGGCCAGAATGACCCACGGGCGCATCTCGACCTGCTGGAGAAATACCTGAGCATTGTGCCCTGCCTCATGGACGTCGATCCTGTCCTATGTTGCCCAACTCTATGGCATGGCGACCTACTCCGTACACTCCTCGAATTTCTTCGCTGAAAACAACAAGATCACTGCAGTCATTGACTGGCAAGGCTCATGGGCCGGACCACTCTTCCTCCAAGCACAGCCATCTCCCCTGATAGATTATCAAGGTAGCATTCTACTTAAGCCCCCGGGTAATTTCGACGACCTGCATCCCGAGCGGCAGGCCCAGATAAAGCGACAGATCTTTAAGTCGACGCTTTTCCAGCTTTATTTGATGGAAACCGAGAAACGCAACCCCTTGCTCGCAAGAGCATTTCATCTCGACCATGGGAAGACAAGGCGCCTTCCCGTTGAACTGGCCAGGAATCCCTGGGACGATGAGATTGTCTTATTCAGGGAGTCCCTCATCAATGTTGAAAGGTATGACTTTACAGGCCTTGCCATCCCGCCTGGGCTGACCCTGTAATAACATTGGCACGACTTACGCCCCCAGGGCGATTGCCCCTATCACTTCACGGAGGAAGAGTTGAGAAGCCATGCAGCAGATGCAGAGGGTTGGAATGAAGTTCAAGACTTTTTTGATGATATTGATAGCATCGTGAAAAGGGATGGCTGGACCCATCCGGAGACATTCGACGCCGCCTTCAATTTCTTCTCGGAGCTCCGGGAATTAGGCCTGGAAGGCCTGAGAGGCGAAGAGAGGGAGAGATTCGACAAGCAGACTAGCTGGGCGAAAAATCAAAGGTGAGGTCAGCTGACCGGGCTGGCCTCGTCACATCCGTCAGGTGCCTCTTACCTAATAGAATCAATGTTGCATGCCATTGTGCCTCGAAATGCGTTGTCCCTTATGGAGACTTCATAAACGGGAGACTTGGACTGTTCCAGGTACTGATAGTGGTTTCACTATGACGTTGGGAAAATTTTTAGATTGGCTAGAGCGAGAGTAAGACAAACCATTAATGGAACAGGAAAAAGTCTTTCCTAATTCCGTCCCATGCATGATCATGACGTATTGTATGTACTATCAGTCTATGTTCCCGCAGACGCAGAACAACGGCGTCTGTTATCTGTCTAAGATTATTGTTAGAATCCGAGTACCATGTTTCCGTGGTACCACGTTGGATCTAGATTTAGCAGCGAGTTCTTGCCACCAGGTACCGCTACAGCTCAGTACACATGGTGCGATGCAGACATCATGCCATGGTGATGTCCTCCCAGGTACACGGCTGAATCATCACCGGTCGGCTGATGTTGAATGCCGATCCACGAGCAGATTTTTCACAGATTCTCGGGACGGTCTTAGTTTTGTTGAATCTTTCATGTAATCGCGTCGGCATGCCGATAAAAAAAATATATATTTGCCTTGCCACCGTGTTCACCGCAGACCCAAGAGAGGATCGGCCGGTCAAGTTCCGGGCAGAAGCGAGCAATCAGAGAGAAGTTCTGTACAGCGAAAAGTCTGCGAGTGGGGCGGCGGGAGGGAGATCCACTGGCCGGTGAGCTCAAATCGGGAAGGCCGACTGGCATCCCGAAACAATCGGCACACCGAAACCACGGCCGATCCCGAGTCGGTCGGTCCGACACACTCGGGATGCGGCCAGCCGTTCTGTACACGTCGCATCCTTCAGAGGGAGATAAATATCGATAGAGTCCGTCCGCTGGTGGTAGAAGTTCTCTTTTTCTCTTTTTCTTTCCTCCCTTCTTCTGCGTCACGACCGGCTCATCGCCACGCAAAAACTGCAAAGTTAAGCAGTCGAGGCCCACCGGGACGATCTCCTGAGCCGTCCACGGACGGCTGCGCGCTAGATCCAGCCGGAACCGGAAACTTTACTACAACCAGCTGTGCCTGACGAGACCAGGATAATACGTACCTGTCCGTTCTCAAGAGAGAAAAAATCGTAGAAGACACTTCAAGCGGCAGGTAGACCGTGGAATTCGGTTCGATCACCGGCTTGTATTATTCTCCGTAGATTCCCCGAATCCTACCGCAGGGACCGGTACCGAGTCCGTACATACATACTCCGTACTACTACGTGCATACTGCATGACGCTGTGTCACCCAACCGCACCGTCATCTCATCTCGTCATGTCATGATCGCAGTCTTGCAATAGTCTTAGTCAGGCGCCGTTCGCTTCGCCTTCTCGAATCTCTCGACTAGACATCCATACTTAGGTACTCCACTTGGTCTCCCCACCGCATCAGGGCCTCCCTCTGTCTCGCTCTCGCTCTCGCCCGTTCCAGCTGGGCCCCGTGGAGAGACGCCCAGAAAGAGCCATTTTTCTCCATCCGTTGGTTTGGAGAAGTCAGTGCCGACGCCCGTCCCCGTCAAATTCTGTCGCTCGGCGTGGCATTACGTCCGAATGACCCTCCGCGTGCCGGCTTAAGCGGGCAGTCCCTGTATATTTATCCCCCACCACCCGCACTTTCTCCAGCTTCTCTTCCTTCTCCTCTTCACTCTTCTTCCTCTCTATCTATCTCTCACATTCTTCTTCCTCTCATCCCCTTCACTCCTCTGCACTTCCGCCACCCTCCCATCATGGGTGTCTCCAATCTCATGTCCCGGTTTAAACCCCGGGCCGAACAACAAGAACACTCCGAGTCGGCTACCCCAGCTCGCTCGGAATCTCACCTCGAAAAGGACCATCAGATGCTGGACGACAGCCCCGTCACCTACCTCACCTGGCGCTCCTTCATCCTCGGTATCGTCGTCTCCATGGGTGGTTTCATCTTCGGTTACTCCACCGGTCAGATCGCCGGTTTCACCACCATGGATGACTTCAAGAGACGGTTCGCCCAGCGTCAGGCCGACGGTACCTATGCCTTTAGCAATGTCCGGAACGGTCTTATCGTCGGTCTGGTATGTTGCCCCTCACCTCCCATGACGTTTTCTTTCCCAACTAACAACACCAGCTCTGCATCGGTACCATGATCGGTGCTCTGGTCGCCGCCCCCATCGCCGACCGCATTGGCCGCAGAATGTCCATCTCCTTCTGGTCCGTCATCCACATCGTCGGAATTATCATCCAGATCGCCACGGACTCCAACTGGGTTCAGGTCGCCATGGGTCGTTGGGTCGCTGGTCTGGGTGTCGGAGCCCTCTCCAGTGTCGTTCCCATGTACCAGAGTGAATCCGCGCCCCGTCAGGTCCGGGGTGCCATGGTCAGTGCCTTCCAGCTGTTCGTCGCCTTCGGGATCTTCATCTCCTACCTGATCAACTTCGGTACCGAGAGCATCAATTTCCACCGCCTCCTGGCGCATCACCATGGGCATGGGCTTTCGCCTGGGCTCCTGATCCTGGGTATCGGCACCCTGTTCCTCCCCGAGTCCCCTCGCTACGCCTACCGCCAAGGCCGCGTCGAGGAGGCCCGCGAGGTCATGTGCAAGCTCTATGGCGTGGGTCCCAACCACCGCTGCGTCGCTCAGGAGATGCAGGACATGAAGGAAAAGCTGGACGAGGAGCGCGCTGCTGGCAAGGCCTCGTGGTATGAAATTGTCACCGGGCCCCGCATGCTCTACCGTACCCTGTTGGGTATCGCTCTGCAGTCCCTGCAGCAGCTCACTGGCGCCAACTTCATCTTCTACTACGGAAACTCCATCTTCACCTCTACCGGCCTGAACAACAGCTACGTCACTCAGATCATTCTCGGCGCCGTCAACTTCGGCATGACCCTGCCCGGTCTCTACATTGTCGAGCACTACGGCCGTCGCAACAGTCTCATGATCGGCGCCGGCTGGATGTTCATCTGCTTCATGATCTGGGCCTCTGTCGGCCACTTCGCCCTTGACCTTGCCAACCCTCAGAACACCCCGCAGGCCGGTGCCGCTATGATCGTCTTCACCTGCTTCTTCATCGTCGGCTTCAGTACCACCTGGGGTCCCATCGTCTGGAGTATCTGCTCCGAGATGTACCCCGCCCGTTACCGTGCCATCTGCATTGGTATCGCCACCGCCGCCAACTGGACTTGGAACTTCCTCATCTCCTTCTTCACCCCCTTCATCTCTAGCTCCATTGACTTCGCCTACGGCTACGTCTTCGCCGGCTGCTGTTTCGCCGGTGTCCTCGTTGTCTTCTTCTTCGTCAACGAGACCCAGGGCCGCACCCTCGAAGAGGTCGACACTATGTACGTCCTCGGCGTCAAGCCCTGGAAGAGCGCCAGCTGGACCCCGCCCACCGGCATCGTTGAGGACATGCACCGCGCCCCCGGCACTCCCAAGAAGGAGGTCGAGGCCGAGCACCACAACGAACCCAGCGAGGTGCGCGAGTAAATCGTTTTGTGGGGAGAGCAACGGCCCAGCGGAAGATAGGGTCGTCTATGTACAGATATTACCTCTGCGTTTTGTCACTTTGGATGCGTTCATGCATGTGCTTCTGACGGATGGGTGAAAAGAGAAGCTTGGCGTTTGGGTTGGGTTTAGTCTACCATTTTCGCTCTATGTATTTACTTGGGAATACATTCAGGTGCATGAAAATCTTTCTTAGTCACTTCGTAGAAAGTAAACAGAAGTACCGTGGCTGAACAGCATAAGAGACTTCAGAGACTTAAGGTCATGAGATTCATCGAACAGTCTAGATATACGCATCGCCTCGCTGTGACGTGTCCACTTATGGAACGACAGGAACTATCAATCAGATATGGTATGGATCAAGGTAGGTACGCAGTAGATTCATCCAACGGCCATGGATTCGGAAAAACAAACAAAATTAAACACCCGACGCCCTTGTTCTTTTTAATACCCAGTTCATGACAGACGAAATGAGGAAGATTAGAGGTATCCGGCTCCAGGCGCACGTCTTTACCGACGCTGGGTCTTGCCGATGGTGCGCTTTCCGGTGAACTGCTTCCTGTTAGTATGACTTCCATAACCGACACAGAGACGAAACGTACCAAGTGCTTGGGAAGAGAGGCGGTGGTGTGGCGATCGGCCTCTCCCGCGCGAGCCATCCGGTTCATCTTCTTCTGGCCCAGCTTCTTCAGGCGCTCGGCCTGGGTACGGGCCGTGTCGTTGGTGACACCGTCCAGGAGACGGTTGGTGGCGGCCTGGCTGCGGGCGCGGCCCTTGGCCTTGGCGATCGCCTGGCGCGGGTCGGACATGTCGACGTCCATGGCGTCGTCGTTGTCGGCGTTGTCGGGGCGGGTGAGGGTGCGGCCGCGGGTCTGGCTCTGGGCGCGGGCGCGGGCGGCGGCGGCATCGACATCGTAGCCGGCCTCCTCGAGGGCCTCTTCCATCTGCGACAGCTTCTTGGCCTTGGCGGAGCGCGGGATGGCGGCGCGGTTCTTGAGCGACTTGCGCATCTTGGCCTCGTTGCGCATGAGCGCCTGCTTCTCGCGGATGAGGTCGGCCTTCATGCGGACGTCGGCGTCCTCGACGTCCTCCACGCTCTCGTCCGACTCGTAGTAGCCGTTGGCCTGCAGCTTCTCCTCCTCTTCCTCGAGCGCCGCCAGCTTGGCCTCGATATCCGGGTCCACGAAGTCGTAGACGTTCTTGCCGTTGAACACCTCGGGGATCTTGTCGTGCTTCCACTCGTCGTTCTCGAGCATGTACGTCTTCTTCAGGTCGATGTTGTACACACCCGCGCCGCCGTTCTCCTCCTCGAGGTCGCGCTCCAGCTTCCGTCGTTCCGGGTCGCTCTTGTCGTACTTCTTCAGGCCCTTGACCTCGTCGGGAATGAAGGTCTCGCGCGTCACGCCGCCCATCGGCTGCGCCACGTGGATACGGGCCAGGACGTCGCCCAGACGGCCGCCGGGCGTGCCCGCGCTGTTGGTGCCGGACTTGAGCTTCTGCGCCACACGCTCGGCCAGGAGCTTATCGCACGCCGCGTTTTTCACGTTCGTGACGCCTTCGGTCGTGGTGCAGGACAGCTGCAGCAGCTCGACGTCGCCGGACTTGAGGATGTTCTGGAGGGCTTCCTGGTACTCGGGCTCCAGGTCCTCGGGGCGACGCACGTCGATCTTGTTGACAACCAGGAAGACGATCTTGTTGGCAAAGAGCGGCCGGATGCTGTGGAAGAGCTTGATCTGGTCGGCGACGGAGTAGCCGCACTGCTCGGACAGGTCCATGAAGTACATGACGGCGGAGCGGAGATGGGCAATGGCGGTGATGGACTGCATTTCAATCGTGTTCATCTCCTCCAGCGGGTGGTCCAGAATACCGGGGGTGTCGATGGCCTGGAACCGCAGGTACTTGTAGTCGAAGTGGCCGACGAACAAGCTCTTGGTGGTGAAGGCGTAGGGCTGGACATCCACGTCGGCGCGGGTGATGCTGCGCAGGAAGCTGGACTTGCCCACGTTGGGATACCCGCAGATCAGGAGGGTGCGGGTGTTGGGGTCAATCGAGGGCAGACGTCCCAAGTGCTGACGGACCTGCTCAAGATAGACGAGGGGGTCCTTGAGACGGCGGCAGATGGTGGCCATGCGACCGAGCGCGGCCCGCTTGAGCTGTTTGCACTGGAACAGAGACTGCGCATACTTGATCAAACGGACGTAATCACGGGAAACGGTTTCAATGAGGTGCTTGGCGGTAGACACTTGGCCGAGGGCAATACGGAAATGGTCGGCATCGTAGAGGGTGTTCATCAAATCCTTATCTGTTGGTTGTCAGAGGCTGGGCATGGAAATTGTTCGATTCGATTCAGGCGACTTACGGAAAGGATGAATATCCTGCAGACGCGGGAATCCGTCCAGAATAGCCTGGAACTTTTCACAGAAAGTCTCCTGCGTGTATTTCACCTTTCGAGTGTAGAAACCTAACCCGAGAAAATTCTGTATTAGCCGATATTCTTCATTGATCTGAAGCAATATTGCAAGTCTAGAAACTATCGATCGATGCAACCACAGAGATCCCACATACCTCTGATACGGCTGATCTTAAAACCGGAACGAATCTGGGTGGGCAATTGGCGTTGCGTGCGACTGAGGACGATATCCAGGAACTCCTGGCTCGTGGGCACAGGAGCGATCTAATCAAGCGGTCAGTATGTTGGGTCGAGGAGAACGGGGGCCACAAGAGGTAAAAACGCACATCCTTCCAAGTGGTCTTCATGATGGGCACCTGGGTCGCGAACGGTCACGAAAAGGCCCGAGAATAATATAGAGGATGATGGGAAGAAGTGATGGAAAATCCCCCTCCTCGTGGACGACGGCGAAAAGAGAAAAAAAAAATATTGTAGGGCGGTCGGGGCAGATTTTGGCGGGCGGTGAGCCGACGGCACATGATGTGGGGTTACTAAGTACGGTACAGCTACTCTAGAGTACTACTACAGTACTACAACATTATGATGGGATAATTCTCAGTAGGGGGATTCTTCATATTGTAATAATCTGTACATTGAACTACTGGGACTAGTGATACATATCCTGTTCCTGACCATCCCATCATTCGTCATCAGCATGGGGTATCTGTCCTGGAGAATCATCGTAGCCCAGACTCGCAAAACTCCGTTGTTTTGATATCTTCTCTATCCCACCGTGTAAACCAAAATCCAGTGAAATCAACACAAGAACATAACATGCATAAAGGTGTCGTACGGTCGCGAGGGGAGATAGAAATAGAATTCATATAATGATGCGAACCAAATCAAATGCACCGGTGGCGTGAAGACGGGTCATGTCAAAAAAAGAAAAGAAAGGCGAAGGCGATCGTTACGCCTTTACTCATGGTAGAATTCAAGCACCTACTCATTGTTAGCGTCACTTATTCTTGCATAGGATGTTTCCACCAGATGCGCTCTGGCAAACCTACCATATCGGTCCAGCCGCCACCGCCAAATTGACACTTGCTCGGCCCACGATTCTCGAATCCAAACGACTCGTAGAATGGGATCAAATGCTCGTGGACAATGATCGCCAGGCGATCTGCAATCTGTGCCTCCCGGATCCGATGGATGTACGACTTCATCAGGGTGCTTCCGACTTGCTTGCCCTGGTGTTCCGGGAGGACGGCCAGGGAGTGGATGGCAATGGTGCCACCGTACTCATCATGGCCGACTGTCTCACCGTTCTCGACGGTCATCCGCTCGGTCTTCCAGTTCGCGGGGAATTCCATGGCTTTATCCGTCACCGTTCCGGTGGAGGTTCTCGTGGCGATGATATGTCCCACCAACGTCGGGCGCGGCTTCGGCTCTCCCTCCTTCAGCACAGGGAGCGTGAAAAGACCCAGACAGAGTTCCGGACACTTATTAAGACGGTAGACGAACTGCAAGCGAGTTAGCCATCCGGCATCCCAGACTCCTTTTCTCCTTTCGGTCGACGAAGAGCCGTACCTTGTCGCGCGAACAACGCTCTTGCTCGGGAAAGGCGGATTCCACATTCACGCAGTCATCGACGTTCGACACGGTAAGCACCTGGACGAAGGGGTGCAGTTCGTCCAACTTGGTCCGCTGGTGGACCGGGGGACGACGAAACCAATACGGGAACTCGTTGACGTCTTCGTGATCGACAGCCACATAGTCCTCCTCGACTTCCTCCTCGTCGTCATCGTCGTCGTCTTCGGCGAGTTCGAGGCTGAGGCCGTTCGCCAGGACGGCCTCTGCACGGCGCGACAGATCGCTTCCGGTGGCCGGGAGCGAGACGGTGTCGGCGTTAGACAACGGCTTCAGCCCGTTGATGGGCTGATCGACCGGCTGGTTGGTGGACTGATCGGACATGGTTTGGTCGCCGTGACTTTGCATGGTCGAGGAGGGGGGATTTTTGCGACTTTGATGGAGAAAAAAAAGAGGTGGGGGAGGGGGTGTGGGCGCAAAAAAATTAGTGCGGCCCAGGAGGGGAGGGAGGCGAAAAAGGGCACCGAAGGGGGAAAAGGAACAAGAAAGGTGGAAGGTACAATCCAAGTTGAAACAATAAAAAAGAGCAAGAGAAAATTCAATCGGCAATAAACTCGACTCAATCACAAAAGACCAGGGATCTCCGACAAGGACCAGGGGCAAAGGGATTGGTCGAGGTCAAGCACAGGGAAAAAAAAAGAGACGAGGGGGCTCCGACTGTCCGGAAAGGCTTTCTGCGACCAGACCCGTGGGTGCAGCCTTGGCCCGATCGATATACTCGGATATGTGTTCAGAGGATTCGAAATGTTATCCGAGTGTTTAGGTAGTTATATTCAATTTATATCAGTCTATATTCACCGTATTATCTCTATTATACTTATTATTATTTACCCTTTCTATTATGATTCACTTCTATTAGTTAACGTCTTATCTCCTGCACTGTGCAGCCCGGAACCATCATCCGGGGGTTCTGGGCCCTACCGAGTACAAGGATCTCCGCCACTCTAAGGAGGAGAGCACATGCGATAAGACCTGACTCGCAGATCTTCTGACATTCTGCATTATAGTAGAGTCAAATCAGTATCAAATGATTGCTCCCAGATGAAGCCTTCGATAGTCTCTGCACCAATGATGCCTCTGTTACCCCGGGTTCCTCCGCCTGTATGCCGATTTTCCTCTTTCGGGTTAGTGCCACAGGGCTTATCTTGAACCTCAGAGTGATGCCTCAGGCATTATATGTCTAACCCATCTACCTACGTAGGTTGGAATTGGGATGTAACATGAAAATTCTATAAGGTGGTATACTCGTGTACTTGCTCATCGAAATTGCAGCAAGTCATACCACGTTTGGTATGCAGTTTGTGTGGGATCAGACAGCTCTGACGACATGCTACACCCGAAATATATCTGCAGATATGGATCCCTCTGAGAGGATCACCTGGTCAGAATCTCATATACATGCGTCAACTTATATATTGTAAAGATTGTTGAATTAAAACCCTCTGTTATACTGTCCAGTAACTGATTCCATCTTCACACCATCTACATTTCCGCTACTGCGACTAGACCCGGAACTGAGCACCTACGGAGTATGTCTTAGCTGTCCCGAGTCCCGACCTTCTGAGGGTATTTTGAAGGTAAAAATGTATAGGGTAGCCTAGCACTGAGACACCTACAAACGCTGGGAGTCCCTGCATGCAAGCTAACTTGTTAATAAATCACCTAACTAGGTAATATAGGTGCTCCAATCGACCAATCCAGATAAGATTGCTCTCGGGATCCTTTATTGCTTCGACGCCGTCTTTTCTTCTGTCTCGTAACTACCTCCCTGTGCATATTCATTTTATAAACATTCAAAACCCTAACATGTGAACTGATCCAGTATGAGGCATTTTGTGGAATCAAATGCCTAACCGGCATCTGTACCTGATCGGCGTTATCTCCGAACGAATGACCGCCGACAACGGAATGCGTCATATTCCGCATCGACTCATTTTTATTCTGCTGCCCCGACGGCCCCGTCCACGCTGGTGCTTCCCCACATACAAAGCCATTGCTTGATCGTCTTCTCTCAGACTCTCTCCTACGACCTCCTATGTATCCATTTCCGTCTTCAGATCCCTCGGTTTTCGTCCCCAACGAGACATGAGCTCGACGTCGCTCGCCTGGCCGCGGACGGCCAAATCCTCTCTGCTGCAGGTAAACGCGCCTGTCGTACCCCTCGTTCACCTCTCCCACGCTGACCGACATTTCCTCGATTGCATAACAGAATCGAATTTCTCCCTCTGGCAACAAGCCAGTCTTCGCCTCTCTGCCTCGCCGGTCGCTGTCCTCGTCCGCTGATCGGCGCATCCATCAGAGCGCCGATTTTTCTTCCACCAGCAAAGGTTATGACCGACTCGGTCGTCGCGCCAGGGAAAAGTTGTTGGACCGGGTGCGTTGATCGCTGGGGAATTGTGATCATATTCCACATCTCGCTGACGGGTCGATTGTGCGACTACAGGAATTTTTTCTCAGCCTGCTGAATTCCGCATCCACCAAGCGTGAGGCCAAATCGTATCTAGCTCGACTCAAAGCCCAGCACTCGCCAAAACCACAAGTCAAAGAACCAGAGAAGGAGAGCAAAGACGACGCCCCTCAACCCTTACCGTCTGGCGTCAACCTGGGATCTTTCTATGGAGCCTCGCGGTCCGTGTATGATAGCCCTGTGTTCCGACATGACTCAACTCCGACTCCCCACCGAGAAATCTCGGAAGAGCGACTACACCTTTCTTTGGTCAAGCTCACCACCCCACAGCTTCTCGACGACTATATAATCGATGGGGTAGCCAAGACGTTGTCGCAACTCAACCGGTTAGGCATGGCCAGCTGTGTCGTGGTTGATCCTGGTGCCGGAGATCACCCAAATGCGTTGCGGAAAATCGCCGCTGAACAGGCGGATCGCCTTTCCAATGCGATTGACGCTCTACCAGACTCCAAGTCGGCCCATTTGGACTCGGTCTTGTCGCTTTCATCCACCGACCCGGACACCCCGACAGTAATGTCCCGGAAGGCTCTGCTGAGCCCGATGCGCGATGGCCACATTGTCGTTGTAGCTCCTATTGCATACACGGATGATGTGAGAGCAGTCGTTGTACCGGCAGACAATGCCGTTCTTGCACTTACGAAAGAGCTCGCGGGTCTGGCGACTCGACCGGATCCTGACGAAGACCCCTGGGTCACAGCCCAGAGGATCGGTGACCTCCAGCGGGAGGTCTCACTCGACCGAGTCATTCTACTTGACCCCTTAGGGGGTATCCCTGCGTTCAGCGGACCGCAGACATCCCATGTGTTCATCAACATGGAGCAGGAATTCGACGATATCGAGCAAGAATTGCTTCGAGTTCGGGAATCTGCAGCCTCCAGCAATCAGCCCTCCGCCAGCTCTCTCCTCGATGGAGACGCGTCCTCAATCGCAGATAGTAATCCTATATCAAAATTCGTGAACCATGATGTCGTTCCTGTTCCTCCTGAGCAGGAAGCTGTGCTTCCGGGCCTAAGGCTCGAAGAGCGTGCTGTTGATGGTCACCTAGAAAACCTCTCTTTATCTCAAAAAGTGCTTGCTATGCTACCCTCGGCCTCCTCTGGTATCATTACGTCTCCTTTGGAAGTTGCGAACTCAGCCATGGCACCCCAGACTACGCCGTCCGGCTTGGCTGTGGGTACGCGACGACAGAGAAACCCTCTCATTCACAACCTGCTCACCGATAAGCCATTGCTTTCCTCGTCTTTGCCGTTGAGCCGGCGAGCAGCGATCAATGGCAGACGAGGCTCTCTAACAGCCCCCAGTTCTCACACCACGTTTGTGAAGCGGGGCATGCCGCTGACGCTCGTCCCGAATCCTCGAGTCCAGACCTGGACGGCTCAGAACCGGCCACGGATGAGCTTGGACGACCCAAGCATTGATCTTCCGCGGCTGGTTCATTTGATTGAGGACTCCTTCAATCGGAAGCTTGATGTGCAAGACTACCTCAACCGGATCCATGATCGATTGGCCGGATTGATCATAGCAGGGGAATACGAGGGAGGCGCCATTCTGACGTGGGAGCTCCCTCCAGGCGTCGAAGATGACGGTAGTCCCGCTAGTGAAGCTCGGATGGTCCCATATCTGGACAAGTTTGCGGTTCTCAAACGCAGCCAAGGAGCTGGAGGCGTGGCTGATATCGTATTCAACGCCATGGTTCGCAGTTGCTTCCCCAACGGAGTGTGCTGGCGCAGTCGCAAAGACAACCCCGTGAACAAATGGTACTTTGAGCGATCAGAGGGGACGTGGAAGCTGGCTGATACCAACTGGACGATGTTTTGGACTACTCCGAACCTCCCGGATGATTTACAACGGTTCCAGGACTATGAGGCCGTGTGCCGCAGCATCCAGCCCAGCTGGGCCGACGACACAGGGGTGGTGGACTAGATGACAGCCTGAGGGTTTCTTTTTGATCCTCTCGTTATTCAGGCAGGGTATAGGAGGCGCCATTGTATATAGACATAGACATAACCGTCTCTACGGAGTAATGGGAGATGGCTGGCAGCCGCCAAGCCCTGCCACCTATATGTCCCGTGAACCCCGAAGTAATCACCAACACATTAGCATCGCGTTTGGCTTCAATTACTTAAAAGCTGGCCATATCCTCATTAGGCCATGCAGCAGCAACATTTTGACGCAGAGAAGCTTCCTGTCGCCGTCTCTCAACTTCGAACTGATAAGCAGGTTCCTGCCATTAGCCAGCACTTTGATGGTGGTCAATGTCGAGTGTTCAAAGTGGATTTCGTGGACGGTGAGAGCTGGGCTGTACGCGTGCCGCTTTTTGTCTGCCATGCCTCACAAGACTTCATCATTTATCTTATGGAATCCGAGGCTCGTGTTCTTGAAGAGCTTGAGATCAAAGGCTTCCGGTGGGCTGCAAAGCTCCGGGGCCGCAGTCTCACCTTCAACAATGCCGTTGGATGCCCCTTCATCGCATTGACCTGGATCGCAGGTAGTCCGCTTTCGTGGTCTGACGACTTCCCGACACGGCCTCTTCGGGACAAAGTCTTGAGCCAAATCGCAGTAATCCATGCATCACTGATTGAATGCACCAAAATCTTGAGGCGCACTTTGCTCATCGATTAAGGGATCACCGCTCAGGACCATTTTACGAGAATAATCCAAAACAAACTCCGCCGAGTCCATGATGGTCTTCTTCCAGACATCACAGAACAGGACTGTCTGGATCAAATGAGCATCCTCTCCGATGTTCTTTTGCCTGAACTTGACGGTGCGCCTTTCGCCATGGATCATGGCGATCTTGCGCCGCAGAACATAATCATAGATGCACAGCACAATGTAACAGGGTAAGCGGCGATGGTTTATATGATGCAGCCAACGTTCTGACTAGCCTAGTATTATCGACTGGGGATTCTCTGCAAAGGTACCTTTCCAACAAGCGGCCAGTTTTCCTCGAATCCTTCGTCTTGAGGATATTGCCCTGCCACCGAGTTCCATCCTACAGAAAGACCGAGAGATTTACGTCACATTCCTTCGGTCCCAAAGATCCCAAGTAAGGGCATGGATGGTTCTCGTTTTATCTCCGGAGGATGTTGATTTTCATGTTTGCTTTCTGGAGTCAATCATAAGCAAGGGGATGCATAAATCGATGGCGCGGAGCAGGTGGAGGCTTCCCCCTTGGAAGAAGATGATGGATGGATGAGACCAATGAATCTGTTTATTGCAGTATCTTGCCAATACTGTTGTCACCCTCACTGTTTAAGCTCTGTTTCTCTCTCCATCTTAATGAGACATTGGTACATATTTTGTTCTTGCCTAAACACGTTTCCGTCCGTGCCCAACCGAAGTGATAGAGGGACATGGGACACTCAAAACGGTTACTAGTCAACTTCGTTAGTGAGTGATTAGCCTACCGAAGACAAATCTACATCCAACGAGATGTCTCAAACGATTGTTTCTCCATTTCGCGAGCTGGAATTCAAGTCGTTCCACGATTGGAATGGTGATCGTCCCTCACAGACCCTGATCTTCCACGACGACTCCTCTTTATGGTGGACCAAAGTCGAGATAGCTTGGTCACTACCGGCGTCCATACTGGAATCGGGCTATCTCAAACGTTGCTCTATGTTCCAAGAGTTCATCAGGTCTATCGACTTTGGTCAATTAGATCTGATGGACGATACTGTGACTCACATCAGTCTAACCTTGGCTGAGCAAAGCCATAAGCCGATTCCGATTCGGGTTGTTCCGAATGACCATCAGACAGAGACGAATTTCTTTCTGTCTGTTGCCGATCGAATAACCTTCCAGATTGAAGAAGACCCAGGGAGAGTCATATACCCGATTCTTGACCATACTCATAATCTACCTACCTTTGAGGCTAGTCACCTAGAAGACGACGAGTTCATCGCCCCAACTGTCTCCACAGTCCGTTTCGAGCAGAAACGGTTCGCATACAAAAAGATCGACCGCCCTATTTATGCACCAGGAGACTCAGAGCATATTCTGAATGAGATTGGCGCTCTCGCACAATTTCACGGACAACCAAACATTGCACCAATACTCGGGGTCGTTATATCTGATAATCCCTACAAGACCCGTCCGTCAACGATTTCGTCGCCGGTGGTCACAGGATTTCTCCTCGAATACTACCCCGGAGGCTCTCTTGAGCAAGCTCTATCAGAGACTGAAGACCAAGATGATTCGTTGCTAAGACGATGGGCACTACAGACCGAGAGAGCACTGGAAACATTGCACATCCAGCGACGGACTCACCTTGACATCAAACCATCGAATATCGTTCTTGACGCGAATAAGAATGCTATCCTTATCGATATCAGTGGAACTGGGGGGTATGAATGGGAATGGCTCTCGCCGGAGATGCAAAAGACTATTCAAACCGCTGCAGCACCTCCTGCTAGTACATTATTCGAGACACGCGTCGCTACAGACTGTTGGGCTTATGGAAAGCTACTCTCGACTATGGCCAGAAAAATGAGCACCAGTGGTTTCCGAGAAAGGTTGCAGTCTATCAGCGATGACCTGACAAAGACAGATCCAAAAGCTCGCATTTCACTAAGCGACGCTCTTAAAAGGATATAAGGAGTAGGGGAAGAGTAAGAATAGCGGACGGTAGTTCTCACAATGGCACTACATAGAGCGATAAATTGACACCAACAATCAAGCCTCACCGCCTGCCGCGTTTAGACGGTAGCTTCTGCTGTCCTCCCCGCAGCCTCATGTTTTCTCCACACAATTCAAGGTCTACACTACACCAACTGGGGTACTGCTATGAAAAGCATCATGTCAAAGGATCAATGACACGATGCCTATCTGCATCGAATGTTCCTATCCCGTCTCGCACTTGTACAGCACCTACAGCCGCGCCGACGACCGCTCCCTGGGCAAAGGGGTGCGTCTGACGCAATGTCCGCGCTGTCAACGATTCGCCGACAAATATGTTGAATACGATTTCGTTGTGATCTTCATTGATCTGGTCCTGATCAAGCCACAAGTATGGGCAACTTAGGCGATGCGTGGCTCAACAATGGCTGACTGTGGCAGGTGTATCGGCATCTCCTGTTCAACCGCCTCGGAGGCGACGACAACCAGTTCGATGTAAGCATTCGAATCGCAGCCGTGATAGCTACACCATAACTGACCCGCCTGGCGGTGCTAGCGCTCGATCATCCGACTAGGTGTTCTACTCCTCTTGTTCGACGTCTACCTCACCTGGGCGCGCATCGAAAAGTCCCCATCACTAGCCAGCACATTCCTGTCGCATGCGCCCATCGTCGTACAGTACCTCTTTTTCCTCGGACTGAATGCACTGGCGACTCTGGCACATCACCTCACCATCCGCCTACTCGCGTCGGTTCTTGCGCCGACACCTCAATCCGAGCAAAGCAATAACCCTGCATCGACAGACAGACCCGTGTCCGATCCCTCGACCCCCGTGTTTCCTTCTTTCCCATCGCAGAATCCAACCACGCAACCACAGTCTCCCACACTGTCGTCCACATTAAGCCCGCAGAAGCTCACGCCCCAAGCCTCTTCTAATGACATCTCATCGCCCGCGGGGGCTTCCCCCGCCGTGAGCGCTAGCAACGGCTCCAACCCTCCCGCACCCCCCCTACGCCGCACCTCCACAGCTCCCGTCCAGAGCGTCCGGCCTCTGCCACCACCGTCCCCAGCCAGTCCTACCGCCATCAGCACCGCCCTGCTCGTCAGCAGCTGCGCGAAGCTCTTCCCCATCTTACTCGTCATCTGGGGCCCCGACGGCAGCGGCAGCACCTCCGATGCGACAGAGAGCGTAGGCACAGGGACCGGCCGGCCCGTGACGCCGGTCAATCTCGCCCAGCACGCCCTAAACGGTATCACGCCGGCCGCGATCTCGACTCCAACCGCGTCAGGGCCGCCCGCCGACCCGTCCGCCGCGGCTTCATCGTCGCTGTTGCACAGCTTGGTCCAGCTAATGCCCTCTTCCGTGCCGACGAGCTACATCGGCAGTCTGGTCGAGTTCGTCGGCTCATTCCTCTCGCTCAACGCAGCGGATACGCATCTTGTCCTGCTGAGCAACATCGAGGCCTTGTATATCCTCCTGGGCTGTGGGTATCTGCGTGCCATGGCCCTTGCGGTTGCGGGGCTGGCGGCGCGATGGACCGTGCAAAGAGTGATATTGGGGGCAGTCGGGGTTGGTTAGCCTCCAGATGGAAGTCTGACCTAGTACTAAGACCTATGTAATCTATGCATAAAGATCCAGACGGGTCTATGATTTCCGCTAAACAAGTATGGAATAATACGCACAACGTACGTAGAACGTCATATAGCTATACAAGCCGCCGGGCAGTCCGGGCGGTCCATTATCCCTCCACATTGCCCATTTATCCCCATCAACAACGTAGGTATCCCTCTTGTCTTCCACAGATTCAACAAGTTCCAGTCAGCCACCTACTCGGGCACATGACCAGGCCGGATATCCGATCTCTTAGGCACGATAAGGGGGTGCCACTGCGCCATGAACGTAATAGCTGCACATTATTAGCGAACCGGGCACACCTAGCACAAACCCATGAATGACATACCCCACATCAGATAACAAGACACGAACGACAGGATCAGCGTGCTCCGCCAGAGACTAGACTTCATCAGCTAACCGCTCGACGGTTCGACAGGGACGAGGGACGGGAGGTCTCACGTCTGGTTATCGCCCTTGGGGCTGAAGATCCATGCCAGCACCGATGCAACCACGATAATAATCAGGCCGATGATGAGACTCCACCTGCAGGGGGTGTCAGTGTCAATATTCTGGACAAACGGCACTGGCGGCGAGAAGGACGTACCCGCTCGCCATGGTGTGTTATTGTTGGATCGTAGGGTTGGAAACGGAGCGCGGAAGGGTATGATGCACGCGAATCAAACACAGGAGGACCAGCCTGCTGTGTCTATGTCTCGACAGTTGACGCGGAACGAGGGAGTTGGTAGCGTTCTCCGGTTCAAGACCGTGTTCTGATGCGCAGTTGTAGTTGGACCGACGGTGCGATGACGGCGGAGACGATAGGACGGATGATACTCGAATCGATGGCGTCGGTCGGTCGTGTTCGAGGTCTTGCGACAGGTACAGGACGTTCTGAGATGAGGGGCGTTGAGCTGGATGCTCCGGTCTGGATGGATCTCCGGCGCGGGAGCTTCCCCGTGGCTTTGTGGCCTGAGGCTCAGGTGTGGCGGTGCTGCCGCCGCGGAAAGCGGTGAGCCCGACACTCCTACTCCGGACTACAAGATCATGATTATTCTACACAACATATACTTACGGCTTAGTAATTTACGTACGAATGAATATTCACACCGAAGGAACAATTGAGCAGCTCGTTCAAGCGCAACAGGGGAAATCACAGAATAGCCTCGCAGGGAAACATCAACAGGTAACATATAACAGAATCGAAACAGGCAGTTCAACAAACTGCACTTAGGCACCCTCACGGCTCTTGCGGTAGCTGGCCTGGACACAATCAGTCTACATGAACAGATACAAACCCGAAGCATCTTCATACCTCTTGTTCCACCTGCAGCCCATCAACCACAGGAGCCAACTCGCTCAGAATCTCATACGCGCGCTTGTGGAACTCCAACTGAGCAGCGATCAAGTCGGCAAGGTTTCTCAGGGGTTCAGGGGTATCCAGAACCTATAGTCAAACATATTAGTGATTGAACACATCGATGGGTGTCGCTGACAGCCACATACGTTCTTCATAACACTGACGGCCTCCTCGGTCTGGCCGACAAACTCGTCCTCAGCCTGCTCAATCTCCGCGCGGGCCTCCTCGCTCAGGTTGTCCATGTCGCCCTTGGCGGCAGCCTTCTTGCTCGCCTTGACGGAGTCTAGCATGAGACGGGCGTTCTCGACGTTCCGGCGGGCCTTCGCGGCGAACATCAAGTTGGTGTTGAGGGTGGTGTTCCAGCCGGCAAGGAAGCGGGACTGGATTTGCGCATCCTGGGCCAGACGGGCCTCGCCCACCTTCTCCGAAGCCAGCGCGTACTTCTCCAGGGCAGTAGCCAGAGGGTCTTCGCCGGTGGTGTTCTGGGCCAGGGTCTGGGAGCCGGACAGGGAGGCGCGGGCGATGGCATGGTTAAAGGTCTTGGGCTGGGGCTTGGCCGAGGGAGGGGCCGTCAGGGCGGCCTGGGCCTCAGCGGGCGAGCTTGCCTGAGACAGGAGCTGGACCTTCTCATTGATCGTGCGTCCCAGGTCGTTGAAGGATTCGCGGATGTTGGGTGGGTAGTCGTAAGCTTCGTTGGAGTATTGGGAGCTGCACGGGGAGCCGAAGTTATAACGAGAGGCTCTTGTAGTGGGGAGAAACCGGACACTCACGTCACCTGCAAAAGCTTCTGGTGGACGAGCTTCAGGGCATCGACCCGCTTCTCCAGCTCGATATACTCATCGGGAAGTTGGGTTCGGTCTTCGGCCTGGCCCAACTGCTCCCGGATCATCTGCTGAGTGCGCTGAGCAAAAGGAGAGAAGCTCGCACTGTCTCGCAGAGCAATAGAAAGATAAAACATGTCAGCAAAGATCTTATACAGCAAATGGGACCGAGAAGATACGCAAGTACGACGGGACGAATCGAAGCGACTCTGGGGGTGGAGCGTCATTCGGTGTTTAACTCACCTCAAGTTCTTTCCGAACGCCTGTACTTTGTCCATGATCGCAGTCCAGCTGAGAAAAAGTAACGTCAAAGGGAAGATATAAGTCGGTAAAGGGGAAGTTAGAGAACGTAAGTCGTCGATAGGAGAATTGTTTGGGGTTGTTTAGGGTGAGTCGAGTTGCTTCCATCGCGGCCATAACTGCCAGTCCACACCGCCTGCCCAGGGCAGCTGCACGGCCACCGTGGCTTGTTCTCTTTCATATGACAAGCTGTATCTTCCCGTGACTAATGATACAGACCACCAGACAATCATGGTGACTTAAAGAGGTACAGTTTCTTGCGTGAGAGAGTTACTATAGAGCGAAATCAGAAGGAATCACCAGTAGTTTGGGCTTTCTAAACTGTATCCTCCTCTACTCTTGCCTTCAACGCTTGGAATTCCGCCTCCTTTCTATCGAGCTCCTCTTTCATTGCCGTCCATTCCACATTATACTGGTTTAGCTGCTCCATCTTCCTGTTCACGAACAGTTCAACGTCAGAGCCGGCAACTGTCGCGAGCTCATCGATAGAAGGTAAAAGCTGTCGAAGAGCAAGCCAAGCCCGGCTGTCGGGCGATTCGAAGCAGCAGTATATTAACTCGTGGAACCAGAATCTTCCGTCCTCCATAGATTCGCGCATGAGGGCCGCCATTCTGGGCATTGAGCAAATTTCGGCTCTTTTTTGCTGCTCCTCGTCCAGCACCTTAGTAAACAACTTAAGCAGCGAATTGTACTTGGAAACATCCTCATCTTCCCAATCAAATGGTTTCTTCAGAAGTAGCCACCGCGGGGGTGAGTAAAGCATCTGAAACGGTGCTGTGTACGCCCATTCCCAGTCTAGCACAGCGACTATCTCTAGATCCTGTGCGTTGTTGACGAGCATATTTCCAAACCGGAAGTCGTCGCAAATCAACTTGAAAGGGCCACGGTCATACTTGTTGTCAATGAAACGGGGAACAAGGGCCGTAAGTATCTTATTATGGAGATATTTGCGACGAGCATCTTCCATATCATCGACCGAATTCGGTTGATCCCACAGTTGCTGCATATCTTGTTTCGCCACATATTGAAAATAGCTGGTAGCTGAAGAGAATGTTGCGGGAATATGGCCTATGACGTCTGCAGAGTCAGCTGGCTGCCATCAATATAATGATCAAGGAAAGGAAGAACACACCACCAACGCGAACGCCCCCATGGCTCTCTATATCATTCATCTTCAGCGTCAATGGCCTCGAATTAATGACACTGTTGAAATCCGCATCCCCGGAGAGCGAACCCATCCGCGGAAAATCATGTGCCGAAAGGTCCAACAGAAAATTGGCAATCTGGCGGTATATCTTCTCAAGTTCTTCATCACTGATGTCCAACCGGAGAGAGTGAGCTTTTTCCGGGCCAGTCCCTTGCCTTAAGATCATGTCTAAAGGTTCTCCCTCAATAAACTCCATAATGATGAACGCCCCCAGGCCAAGCGGATTCTCATGACTGAGTCCCCATGCTATAACAGATGGCACAGGGATGTTCGTCTTCTCTTTGACAAACTGCATTGTGGCAGCCTCGTAGGTAATTTTTCCATCACCATCCATTACCCGGCCAGGCACTGCAAACCGTACCATCCATTGTACACCGTCATCGAATTTGACTCTGCAGCTCCAATTGAAAGACCCGCAATTATCGCCGAAAACACTTGAAGGCTGATTATCTCGAAATGTTGAAACCCAGGTCGCGATTGGAGGTCCCTTGATGCTGTTAAATCGTCGGGCCCATGAAAGGGACTCAGCATAGTGAGAAGCGTGGGCGCGTTCATCCCAGTCCATGGCACGAATCTATTGGGGGAGCAACGGGCATGACTTGATTCATAGGCACTCTGCGCAGATAAGGAGTTGATAAGTTGGCAAGAGGATGTGGGCCAACGGAAGAAAGAACATAAGCTTCTCTTTATTTCGTCGGTTCTGGGGGTGTTGAAGGCCGAGCGTAGACATGTCACATGACATTATCTCTTGCTTCTGCCAGACAATTGGACCGCAAGTGCTAGGATGCAAGGCTTGCTGCAGTACATAGGCACCGAAGCTGCTGCGGATGCTGTAATGTGAAACACTAGCCGAGGGGACCATTTTTCATCGGCGAGTATAACCTCTTCACTTTCATCGAGAGGAAGGCCTCCTTTGAAGTTTATACTTTAGCTTCAGAGCTTCAACGGTCAAGAATGACATGAAACGTGTCAATATCCAGAAAGGTGA